TTCGTAAATTTTTCATTATAATCAAACTATCTAGCATGTATTTTATCCATATTAAATAGGCCGCTATGGGATTTATCTGAAATATCATAGTTCCCCGTAGCTTCACAAAGTAAAAGTAATTAATAATAATAATTAAAATTTTATGTATTATTCAGCGATTCTGGACACTTCTCGAATTCAGTCAATATTATTTCATGTTTTTCATTTTCTATTTAATTCTGCTAATGAAAAATGCTAATAGCAAGCTTTGCATAATACGATATCTTGTGGCGAGGTCTTTTTGCACAAAAAACAAATATAGCGCACCTGTACATAAAATAAAACAACGCCAATGTTATAGTATTATCAACGAAATGAGAATAGTCAGGCAAACTTAAAGTTGCTTAAAAACAAAAATGGTTGATTGCTTTATTATATTTCAAAGATCCTAAAACAGTAGTATTATCTCTTGGAAATGATGTTGATATTTGTAACGTCATTAAACGACTGCGTTGAGAGAATCTGACTTGAATTGATGTTTATTTAGTCAGAATATACATGAGTCTTGTGACAAGTGTATAAAGAGATTCTTATGCTATGTTGATTTATTTTTAAGGAAATAAGATTATCGTTCAAATTTTCTTGATAAAACAAAAAGATTTAGATGCCGAATAATCAACTTGTATATTTTTCGATTGAATGATAGGAATCGTTTGTAATCATACTCTGAGTATTTCATTCAACAATGATAGTTTAAACTAGGAAAAAGGTATTATTTTTTTCTTTAAAATTTATTGGATCAAGCTCATAATCTCGATAAGCTCATACACAATTTTAATCAAAATAAAAGAATCAATATCATCTATCTTTTAAAATATCTTCCATGAATATTACAAAAGATAAATAATTATTATAAAGATTTTACATTGAACAATGCATGGGCAAAAGATATATTTCTCTATTCTATTTATTTAATAAGTAAAAAAAAGATGTTGAGCTTAACGATAACTCAAATTTATTGATGTTTTTTCCCACCATGCATGAGTATAATAAAGCTTGATCAGGGATTTCAAGAACTAATAGTTTCTTTTGAATAAAGCTTTGTTTCAAGTACATCGATGAAATAGAAATCGAGCGATTATGATGAGTTAATTCTGCAATGGTTATTTGTATATAAAATTCAACTAAAAATAAACGAATTTCATATTTATTAAAAATAATAAATTAAGTTTCAGGTGAGAAGTGTCACCATTTTTTTGCATAAGACTTGTAACCTTCATAAATTATTTAAAAATAATAAATAATTGTAGTTTATTAAAAAATACATAATTACTTTACAGCTGTTTGCTCGGTCTATGAACGAAGTCCTTTCTAGATTGAATCGAATAACAACAGGCAAAATTTCTTGCATTGTCCGATGCATATAAACAATAGATTTTCGTTCAATAAATCGTAAAAACATCGACAATGATCAATTTAGATTAGAAAAAAACATAATCATTTTTGAAGAAAACATTTTTAAATATCAAATTCAGTCAAAAACCTCATAAGAATTATGATTTAAGTAAAGTTTCTATCGATGCCAAGTCGACGATCGTTTGATCTTTGTCATCATCACCATCATCATCAATTATGCAAAGTTAACAAAAAGACAAAACTATTTTCTTGTCGATCAAAATCATGAATGCCTACAATAGATGATTATGCCACAAGGGGCTTTTTTTATTATTTCTTATATATTTAAATACTTTCATGTTTTTTTCGATTGATTATGCACACCATATAGTATGTTTAATGATTAGGACATAAAAATGTATCACACCATTGATTGTCAAAGCATGTGAACAGTATCAATGAATTATTTTGTACTTCTAAATAAAAACATCTATAATACAGTAGTTTCGCCTCTGTTTTCTTCTTATCCTTCGGAATCTTTCAGCAGGACTAATGGTGTTCAGTAACAGTAAAGAATAAGTGTTTATCGAAGCATAAAAAGTAGCTAATAATGAAAGTGTGCGTATGTGTGTGTGTGTGTGTGTGTGTGCATTAGTAGGATTTCCTGTCAAGGATTCGATAAAAAATGTACGCTTGACGTTTATCGTTACGGCTCAATAATATAATAATGATTATGTATAACGAGGCACGTGAAAATGTTTCTTATTTTCTTTCAATACAAAGAATTATTTTTCATCTTTTAGTTTGGTGTGGTGTATGATATTTTCTTCAAGCTGTTCATTATTTTAACTTCTCCTTTTTCTCTTTGTATTCTGTTCTTTATATTGTCTGTTGATATTCCTGCTGGCAGAAAGATTTTACTTTCTGATTATTTTTGTTCTTTGAAAACAAAAATTTAAATTGAAGTTAAACAAACTTTTATTTGAATAGTATGGTTATTCGACGGTGTATTTTAATCAATTGATCCTTTAGTATAATAACGTTTGACGTGTCAATTGAGGTACCTATTACTGCAAAGGTTTTTTTTTGCATCCGTCGCACTTCTATAATTGTCGTTTTATTACTGGATCACTATGGAAAAGCACGTCCAAATGAAACTCGATAGTTGTTGTTGTTGTTGTCATTGCTTCTCATTTTTCTTCTATTCTTTCCCTTTCCATTTTTAGCGGTGATCAGAAAAGAAATTGCGCGTTATGCTAAATCTTGGCTAGTTTTACATACTTACCTACATGTATAAAATATCTTTACTCTATGACGCACATATTATTCTGCATTCAAGTGTTTTATTGCTATTACTTTTTGTCTCTACGTAAATAATAAACAGAAAACGAGGAATAATGCTTCCTGTTTATGTTGGACAAACTTCAATATTTGATAAGAACCATTGATCTGTTTCTATACGGAAAAATGTTAGATAGAATGTTCTCATCGTCCAAATTTTCTTGTCAATTAACCAAGTCATGTGTGCTTATGTATGTGTGTGTAATCTGATCGAAGTAGAAGGGAAAAGGTGTCTACAAGAAAAAAGTAAAAAGAGGACAAGCAAATAACAAAAACAAAGAAAAATGTTTCAAAGCGAGCTAAATATCGTTTCTCGCTCTTTTGCTTTATTTTCTCACGGGCACACTGTTAAATGCACTTAGATTAGAGACAAAAGAAGCGAGAAAGTATACTTGTGTGCATTGGCGTCAAGGTAAGAGGGAATGGAAGTAAGGAAAAGAAGAGCAACGAAGGGAAAATCATCATTTTAGCAACGACTGATGAACGTCACGGACAGACACACGTCTTCACACAATTCATCAGCTTATTTGCTATCTTTGCAGTATGCTCATTTACTTTCTCTTTTCTTTTAATTCAATGTCACTGCCGTCATCGGTAGCTTCATTTTCTCTGCTACGTTTCATCAGCTACATAAAAGATTTTAATTAATAAATAAATAAATAAAAGAAGAAGAAAATTAATGATAAAAGAAATGAAAAGAATAGCTTTGTTTGCGTCTTCAATGATATATTAAAGCTTACAAATATACTTGAGTTGTAGCAGTAAGGTAAACCTAACGGTTGGCGACGATGACGACGACAACGACAATAACCAGTTAGCAACTTTTGTATTTTTGGTTCGCTTTTAATTTCTTGTTGGTTTATGGCTATTACTATCATCAGTACTAGTCGTATTCTATTTAAACAGGTAATATCTTCATTTTAAATAAAACTAATATTTAGCTGATAGCTAAGAAAAAAGAAAAATACGAAATTAATTTGAACACTAAATTATACTAAAATAATATTTTGACATTCATTGTTATCATCAAAGTTAAAATGTGTGTAATTTTAATATAAACTAAAAATAGTGAGAAATATTCAAATAAGATGAACGACTGTTAAGTATTTGATACATTCTTTTTAGTCTTATACAAAAATTTAGACTGAGAAAGAAAGAAACAAAAGTAACATTGGTATTTTGCTGTGTTTGTATGCATAGTGAACAAAAGAAAGCAATTACGTTAAAGGTGTTGTAATATTCTAAGGAGCTATTCACATGAAAAGATACACCAATTCCTATGTATAATCTTCATTTTCTTTCTATGTTATCTTTTAAAAAGTTTTAGTCTTTTGTTCAAACAAAAGTGATACTTAAAATGTAACGAGAAATATAAAGGTTACTCTCATTAATCTTCTGAAATCTAATGCATTGAAAACTAATTCGATTAAAAACGGGTGCTTAACTATCAGTGCTTCCAAATAGCTCCACCTATCAGTAATTTTCTCCTCAACAGTTGTAACATTAAAATTCAATTTAGCAATCTATTTCTAGATTTATGTCTGTTTGCATCAATCATATTAATGAAGGTGTATCATTGTCGTCGCTATTATTATCAACAGCAACGACTGGACATCTATGCATCTCCTACCATTACAAAATCAAGTAGGTTCCATTAAAAAAACAATCTATTTTTTTTTATAGATAGACAACTGTATATATATATAGGATCTTCAACTTTCCGACGTTTTTCTATTTCTATTTAAAAAAAAAGAACTCTCGAATTTGTTCCGGTCGCATTAAGTATAAATATGCATTTTCCTATTGTGAAGTATATCTGTTTTGTTTTCTTACCTTTTCTCTGCATTTTTCTCGTTTTTTCCTCTTTTCTTCTATTCCATGGTTTCTTAGCCGCTCTCTTTTGGCTTTTTTGTTACTATACTTTTTTCTTCTTCATCTAATTTAATGGGAAGAGAAAGAGAGAGAGAGAGAAAAAGAGCAATGCTGTTATAGCCTCGTGATTACGGCACGCTGTTGAGCTACTAACGAACATAATCCTCGAAAAACGGAGTAAAAGGCAGTTGGACGACTTTCGATCCATTGTCGTCTTAAAATCGATAACGACAAAAAAAAGAGGCAGGGAATGAGGGAGAGAGAGAGAGAGAGAGAGAGAGAGAGAGAAAGAAAGAGCGAAAGATAAACAAGGAAAAGAAAGCAATAGACATTCGACTTTTATCTTCATGTTTGATTATTTCTTTTTTCTTGTTTTCTATTACTTGTATATTTAGACGAGTGCTAGAGCATTAATGCCTGGCTCACGGCGTGGCTTGGTTGCACCTCAAAATACCTTCCTTGAATCGATCATCCGCAAATGCAGTGGTGCCCGTAAGTATATCATTCTGTTTTCCTGGATAAAATCGATATTTGTTAATTTGAATGATTCAAAATAATAATGATCAGCACAAAAATACTTCAGTTTTCTTACAAAATATCATCAATATACAATTTTTTTCTGTTATTTATTTTGACTTGAATTCAAATGAAATAAATAAAACAGGATTTCGGCTGTTTCCTTCAGTTGAAATCATAGTTATTCATGCAAAAGAAATAGTCTAATTGTTAGTTTTTACTTCTTCACTTCTTATCTTATTACGCTTATTGAAGAGGAATGAGCACAATAGTACAGTAATATTTCCTGTTGCACTTTCACATGCACACACCGATAATTTCCCTATACACATTAGATGAAGGAGTAGCTATACATGTAGACAACTGAATTGGCGACAAATGTTATTTTAGAATAGCTAATGAGTGATCCGATGGGAAATATAAATACATTTTCATTAATTCGCCTTCAACGTTCATGTTGATAATATTCTTCTATGTGTTCACTACGCCATTTCTAGCAGCACCTGTCGAAAACCAAATGAAAACAATCAATTAAAGAAAATGAATAGAAATAAAACATCTGACTCACCCTGAATTTCTAACTGAGAATAACTAATGTCTTTAGTTTTATCATTAGAAAAATCTCAGCATTTCGAAATACCGGAGATCGCGTGCACTATTTGATACGTCATTGATAATAAGTTAGATTAGTAAAAAAAATTGGATCTTAAAGTTTCGAAGAAAAACTTAAAAACAAAAACATATTTTTTTTTAATCTTTTAATAATTAGACACCGCGTTCATACTATCTAATGCTCAAATAGTCGATTATCCAATAGTTTTTTCAAATGATGGATTTACAAAAATATCGGGTTATTTAAGAGCTGATCTGATGAATAAAAGTTCAACGTGTAATTTCATGTATGGTGAACTAACTACCGGCGATACACAAGCAAAAATACGTGATGCATTAGAAAATTGTCATATTGAACAGGTCGAAGTTCTTTTATACAAAAAGAACAGTATGTTTATTTATTTTGTGTATTTTTCAATAAATTAAAATTATTGATTAATATATAGAAACTCCAATATGGGTATTTATGCAAATAGCTCCAATAACAAATGAACGCGATACAGTGGTGATCTATCTGTGTACATTTACAGATATTACTGCACTTAAACAACCTATTGAAACTGAGGATACGAAAGGTTAGCTTCTATTTATTTATTTTTAATTTTAATTAAAAGTTAAAAATTAAATATTAATACTGTTTAATAGGCGGTCTTAGTAAATTTGCACGTATAGCAAAATCGGTTACAAGAAATCGATCAATATTAATGAATTTTGCTGCACCAAATGCTAAATCAACTCATACTGATTCAACGAAACCATCTCAATTACCTAATGTATGTTTATCCAATAAAGATAAATATAACATTGTCATATTGTTTACTTTCTATTTCAGTTACTAAATTTGAGTGCAGAAGTATTGCCAGTAAATTGCAAACACTTGTTTTCTATATAATTGATATATTTATCTTATTGCATTTTAATAGAGTTATCGACAAGAAGCACCAAGTACACCACCACATATAATTCTTCATTATTGCACATTTAAAACTGTATGGGATTGGGTGATACTTTTGTTAACATTTTATACATCACTATTAGTACCATATCATGCAGCATTTCGAAGTAAATCATTAGATGATGTGCCATTACTTGTTGTTGATAGCATTGTTGATGTTATTTTCTTTATTGATATTATATTAAATTTTCATACAACATATGTACACACAAGTAAGAAAATCAAAATACTAGATTAAGATATTTTATTTCATGATTGTCTTGTTAATTATCTATAGAATCTGGAGAAGTTATATCTGATCCCAAACGTATTCGGAAAACTTATTTAAAAAGTTGGTTTGTTATTGATTTATTAGCATGTTTACCATATGATGTTTTTAATGCATTTCAAGAAGCTGAAGAAGTAAAATATTACTATTGAAATAAAATAAACTCTGATCTGTTTCTTTGTCATTTTTCTTTTAAAGATTGATATATTTCAGCGCTATGGAAGTATATTTTCAGCATTAAAAGTTTTACGTCTACTCCGTCTTGGTCGTGTTTTTAGAAAATTAGATAATTACTTAGAATATGGTGCAGCAGTACTTTTATTATTGATTTGTGTTTTTGTACTTGTTGCTCATTGGTAAGAAACAAAATGTAAATCAAGAGAAAATTGAACCTTTTCTTGTTCTTTTTAAATATAGGTTTGCTTGTGTATGGTATACAATCGGATTTCGAGAAGGAAGGGGCGGTTCTGGTAAACGTGTATGTATCGATTAGTTGCATGTAGTTGCTTTTCTTTACATTTTAATATCAACGTAATAAGCCGCTTATAATCGCGTGAAAACTAATTATATTCTTAGTCTTGTCGATCGATGAGTAAGAAATTTTTATAGTATTATAAAAAAAAACTACTGAACTAACTGCAATATATTATTAAATGATAAATAAAATTAAGAAAAAACAAACTATGTGTATGATTATATTATATCAAAAAAAAAAGACTAAGAAAATCATGTAACTTTTAAAATTTTTTCAAAACTAAAGAATTTTGGAAACAAGAACGATAGAGTTATGAAGATGTTCTGTAACATTCCTAATTGATGTAAGACACTTGATGATAGAGTTAGAAAACACTTCAGCTTTTAAGAAAAATCATATCATTTGAATTATTTGAAGAAATTGTTTTACGAAAATATAATACTTGTATAATTGTCGATGAATCATAGAATCTGATGAAAGATACTTAAAGTAGTTCGTTCGTAAGATTTTTGTAAGATTTACCTACCACGATAAGGCATTTGCAGAGATGAAAGTTGTAAAATGTAACGTTTTCCGTATTTGATATCCTAAATTGTTCTGAATAATTAAACATTTATGCATGACACATCGCTCACGTATTTGATATTATCTTCTACACAGTATTAAATACTAAAATAGTTTCGTTCTTCTTAATCCTTCATTGAAGTATTACCTTTTTTCTTCTCTTCTCTTTAATCATTATTTTTTTTTGTATTCATTCCTAAACAGATGGAATATAGTTGGCTAGTCAAAATGGATAGAGAATTACATTATGGATGCATTGATTCCTATGGTAATTTAACAGCATATGAATCCAACGGTACATGCCGTAAAGCAGCTTATGTAACAGCACTTTACTATACAATGAGTTCATTAACTAGTATCGGTTTTGGTAATGTTGCTGCTAATAGTGATAATGAGAAAATATTTACATGTGTTATGATGCTTATTGGTTCATTACTATATGCAACAATATTTGGTAATGTAACAACTATATTTACACAAATGTATTCAGCAACTGCAAGATATCATGAAATGTTGAGTAGGTATGTAATTGTTCAGAGAAAATCAAAAATTTCATAATAAATGGTTTATTCTTTTTTTGAAATAAATCTTTCTTTTTATTTTCCTTAGTATTCGAGAATTTATGCGTTTACATGGTATGCCAAATCAATTGAATGAACGTATTATGGATTATGTTGTATCAACATGGGCAATGACTAAGGGTATTGATGCAACTAAAGTATTAAATTATTGTCCGAAAGATATGCGGGCCGATATATGTGTACATATGAATCGCAGCGTATTCAACGAACATCCAGCATTTCGTTTGGCTAGTGATGGTTGTTTACGTGCATTAGCTGTTCATTTTCATATAAATCATTCTGCACCTGGTGACATGTTGTATCATTGCGGTGAAAGTCTTGATATGTTATGTTTTATTGTATCGGGCTCATTGGAAGTTATACAAGATGATGAAGTTTTAGCTATACTTAGTAAGTTTACTTTTTTTTTCTTGAAATCTATTTTTGAAATGAATATTATTTTTCTTGTATTTATTTTCTAGGTACAAATGATGTATTTGGCGATGATTTTTGGAGTAAAAATCGAGATAATATTGGCCAGTCAGCAGCTAATGTTCGTGCATTAACCTATTGCAATTTACATCAAATACGACGAGAACGTTTACTTGAAGTATTAGACTTCTATCATCCATTTAGTATTTCATTTGCTCGAAATATGGTGCTTACATATAATTTAAGACATCGTGTATGTTAAGTGAACTATATCTATTTGAGATTTCCTTTTTTTTTACTCATGTTTTACTATTAATATTCAGGTTGTGTTTCGTAAAATAGCTGATGTTAAACGTGAACGTGAATTAGCTGAAACAAGAAAAAATGAAGGTTTCGATCAGATCAGTTCTGATCATCCTGTACGAAAATTAATATCGAAATTTCGTAAAATTTCACAAGAAAATCGTACTAATTCACAAAGCAATTCAAATATATCATTATTAGGATCATTGAATTCAACATTAATACAATCACCGTCATTACCTGTAATACCAGAAACAATTATACAACCGCCTAGCGCAGAACCGATGGATTCTTCATCGACAATAACTATAGCTCCGTTAACATCTCTTCAACTTCTACAATTGCCCAATTCATCATCCAATAAACAACGAGATAAATTAGAAACAATATCGGAACGTATTGAAACACAAGGTTCTCAAATTTCACAAATAACATCTGTTAATCAAAGTCCACCATTACAACGGCCACCAAAATCTAGTAAATGGAAATGGTTAATGACTGGTTCAGTAGAGCCTGATAATAACACATCAGCAAAACCACTTCTTCCAAATACTAAAATAGCATCAGCACCACAAGCGCTTAAAAAAACACCTGCGAATCCATTCGATCAAAGATTATCTGATGATGATGGACCAACGAAAATTGGCGAGGGTAATGAAAGAAGACAATCTATTCCACTGAGTTTATTTATACCAAGAGTAGTTCAACATACAAGTTCAAAAATATTAAACGAAGAAATCAATGATTCAGTAAGTAATGCTGCGGAATATCAAAAAATCTTATTGAAATTAAACTGAGGATTTTTATTCTTTGTTATTTTTAATTAGAAACAATTAGAAGACTCGCATTCTGATATAAACTTATCGTTTACACCATATCGTAGTGCATCAACACAATTTAGTGATCATCAATTACTATCATCATTACTAGAAATAAAACATGATTTAAGTACCGAAGTACGAACATTAACTAAACGTATGTCGCACATTGATGAGCAGATTGGTCAGATTTTTAATTTTCTTTCACCACTTAATACATCATCGGCAACAAATGATTTACCGAAAATTCCAAAAATAGCCTCATCATCACCAACACTATCATATACGCCACCTAAACCTCCGAGTCCTACTCCAACAACATCATTATTACAATTAAGTGGAACAGTATCACATGATACAAATACCAGTTCTATTTCGACATCACCATTATTTGAGACACCGTCATTCTATTCGAATGTAAATGCCAATATGTCATTATTTGATGATAATCGACCATTAGTAGAAACAAAAGACGTACATGATCTTTCTAGGCAATCGAGAACTACTGAACGATCAATGGCAACATCACCAATTCATCAAATCAGTTACGATGCTACTACATTGCCAATTCCATCATCAACATCTGTTTATAATCGTTCAGCTAGCTCATCGATTGTTAGTCTAGGTGCCTCGACAACATCTCGTAGTTCAATATCAAATAAAATAGCGCCAGCGCCAGCACCACCATCACCTGTTAATCCAAAACATCCATTAAGTACTAAATTTCAACCTATATCAAATACACGTTATAATCCAGGCCGTTCACCGAAACCAAAAATTCGGTCTCATCATAGTCGATCAAGTAGTAAACATCAACAACCAGAGAAATCAACAATTATTGAACTTGAATCTCTAACACAAGAAGATCTCTCTAATAAAAATGCTCCACTCTTAGCAACTAGTAAAAAACCACCAACGCCAACAACAAAAGCAAGTAGTAACGTTTTTCGTCGTTTCTTACCAAGTGGTAGTAGCACAGAAAAAGCCTCAATGCTATCATCACCATCAACTCTTCTCTATCCACCGACAAGTGATGATGAACATCCGATGAGTCCTGCTAGTTCAGGCAATGACGATGATGATTACCGATTACTAGCATCAGCATCTAGTAAGTATGATCATCAAACATCTCTATAATTTAAATAAAAATAAAAAACTATTATAATATTTGTTCTTCTCATCACTTAGCTTCACATGGATGAATTGATGAATTTTTTGTGATAAAAAAATTCCTCTCTATTTTTATCGATCTTGATTTTGTACATGTTCACCGGTGCATATTTTTGTGTATTTTGTTTTTCTTTATATGTGTGCATGTGTTAACTAGTCCGTCGATGATGACTACTTTTCTTTTGTTCTCTCCTATTCTCACGCACTTCTCAGATTTTCTATAATATACTGATGGTTTCTTCGATTACACTAGTTTATTTTATTTTTTTTTTTGAAAATAAAGAAGTAATAATAACAATAATAATGTATTGAATGAAATAGAAAAATAAACTTTTTTCTCTCCTGATTGAATTCAATATTTTGATCATTTTATTGATGTCAAATACTTCATACGCATTTAAAAGTTTATGTCAATTTAAAATTACATTTTTGCATGAAAACATGACGTTCATATTGAATTCAGAAAATTTTAGAATGGTAATCATGCAATCGTTGGCCTATCTGGAACATAATATAAATAAGATTAAAGGCGTAACCATGCGTGCTAGTATCGATCAATCATTCTGACGTTCGTATTTTAGAAAAATGTTCAACATCAATCAATAGAAAATTTATCATGAAAATTGTTGTCAGCTTATTGTAAATTGTTTACATGGACTGCTGACATTTCATTGTTCTATCATTTTTTTTCTAAAGATTTTCTTTTTTATTCCAATATACATTAATAATAGAATATCCAATGAATATTTAAATCATAAATATGACTGTGTTTGATTAAAAGTTTGTGTAATAATCGACAAGCATATCGTTTGCGATTTGTAGTATATTTCGTTAATGTTTCAAATTGATTGATAGATCTATTGCAAAGACTTTTACATAGAAAAGCAACAACAACAACAGAAAGCAATGCTTCATTCTATTTCATTAAGAAACCGAAGCTAATCAAAATATCTACTTATACAGAACACGTATAAATTTCTTTGTTAGCGTACGCATTGTATCCATGCCTTTTTAGTCTTAGCTACATCGTTTGCCTAGAAAAACGAAGCATGTAGAACTTTCTTTTTTATAGACCATATAAAATGAAAATAGAATATAAAATAAAAGATACTTTATTATCATTGTATGAGAGAACACAAAAGAATAGTTAATCTATGATAGTAAATCATCTGTCTGACGAACCTTTTCCCCCGTATTTATTTTACTATTAATTGAGTCGCAGAAATATTTTGCTATATTTAATATCCTGATGAATCGATTCGCTTATGTCGATTATTTAAATGACTAATGATTTCTTTTGCTTTCATATTAATTGAAAAACAGTATCTTAATGTCTTTCGATCATATTTATTTTCGGCGAGAATAAATGAGAATATATAGCGATACATAAAATTATTGTTTCACCATTCAATGAGTTTCACGCGAATAAATGCACGGTGACTAGACAGACATACAAGAAGCGACATAACATTTATTATTATGATTGTTCATATGAGTATTGCGTTTAAATATTTTATGCAGTTGATTGGTTCTACACGAAGCAGAAGAAAAAGAAAAGTATGATTTTTTCTTGATCGGTTTTGAAAACTTACAGAATTAAAATCGCGTTTATTAGATAAATGTATGGGATCACTAAATTCATAATTTTCCCTTGAATCTATTGCTGCCTAACGAAAGTTAAAAGAAAAAATTTATGAGAATTAAAATCAATTATTCTCTTACATCCGATGTACGATTGTGTTTCTTATCTTTGCCATTATTTCCTTTGACTTTTTCATATGTATCAAGCTTCGATGATACATTATCGATCTAAATGCAATTTAAATCTTAGTATGAATCGAAATTTAAAAATATTTCTATACCTTAGTTAAAACAACTCCAACAGATGCTTCCATTGAATCAAGTCGTTTAGCCAAATCTTGATATTCTTCCATTGATACTTCATTTGCTGGTAAACATTTCCCTGGTGCTGTACTTGCCTTGCGTCTTGGATCTCCACTAGTGCATTGCTCATCCTTCGGCACGCTAAACGATGCAAAAAAAAACAAGATTTTCTTTTCACTCATGTTTTCAAAGTTGGTTTTCAGTTTACATATTGTTTGACAAGTTTAATTGATCGATTTCTCGAAGAACAGCATCATTTTGTCTTAATAAATCATTACGTAATGCACGTTGCTCATTTTCGTCTAAAATTCGATCACCATTAAAATCATATTTAGCAAATATTGTTTCAATTTCTTCTTCAGCATAACCACGTGATTTCATTTCTAAACGCCATTCGTCAAATTCCAAAATTTTATCACGATTGAGATCAGCTAATGATAATGCTTTACGAATATCAGCTATACGATCGCGTTTAACTGTTAAACGTTCACGCATTTTAGCATAACCACGTTTAACAAAATCACTTATTTCGAATTCATTTTTCTTATTTCGTAATTCAGCTTTGACTTCAATATATGTGTCATTAATTATAGCCAAAAACATATTTAATAAAACAAAGAATACAAAAAATACATATGTTAAAAAGAATAATGGCCCTAAGTAAAAAAAAAGATTTATTCGATTCTATGCAAAATAGTTAATCTTTTATTTTACCAAGTACACGATGTGCTTGTTGAAGTGATTGAAAATCAAAAATACCCAAAATAATTAAAAATAATGTATAACTAAAACAATTATATATATATATATATATAATATATCAAACAATGCTTTTTCTAATCTACTTACATCGAGTATTGAAGTGCTCGAAAACTTTCAACTTGAACACCGAATGTTAAATAACCAAGTTGGGCATATGCAAAGAAAATAATAAAAAACATAATAGCAAAACCAGATATATCCCGTGCACATTTGGCTAATGTTTCACTTAATTGTGTCATTGTTTTATTAAAGCTAATGTATTTAAAAACTTTAATCCATGCTAAGAAAATAGTAATACTTGAAATAATATTAAATTCATGTTGCCAATAACATAAAAATGTAAAATCACTATAATGATGTTGGTCATTTTCTAATAGTGCACCAAGTAATGAGTCAACTTGTACTTGTCGATAAATGTTAAATGCAATACAAACGTAAGATAGCATTATAATTACAATATCCAAACAATTCATAACTGATTTGAAATATGATAATTTACAATACCGTATCTTCAAAGAGTAAAACGAAAAATTCTATTTAAAAAATCCCTACAATATGAATAAAATCTCACTTCCAAAACTTCTTCAATTGTATAATAGAGAATAAATAGAATGAAAAGTATTTCACAACCCAAGACAAAATAATCAAAAGTATGAACATATCGAATTAATTTAACGGTACGAAATATCGATGATGTTATTAAACCACCAACAGCTGGAAATTCAAAAATAAGTCTGAAATATTAAACAATAGTATAGTAATTTAGCAACTAGAAAGTTTATGTTTCAACTTACTGGACTTGACAAAATAAATTTAGATTAGCATTATAAATTGTAAAATCTACTAATATTGCTCGAGTACCACGTGTAATCCAAAGACTAAATCATAATTAATTAGAAAATGTACGAAACTAAAACAAAAAAAAAACAACGTGTCTTACTTATCTTTTAGTTTTTGGATTTCTTCTAAAAACGTTTCTTTTGTTAAACCAAATAATTCAATAAAACCACCTTGATCATATACACTAACTTCTCCTGTAGTACTTAATCCAAACCATGATGTTGATGGTGTATATTTAAAACTAAAAATAACCTCATGATTATTAATATAAATTTTTATTTAAAGCTGACTAAATCAACAAATCTTACGCTGTAGAAGAACAATTTTCAGGATCTAAATTTTCACATAATCCAAATGTTAATTTATCTTCATATACTGGGGCATAAGAGTTATAACAAAATCTAATTTCTTCTTTAAAATCATCAGCAACAACACAAGAATTATTTCGAACTTTTTTTTGGCGCATTTGAACAACACTTAATAAACGATTTTCGTGTAATATATAACCAGTATCACTGATATTCTCTTTATTATACCATTGTTCAGTATAAAATCCCACAGCAGCAATATCAGTCATATACTATTCAAAAGAAGTATTTTTAAAAAATTAAAACATTTTCCTATGCTCTTTACCCGCCAAAAATCATCCATACGATCCAGTGTTTGAAATGATGGGCCTGATTTATTACTTGATGGATCAAATAGTCGGGGATTAATAAATACATTTTGTAGTGCTTGAGTTAATACTAACATATTAGTACTCACCATGCCAAAAACGACTGAAAAGCAATGAATGTCAAAATAAAACTAAATTCAATATGTATGTATTTTACCAATCGATAAAATTGTCAGAAAAGCCATATAAACTATAAGTTCACGAATAGTTGTTTGAACATATCTATTCTTATGTTTTTTACGGTCGATTCTTTCTGTTTGTTGCGTTGCCCAAAGTTCTATTAAAATTGTAAATTATATTCTACTATGAAAAAAGCAAATGAAACCAAAAAATTACTTCGAACAAATCCTAAAGCCTTTTTACACTGATTTTCAACAGTTTGATTTTGTTTTCCCAATCGTTTCTGTTTTTCATTTTGACCAATTGGCACTCCGTCAACATACAATGTACCGTCAATATACAATTCACTTTCCATTGCACCTGGTGTACCCTCAGTATAGGCCGGTGGTGGTGATGGTGATGGTTGGTTTTGCTGATTTTCATAGGGCATGATTATTCTAAGTAAGCCTGCACGTAGTCTTTGTAGTCGACAACTAACTGTATGCGAATAAAATCAGTTAAATTTTCCTCGATTGTTAAAACAAAGAGACTGAAAAAAAGAAGAAAAAAATTTAATTTTCTAACTACGCCAACTCTTCTTTTTTTTGTATGTGAGCACTTGGTCTATTTCAATAGGATGAAAAATAAAAGTAAACTTAGCAGACAAAAACATACTAAGTAAATTTCTATGAGAGTATTTAAAATAAGGAAAAATTTAGAAACATGTTTCAGGAAAAAAAGAAATAGCACTTTTTTCTTTATCAAAAACAACTATGAAATTTTTCTTTGAAGTAAAAAGGAATCATTAAACTTACGTGTCGGTGAAACATAATAACATTTGCTATCGTCAAAAAAAAAAGAATTGCGCTGTTTTATTTTTATTAGTGGAAATGTATGATAAAAGAGTACAAAGAGGAAAAAAACTTATTTGAATTAAATTAAATTTAGATGAACAAAAAAAAGATTACAAGACAAAATGGAAGTGAAGAGAGAGATACAGAAATTAGAAAATAGTGCTAAGTGATTCAATAGGTGGTAACCAACGAATTATAATATATCCATAAGGTTTTAAACAAATAGAATCTTTCAATTCAATTGATCGAACTGTTGCACTTGTATTATCACAAAATTTTTCGTTGTTTAAAAACATTTCAGCTTTCTTTGGTTTGTCATTATCGACAATTTTATCATTTTTGTCAATATCATTAAAATTAACAATGATCATATAACTTTTCGAGCCACGTCTTGTGCGTTCAATGGTTAACAATGTTGATCCTGGAAGAATAGTTTGTTTGATTTTGCCATCACGAAAAACATCCTCTTTTCGTGTATCACTCATTATTGTACGAAGACGATGGAGTTGATTATCTAATAATCGATTTCCTTGTTGGTCAATAGAAATAGTGCCGGTATGAAATAGACATGTAGCAAAAAAAGCTTCGTTTAATATAGCATTTGATGATAAAGATGACCATACAAATAGTTGTTTCTGCTTATAAAATGTTGAATTATAGTATGATTCAAATAATTTTGTTAGATTAGTTTCAGTTTCATTAGGTAATATATAATCGTTTAGTGATGCTAATTGTACACCACCTAATCCTTTACGTTGATCGCCATAGTAACGTGCTAATAATTTTTTATCAGTAGTATCCAATGAATCTATTGAATCGAAAAGTAAAATATGTTTCTCATCGATTTCAGATCTAATACGTGCAAGTAAAAGATAGTCTTCATCAAGGTGTCTCGTTTGAATATTATCTGTGTCATTTTTATACTCATAATCTTCATATGCATAACTAAGACCAGGTAAATTATATCCATCAAAGTGAAATTTTGTATTCCAATAAGAAACTGAATCAATTATGTCATTAAGAACACGATTATTTCGATAATTAATATCAATAGAATCATTATTGTTGTCAAACTGATGTAAATAAAATGAATTTTTTTGTTTGTCATACGTCCATGCTGATGTTTCATTATCATTTGTTGTCATCCAGTTACTTGTATTACCTTGTTCATTCCATACAAAATAAGACTCATTGAAATTAAAATACTTTGATTGAATAGATACATGATTTAATGGATAATCAATAATAATTCGAATATTTTCATCACGTGCTCTTTTCGTAAGATTAATCAAATCAATTTCTTCACCCAAACTACTATCAATACCTTTCCATCCCAATGGATTTGATTCATTTGATAATGGAAAAACTGGACGAAACCAAATAGCATGCATATTAAACCGAGTTTTGTGCTCTTTAAGACTTCTAGTTAAATCATTAAATTTCAAAGTATGATTTGAAAAACGTAGAATCACACCATTCATCCACCATTCTGTTGTAGATGCTTTTTGACAGCGTGGGAAACGTACAATACAAACGATTATAAATATAAAGCACGCAATTTGCAGAAAAATGTACACTAAAGCACTAATAATTCGTGCTCGTCGTAGCCATGCTGCTGACAGTAATGGTAGTATTGGTTGTGGATTTGGAAATGAGCTGTTTGTAATTTGAAAATCACTATTAGGTTCCTCTGTACGACTTGCTTGTATCATATTATTAGTTGATTTTTGATTATCAATTGATTCGTTCTAGAAGAACGATAGGCATAAGAGATTACAAAGCTAACAGCAATAATGCTTTTCAAGGTAGACGAAAATAAACGATAAAAGAAAAAAATAAAGAATTATCAAATAGTCATAAAAAAAGACACTATTCACACTTCATTCAATAGAAAATGCGTGTTCTCTACTAATAAAAGCAGGCAGTATTAAATAGTTATATATTATTTAATGATAACAGTTGACTATATGATTTATGTTAGAATTTTACTTGATTCATCGATAGATTTTTCGAAGTGAAAGGTTCGTATCATGAACTTAGTATTTCAGTCACCAATAGCAATAAGTCAAGTACACTGACTGAAATATATGTTTAGGTGACTAAAGAAGTTTCTCAGGTATATTTTTATTTCTAAAACAATATTTCTGATTACGATTTATCTAGGAATATTTTATTATTTGAAAACAAATGATAATGACATCATATCTTCTAGATCGACGAAGAAAAGCATGAATCATGTTCACCTTTTGCATGAACTACTTTTTTCTTCTTCACTAGAAATTCTATTGTTCACGTTTAAAAGTAGTGATCGTTCGAAAAGTTAATTCAAGTTTACTACAATGTTTAGTTTAAAAAAAAATTTAATTTAATGCGCGAATCGAGAAAAACTCGATCCACTAACTAAAAAAATGAACGTGTCTCAATGCACTGACGCCATAGACATGGATAGCTAGGAATGCTTAACATCGTATGCACCTCAAATTACATAAAAATAAATACAAAAAAAAAGAGTGTAAAAATATTTTATTTTATAAATTGCTTTGCCGTAGTATACGTATATCAAGAACAATAAGCGCATGAATAACAAACTACGACATTATTTGATTCATCACTGAATCAAAATAGTCATGACAATGTGTTTGGTGAAATACAATAGAGAGCTAGACATCCCTATTAGTAAAACGTTCTCATGTTTTAGTTGATCGATTAAAATAACAGATATCAAGGTCAAACAAATCGAAATTAAATGAGCATGTATAGAGAAATATGCATATATATATTGTTCAGTCCTATGATCATGTGTCTTTGTATCAAATAGACCGAAAAAAACTCTCATCTATTCACCTCATTACAGTTACCGTTATACTACGTATAGATTTTGCTTTTCACCTGGTCACGGGAGTAGACGCTAGTAATATCAAACCAGCCAATATAGCCGTATACAGAGAGATATAGTAATTTAAGGAGAAGAAAAGGGCTCACTGATTTTTATGCATGGTTGTCATATTCGATTTCGATCGTACTCTGTGCTTGCGGTCAAGGATATTTACGACTATAATACTGAACAATATAATACGTTTTAATACAACCATATACTAAGAAATATAGTGACTTGAGAAGGCAGAAAAAAGGCTTGTTTACTCGCTTCATGCATGTGACTATACAAAGTATCTATTTCGCTCGTTACATAATCGTCTTGCTTTGTAAATTTGTACACAGATATACAATCTTATGAACCACAATCCAGAAACTAGATCCCGCTGTATTGAATAGGATATTCTATACAATCTAACAACTTTGATAGGATCCGATCGAAGGATATCGAAATTCTTGTAGAACCATCGCGATTAAAGCTCATTGGGTTCAACAGATACAAAATACTGAAAAATACAAATCGTTTCGAAGTATTTATATTGAATAGGATGACTCGTCATCTAATTTGGATAATCGATAAAGAATTACGCTGCTTACATCTTCGGATACAATTCTTTATTTCTTAGTGAATGAAAATCACTATGTCAATCGTAAATTAGCGTTTGAAATTCTCTTTAAAAAATGATTCTATAACTCGATTTACAATAAATATGCTTGAAATAAAACAGATGATGTGCCAGCTATATACAAACGACTACAAAAAATGTTAATGTAAAAACGATGATGATAGATGATTATTATCGAGTGCTATGTGGAATGGTATCATAGTTTAAAAAAAGCAGGTTATGGAGAAAGATGGCGAACAGCACTCACTCTATTGATTTATCTCATTCTCTTGGTCATTCAAATAAGTCTGAAACAAAAGTCAATATCTCGAAAATAAAATAACAGCTATTTCAGTAAAAGTGAGTCTTGATGAGTTAACCCGAAGTCGAAATAAATATTCAAAGGAAAGTTTATATTAGATATTATACACAAATGTCGAATATTTTCGTTAAAAAAATCTTACAGTCGAAATATATTGTTCTTCCAAAAAAACGAAACGCGATAAATTTGTGAATGTGATGCTAAAAACTGACTATGTCGATGAAATCAAAACTTAGCCAAACGTGCAAGGTTAAAAAACATGTGATACTACACGAACACATACTACGTGTACACACATAATGTACTTCGAGAAAAAGAATGTGTGAATATTGCATAAGAATACTATATTCACGATTACACGCTATGAAAACTTGCTCATCTACATACTTGTACATTTTTATCACTCACAAGAGCAGCATTGAAACATATTCTTAACGAACTTCTGTATAGGTACACATGCAAGTATAGCATGCGAGGAAAATGTGACGCGAACATGTATGAATAGGTAGAAATATTCTATGCGAGTAGTTGCCATGATGAGATACGAGTACAATCTATATGTATGATTTGCCTAAAACCTGAAATTACTTGCATCGCATGTATATGGTTGTCAAATGTATAACTATGCTTGTACTACTATGTTTTATTCATAAAGAATAATTGGCAAATCTTTCAAATGACTTATATATATATCAGCACATAACACTCATTTCTCGAAGCATTCTTGATACTTTGCGCAAGTTGCTAGAAATTTTATGTAAATGCAATGAATTGATTACAGGTCTGTATTCAATTAGATATGCAACCTTTTAAGGACAAAATTTAAAACGTTCGCAACAAAAAGTTGTTAGTGGTCAAAACACAGGAGTTCGCAAAGATAGATAATTTATATGTGAAAATATTATTTTACCAAAGAGATAATGATGTGGCTAGTTCTATGTGTTGAAGTTTTAGAAATAAAGCTGACGTAGAATCATAAATTCAACAAGATAAATCAAGGTCTCTTTTCCGTGGGGTGATCAAATTCTACAACGATAGGTTTTGTATATTCTTCTTTAAATAAATTACACTAAACGATGGATTTTCAAACATTAACTTTTGATTAAATATCAAATCTCTACATTTGTAACATTGTCTTTATATATTAAGAAAAAAATGTAAAACAAAATCTCATATATATCTACTATGCATACTTTCAGTCACTATATATACTACATTGTAATTACGATTGCTATCATCTAGCGTCATCTCGATCCTAATGAACTCAGTGGTTATTTTATATGTTTATCTTACATGCAAGTCAATGACTCAGACTATCCGTAGAAGACAATAATACTCCAATCATATTTTATTTAATCAACGCGTCACAACCAAAAAGGAGTGTGTAAACAGATACACATTAAACTAAAAATATTTTTTATGAAACGAAATTTATATATTTTAAGATAACAAATATTTTTGTTGATATTCACTTTAGTAACTTATAATGGCTCGTGAAGATGAATATGATTATCTATTTAAAGGTAAAATTATAGATATTGGAAAGATAAAGAAGGCCATTTGTTATAATTTTAGTGGTGCTCATTGGTGATTCTGGTGTTGGAAAGAGTAATCTACTTTCACGTTTTACTCGAAATGAATTCAATTTAGAAAGTAAAAGTACAATTGGTGTTGAATTTGCTACACGGTAAATTCAATAAAAAAAAATGAATTATTAAATATATATATATATTGTTTTCTTTTAGAAGTATACAAGTAGATAAAAAAACGATCAAAGCACAAATATGGGATACAGCAGGTCAAGAACGTTACCGTGCCATTACAAGCGCGTATGTTTTTATTCTCTTGATTTCTTGTATTATTCATCATGTATTCTTAAATAGTTACTATCGTGGTGCAGTAGGTGCATTGCTTGTTTATGATATAAGTAAACATGCGACCTATGAAAATGTTGAACGATGGCTAAAAGAACTACGTGATCATGCTGATGCAAATATTGTTATCTCACTTGTGGGCAACAAATCTGACCTAAGACATTTACGTTCAGTACCAAGTGACGAAGCTAAATCATTTTCTGGTAAAATATAAGTTCAATTTATAAGTTTTTTGTTAATCGTAGAAAGTTTTCTTTTTTGAATCTCATAGAAAAGAACGGCATTTCATTTATTGAAACATCTGCATTAGATTCTACGAATGTTGAACAAGCGTTCCAGACTATTCTCACTGGTATTATATTATTTTCATATGACTAGATTAATTTATTTTCATATTTGTTCTAACAGAAATCTATCGTATTGTTTCTCAACGTCCAATGCCAGAATCAACAGGAACACAAATTAATGGTGGAGTGGGATCATCACACCTTCCAATTCGTCTACCCCCAACAAATCCTGTATCTGATTCCAAACAGAACACATCATGTTGCTCATAGATTATTACTCTTCAACAATAACGATTAATTAATCTTACTTCATTCGCTTTAAACGTTATCATTCTCTTTTCTTTTTTCATGTGTAATCAGAGTCTGTTTTTGTTCTTCAGCTTTGATTGTCACATGTTGGCGCATTTTTTTTAAATATCATAATCATCATTCGTGCATTTTGTTCGTTTCGTTTTAAGCAAAAGAAAAAGACGAACAAAAGATGTCCATGCGATGTACAAATCGAATTCTTGTCATACGCGTGCTACCATTTATTTTTTTTTATCCTTATATATGACTGTGGCTCTTGTTCGACATGGCTGATTTTTATCTCCCTCGTACCTATCGTTTTTCTCACAAAAAAATTATCGCACATTCTTCTTTTGTTGTTCTCCTGATTGCATAGAAAAACTTCAATAAAAAGACAAAAATCATCAAAAAAACAATAGAAAATTGAATAACAACTAATGTAAAATATGACCTTGATCATAGGTTGAAATTTGATATGCAAAGAAATTGATTTTTTCATAGTAATTGAAAAATGCATATTGATCTTGACAAGAACAGTTGATGCATGATTAATGATATTAATGTGATTTCAAGTTTGAAATAGAAATCTCTGATGTAAATCTGAAGAACATAATGTGACAAAAATATTAACATTTTCTTTTTGGCACGTTATTGAACTTTTTATTGATTACATTGGTACTTGTCATTTTTGTATTTAGTTAACCTATCTATATTATTTTTTAATGTGTGCCATGTAGTTTCTGTTAAGAAATTAAACTAGAAATAAAAAATTGAACTTGAACTGATGATGATAGATAGATAATGGAATGGGTTCAATTATTATTAGAGATGAAAATCATCTGATTTCTTCCATAGTTCTAGTAAAAGTTTCCAGAAAAACATATGTCTCTTGTCATAATAAAAGTGGCACGGATAGAATCGATTTGATTAAAATATACAATATAAGAGAACTATTCCTTGATTGCAGAAACTGTAAACACTGTTGATCATGTAGTCTCAAATTGATATTTATCGTTCTCATATACTCAATTACCATGAGAAAAGTCTTCTCAAGAAAAAATCTGCACACACTATTCATCGATACTGGCGTTCTCCTTTCTCAAATAATTGCTTGCATGAATACTTTGATTAGAAAATATCATAGACTTGTTCATCATAGAAATTGTAGCTTCTATCTCCAAACGCATCTCTAGATACAGACCGTGATAATATTTATTTCTACCTAGATTTTTGTTACTATTTTAAAAACGCCCTACTTAAATAACTAGAAATATATTTTTCGTATCAGTCATTAAACATTTCATCGAACTTCTTCATATAAACAGTGAAATTCGAAAATAAAACTATTAACGCAATACCAGGAAGATCCATAGAGAATTTAATGTCATCAAAACAATTTGCTTTTCTAACAATGCTCACTGGATATCATTGAGAATATTCATTTTGATTCGACAATATTGCCATCAATTTTCAGTTATGATCTCAACTTAGATTGAAAATATTTATAAAACTAAAGATTTTCTCAATCAGGATCAGTTTTTTTGAAAGAAATAGGCCAAAGACTGAACTTCATCGTTTGTTTTTTCTTTTTTCATTATACTAATAAATAACGAACCTGCTCGGATCGACATATTAAGACGAACTGATTAGTAATAGCTTACCGTCACTCTCGGTAATGATGTTTTTTCGCTACTTTATTCTATTCACAGTGTAACAACTTCAAACATGGTAGAACAAATGGAAATAGAATAGATAGAGAAGAAAGGAAAATCTTGAGGGTGCAGGTTTTTCAACAGAAGACCGAGGCCCACACATTTCACACGCCTATACTGACACCCTCAAGTTTATATTTCAACCAAACAAAATACATTTTTACATATCAAACAGGAACACTGTAGCCTCACAAAAGATATAATTTTTAATTAAACGTTCTTCTATTTAAGTAATCATTACAGCTGTTTAAAGAGTTGTACACCTGTTCAAACTACATAAAACAACTTTCATTTCTACGCTTTTCCTCTATTCTGCTCAATTGATGAATATTAAAAACAAGCGGCACAAATTGTTATAGCAGTGAAATGCGAGGTACATCATGATTCTGAAGAATTTTCAAAAACGCCCTCACCCTTTCGTGCCCTGTCTGATAAAAGTCAACATGACTATACTAATTTATGTGTTCGTGGCGACTAATAGAATCATCTATTATTTTTCAACATTGATGTTAATTGTCGATGCTGGTCACGAAAAGATGCACATCATGAAAGCAATAAAGTAGCGAATTCCATCGATACAAAAAAATCACCTATATTATTCTTTACAAAGACCGTCAATGTAATAGTAACGTATCGACTTGTAGCACAATTGAATAGAAAAAATATTGTTCTTAATAAATATGCAACGAAATATCAGAGTTTTCTCTATTACAATAATATTACTAGATACATATCAAAATCTGCTATATCTATAATATGAACGAATTTGCTATCAAGTGTCCGAGCACATAACGAAAATGTTGAATAAAATCTAATCAGCACTATAATCTAGATAAATCTAATCTAAATTATACATCCTAAAGACCAAACGCCGCTACAATTATAGAATATCTTTAAACATTAAATTATTCTCATAATCTTATCAAAAGACACCTGATATCTAACATCTAGATATCAAAAACAAATTACCGTTCAATTATAGCGAAGTCGTATCAAAAATACTACCTATCGCAAGTTAACAAATATATACAGTATTCACATAGCAGTCAGATACATAAATAGATCGAAATATCATTAATAGCTGTACAAGTGATGCAATCGCTATGCGAAGTTTAAATAGTTATCAGTCCTAAAAACTGTTCTACATGAGAAAAATTATATTTCTTTTGAGAAATGAGTTCATAGAAATACAATGGCAGTAATTTGAATAATACCCAAGAGATCTTGCTATGGCAATCACCAACTAAGTGAACGTCTGAAGTGTGCTTCGACAGTTATGGCAAAAAAGTTTGATTAGATGTCGCTGTTAACAGATTAAGTAATAGAAATCATTAAAAAATTCTGAACAGTTCATTCAATTTCAACAAATTAATTTTTTTTATGTATATTTCTTTAAAAAAAAAGCATTTTCACGAATGATGCAAATCTAAAAAATTGCTGAAGTATTTGCATGCTTGCCTAACACTCTAAGGAAACAAACTCGTGTACATATTATTAATGGCGACGCCAACGGATGCAGCAAGTGCTGCACCTGAACAGGAAAACCGAGTAACTTTACGTGATCCTATTCGAGAAAGCGAAGGTTTGTTCTTCACATTTTTCTAATACAAACACGTGCAAAGAAGTTTCATTCTTTAGAACGAGCTAATCAAGCTCGAATTAAACGGTTAACAGAAGCATTTAATGTATTCGATCAAGAATCAAATAATACGATTCCATCATCGGAATTAGGTACTGTCGTACGATCACTTGGTCTTGTACCAACAGAAGGCGAATTGCAAGATATTCTTAGTGAAGTAATATAATTCAATTGAAAAACAAAACGATAAAATTAAACATTCGCTCTATATTCTTTACTTAGATGTCGGATGATTCAAATCCTGAATCAATTCATTTAGAAAGATTTCTAAATGTCATGAATACAATATTAAAAGATCGTCGCTATCAAGGTGAACCAGAAAGTAAAATTTTACGAGCATTTCAAGTTCTTGATACACAAAATAATGGTTATTTAACTGAAGACGAATTTAGGAATTATTTATGTAAAGAAGGTATTTAAAATAATCTAAGAAAAAATATGTTATTCATCTTAAAATTTATTTTCTACGGTTCTAGGCGAACCATTCAATGACGAAGAATTTCAAGATTTTATGACAATAGCTCTTGATGATGAAACAAATCATAAATGTACTTATAAAGATTTCGTACAACATCTCATCGTCGAAGATAATGATTAGAATAAATACTCAATCTTTTCCTTTTTTTTCGAAATTTTTATTAAAATATATTCCAAAAAAGAACCAACCACAAAAATAACATATTTAAGTAGGATTTATGTTAAGATGAGTAAGCCAATCAGTACATTTATCATGATAAGTATCTGTCGTTAATCGAATAGAAGGATCTACAATTAATAGTGGATGCCCATCAACGGTTAGTATTTTATTGTTTGACCTTAGAAATATTTGATCTGGCGGTAGACGATTATCACTTTCAGATATATCAAAAGAACTTCCATTTAATGAATGACGTGATGATAAACAACTAGGCGTTTGCATACCACCATTAGGCCCAAGTAAATTCATATTACAACGAATTGATGTCGATGGAGATTGAATAAGAAGTTTTTTTTCATTGTATTTCAAACATTTTAAAAGATAAGCGTTTGGATATGAATGTGATCGTTTTAAAAAATTATTTAAATGTTTAGAAAATGTATAATGTACAGCACCACATAAATCCTTGTACGTTTCATTACAGTCCGGTAAACTCCATGTACGTGAAATAGTTGAAGTTAACTTTTTCGGGCTTTCAATTGGTTTTTGTTTGCCATCCGATGAACAAGTTTCAATAACAAATGAAGGCACTGGCTGAGATGAACGCATATTGTTTTCTAGGATCTATTAATATAATTTATAAAAGTAAAGAAGTAAAAAATCTACTACTTCACTATAAAACAAAAGAGTTAGTCAGTCATTCAATTATGTTTTTGAAGTGCTTCAATGCATGCTTACAATTATAAAGATGAATCTTCTCTTTCATTTTTTGTACTACGCTATATATATATATATATATATATATTAATATAAGTTATAAAACTAGCGTAATGTATTCAATTCAACCATAAGATAGGAATTCAGTGACTATTCTATTACTAGCGCTTATCAATTTTCAGTTCTTTGATTAATACGCTTAAGAAAACAATTTTTTTCTTTTCTTTTTTTTACAAAGGAAAATTAATTTTCTTATTCTGTGTTCTTCTGCAGAGAGAGAGAGAAGAAAATTGATATGCTATTACAGATATAGAAAAAAGGTGTAGACATAGACGCAATTATTTTTATATTTGTGTTAATATGATGATGAATATAAATACAAGTTGTCAAATTCTTTTCATTCATTTTTTTTTATTTCTTTCTCATCGTTTAATACTTACTTATTTAAATTAATTTAAAAATTGAATACATAGTATTAGCCATGCTATACCTTCCAAGTTATTTTGATTAATAAAAATGAATAATTAGAAGTTAAACTCTTTTACATCTTACTCCTTGCCTTTCAAGCCATGATGATTTCTCTTGGATTTTTCCTTGTTCTCTGAAACGTTAGTTGGCTGGTGTTTTCCTCAGAGATGCGATTGTTTATTCTCTTCTTCTTTTTTTCTTTTGTCAAAATGAGTTAGAAAAACAAGAAGAAAAGAACAGGATAAAATCTTCTCTTCAACGCAAATCCCACTATCATAGACAAATCTATTATTTAGCCGAATATGTAATAGGAAAAGAAAATTTTTCTCCGTCAAATAGAAGAAAAAGATCTTCCTCGTCGTTCAACATGAGTTTCTAGTCATCAAAAGATAAAGTGATGCACTCTTCGTAGTCTGTGCGAGATCTAAATATGTTATTTCTTGTTTCCTATCTTTTTTCTTCGCTTGTTAACCATGATGTTTATTGTAAAAAATAAAACCAATAAACAAAAACAACAAAAATCACAATGCATTAATAATCATATCAACTTTTGCGTAGCATATCGGTCAATTGTAATATTGATTTTTCTAGTTCTTGCATATCATTCATAATTTTTTCATCAGTTGTCATTAGTGATGAATCATATTTCTGTTTTAACCGAGTCATAACAGAATTTAAAGTCAGACGTATGGAATGACATGATTGTTTAAAATTTTCATTCTCAACATGTTCACCGAGTTTTTCAATTGTTTCTAATAAAACGAAGTGAATTTTTAATTTAATTTGATATTAATAATACATACTAGCAGCCAGTTTATTTGATAATATAAGAACACTTCTGATAGTTTCGATTTCATTTTCCCAACTTGATGTCTGATTTATAGCACATCGATGTGCTCGTTGTAATTGTTGTAGAATCTTTAAAAAGAAAATAGCAAGAGTTTTTGTTCTTTTATTATAAAAACTAAATATAGATAAATGAAGTGAGGAACATCAATTGAGTCGGTCTCAATTATTAGCATTGGATCTAACTAAATCAAATTTTTCTTATTATGAAAATTTCATTTCTTTGATCGAATAAATCTTAAGTCAATGTTCCTATTCAACGAATAAATACAATGATAATGCGCTATTTATTTTAGTTTCTACAAATAAAATTATTTTATATTGAAATGATCCGATTCTCATTGATACATACTTTCATATGCCAATCAATTGATGTATCATCTTTTTTTAATTCACATAAATCACTGTATAATTCCCAAACGTCAGCATCATTTGTTACCTAAATTGTTTTTGAAATAGATAAATAAAATTTTGTCATTTTAAAATATTTACTTGTGCAGTGAGCCTTCCAAATAGTTCAAGGGATTTTTGATAGATCTTCAGCCATATTTCATTTTGTTCATTTTCAGATAATAAATTTACTAATCGTTGTAAAACCTTAAATTTTCTTTTAACATAGACAAAGAATGATAAACTTAAAATAATCAACGTACTTCTTTGTCCACATATTTAGTTTTCAGATCAATTAAACGATGATACGCCTGCATAACATCTTCGATTTCTCCGCAATCAGCGCTAGTCTTTAAAAGAAAATACTGAATATTTCTATCTATTTTTTTATAGTCATGATGTAGCTAAGCTTTGAAATACGATGTTGAAAAATGGTCATTCACTTGGTAGACCACATAAGTCCTTGCCGGTTCTCTGCATCATTCTGTTTTACTCATTGTAAAGCTTCAAGATTTCTCGATCAACCGAAGTTTATACTATTTTGAAGTAAATTTCAACTTCTTTAGACATTGTTTTGTTTTTGTATTAAAGAGAAGTCAAAGAACAGTTCGCAATTGAACATTCAAAACTCTTCATAATTTCTGCGAAGAATTGCCAGATGTTTGATTTTTTTTTCTACACGCAAAATATACTACTACTCAACTGAGATTTTCAAGGATTGCTATATCATTATGAGGTGTCATATTTTCTGCATTGAGAACTATCACACTTCTAGCAGTGCGTTTAAATATTCTTGAGTATCATTTGTTTCTATCAGTAACTATTGTCAAATTTCATCGGGTAACGCAGGTGGTTTAAGCAGTTCACATTCAGTGTAAAAGTGTAAATTTTAGTTAAATCCAAAAATGTCGTTTTGTAATTCATGAACTCTGGTGACAACTTTGAACAGAAGAAAAACAAATATCATACAGAGAATTGACAGAGACTAATGCTGTCTATGTGAAGAAAAGCTTAACTTTAATATAACTTTCCAAGAATCAATTCATATCTATTATATTTATTTTATGTATTAATTCAATTAAGCATACCCAAAGAAAGTTTTCCCATACTTTCCAATTATCGTAATTACATTTAATTGCTTCAAGAAAAACTTTATGCGCTTTATCTCTGTAAAAAAAATTCAATAGTAAACATCAATGAATATTTAAAAGTTACTATTTTATTGTTTCTTACTTTTGTTTTAATTTTATATGGCATGCAGCTAAATTATTCCATGCTTCGAAATTCTATTAGAACAAAATATAAAAATATCCATAATAATAACAAGTTCTTCGACATAATTACATCTGTTTCAATATTAGTACAACGACTATACGCTCGTACACCTAATTCCCATTTTTCCGTACGAAATGATGCAGTACCAAGCCAAAACCATGTGTCATGCTAATGAAAATCTAAATCAATAGACACGAATTGTTCACATGATTTTTTCCCTACTTGTAATGAATTGATTTCAACAGCTTTTAATAAATGTTCACAGGCTTTTTCATACTAGACTCATTAGAACAGCAAGAAATTGTATTTAGAAAAACAAAGATATTATTTTTGTCGTTACATTTCCTCGATTAAAATAATATTTTCCCATTAAACGTTGTGCACGCCCATTACGTTCTTTACTTATTATCCATGCCCGTTCAAAATATTCTAATTCATCGGTAACTTCACCTAATGAACAGAATAACTCCGGCGTTTCTTTTATTTTTAATTGTTCACGAATTACATGTTCAGCCTAAATAAATTCAATAGAAATAATTTTATCTTTTATTCAGATAAAACAATTTACTAATGAAAGTTTTTTTAATATTTGATAACATGCTATAACATCAGACCATTTTTTTAAATATAAATATAAATCGAGTGCATTATTAACGAGACCAAGTTTAACATAAACGTGCGCAATATAACTCTAAAAATACATTTTAAGATTAAAAAAACAACAAAATACTTTTGTTTTAAATTTCACTTTTAATTTCCATGTTGGATAAACTGGTGTTGAATGAAAATATTCTAAGCGAAATGAGCTTGATGGATTTTTATAATCAAATTGGTCAATCAATTCCTGAATAAAGATTAAAGATTTTTAAAATGATTTTTGTTTTCTTAAAATTGAATATACTTGTAATTGTAATAATGTGCGTTCAATTTTACGTTTATTTTCTGTTTCATGCTGGCAACGTAATATAAGTGAACATGTTTGAATGCACCAATTTAATGGTCGAGCTAATATATACTAGAAAGACAAATATTGTATTATTCTGATTTAGAACATTAAATATTTAATAATAAAATAAATCTCTTTCTAAATTGGAATAATTACGAGTGTAAAATAAAAATAATTTTATCTGATGTTTTCTTTTATTTTTTGAGTATACTATAATAGAATTATCATAAGATGAACTCAGTAAAGTTAGTAAAATTAGTTGAGACATTTCCACGTGATCTAATCTAATCTAAGATTAAAAATATCGTTTTTTCTTTTATCAAAATGGACTGGGTAATAAGTATAGATAAAAGACAATTCTACTCGTATGAGTCTTCGGTTTTGACTACATAGTGCTGTGGCTTTCCATTTGGCGCTTGTTCAAATACTAGCAAGCAGTAGAAAAAAACGTATTAGTGCTTCTTATTTCAAATAGCATAATCTATTTATTCTACATATCATCATCTAAATTGTAATATTCAGTGAAAATATCGAAAAAATAAGACAGTTCTGAGAAACCTCTGTACATTTTAATGAACATCGGTGATTCATTATTAAGCCATAGATAAAATAGAAAATAGGATTGTTTTAGTTGTAAAAAAAATAAAACAATGACATTATTCCATCGCTACTGAATATTTTCCAAGAACCGTAGAAATCATTAGATAGGTTTGTTAAAGTCAAAAGTTAGTTTGATAGGATATTTCAATGTTCATAGTCAAAGTTTAAATACATACAGTTAAAAACGCTAATTGTTCTTCGGTTGTAATTTCATGACGTGGATTATTGATTTGCCGATCATATCTTAAATAAAAATACGTTTAAAGTTTAATAAAATACAATAAAAAGTAACTGACATGACGAATAATAAAGTTAATTGTTCAACAATATTTAATTGAATAGTTAAATTTTGATTATCGGTTTCATTTTTAAATTGAATTTGATTAAGAACCACATCATCATTTAATGCCATGTTCTAAAACATAAAATAAAAACATATTTTCTTCTTATTCAATCGATTTTTACTTTAGGTAATATCAAATTCTCCTCTGTTGCTGTGCTGTTGTTATTATTATTATTAGTTAATGTTTCGTCAGTTTTGTTTCTTGTAATATCAAGAAGTAATTGTGATGTATCATTTATTTGATAGCGCGTTCTTTTACCCAGTTGACCTATAATTAAATTAAATAATTTGTTCGTGAAAGAAATATCTTTTTACCTGTCAAATTAATTTCTAAACCCGAAATTTGAATTGCTTGATTCTTAGCTACTTCTGCTTGTTTCCAATTGTAATAATACACAAATATATAAGCTATTTCAATAGAGAATAAAGTCTGCTGTGTTCTAAAATAAATATAAATATCTTTCTCTATTTTTCGTTTTCATAATTTAATTGTTTTACTTATTCATGTCTGGCTGACAAATGAAGACTAAAAGCGAGAAGAAAATATAAAATTAGAATAAATATTGATTATGTTTTTAATTTGATAATTACGTTTATCAATACATGTTTGGATATTATTATATAATGTCATTGAATGTTCATCTAGCATTTTTTGATGCGTAAATAACGTTCGCATCGTCCACCAATACCAAGTCTAAAAACAATTAATAGGATGCATACTTTTGTGAATATGAATATTCGTACCCAATTTTTATTTGTTTGATTTTGTGAAATATTGAATATTTTAGTTGCTTGATATAAATAATCTAAATGCTCAATAGTTGCAACAGGCATTTCACCGTCACAAGTTAATTGTTCATTGATTGTAGACTTGAAAATGATAGTTTAAAAACAAATATATAGCAAAAATAATTATCTACTTGTGGAATGGGTATTTCTAGATTATCAAGTTCACATTTTGGTCCAAGAAAATTATTGATAATGAACAATTGAAGATATGCAATGCCGATGATTATATGTAAAAGATCAGCTAATCTTTTAAACAAAAGAAAATATCTTAAAAATCTACATTCATTGATATTTATTTTCAACTAACTCTTCGTCATGATTTAATTTATCCATAATCTCAATCCATTGAGAATCATCATGATTTTTATTAATAAAATCTCGTAGATTTGGATTTTCGATGAAGACTTTATCATACGAACCATTCAAAATAAAATGAATAAGTTCATTCAACCATTCTAAATGATGCATATACAAAAACAAAAAAAATTATTTTTCAAATAATTCCCTCCTCATCAAAATTCATCGTCAAACACACACCATTATCTATATATTTGACTTGTGTGACCGTAGGAATACTTGGTGTCGTAAGTAGATCGTTCCATATTTGCTGTGATATTTTCATGGTAAATCTAAAAATGTTTTTCAGTTCTCAATGTGATGTAAAAACATTTTAATGAAGAGAGAAAAAAGACAATCGCATTATTTTCATTCTATTATATAAATATTATAAAAGTATTTCAAGTTGATATTCTATTATGTTGATCAAATATGATCGGTGTGCGTTGTTGATTGAAATCATTAAGAATTCGAACACCATGTTGCTGTTGCCCTTGATATGGATAAGCTATGGATTGTTGATGAGAAACCTGCATATGATTAGTATTTATTGGCGGTGAATGCATGGATCTTGTTATTGGTTGTGATGGTAAAAATTGTGATGATGTTTGAAAAGTTTCATTATTCTGATAATGTTGATTGTTAATTTCACTATGTGGGTCTTGATATCGATATGTATTCCAATTATTAACTGGTTCGTTCGATACTTGTTGATGATTTTGCGAAATATACGAGCCTTGATTGAGACCAACATGAGATATGGAACGAGGTATATCTGTTGATATGTGCCGAACATCATTATTGGCATTTTCAGAATATAGTTGAGTATCAGAACCGATACGTTTTCGTTGTGTAAAATCAACTGATGGATTCCAGTGTTTTGGTAGATTAAATGATGTTTGTGTTGATGATAGTTGCTGCTGATTTTGTTCTTGTTCTTGGTGCTGATGTTGTACAATAGTAGTAGAAGATGGTGCAAGACGGCTATTAATAGCATGCGTTAATTCGCGAATATCACCATCATTTATTAATTGTCGATTAAAACTATTTGAATTCGTTATAAGAAATTGAACGCGTCGGCCAGTTCTTGTTAAATATTCATAGCGACGTTGTGGTTCAAGAACATGAATCTGTTGAATATTATGCGAAAGATTATCATTAATTGAAGATGTTCCTTGCCGAAATAATATTGACGATCGTAATGGCATACGTGGTGGAGGTGGCGGAGGTTCTTCGCTATTAATTTGATGTTGATGATAAGATGAAGTAATTGATGATTTTTGTTGTTGAGAATGATATTTTGATAATAGTCCAGGATCATCTATAACATATTCTTTAATAATTGTTCCATCCAGTTGAGGAACTTCTCGTGCGTGTACACCTGACATTTTAATCAAATCTTGAACACCATCAATATTCAAAAGATTTCCATCTTCGTCAAGTATTTCATATTGAACACGAGGTTGGTGTGAAATTTCATTGGTTGATAATATAGGAGTAAATTGTTCTTTATGACGACGTATTTCTTCACCTTTTCAAGAGAATGAAACGGTTTTAAAACTATAAAGCAAAAGTCAAATTAAAAATTACCTTGCCGATGAATTCGTCGAACTTCTTCATCGGCTTCATCAGCTGATTCTAAACGTCTCAATGAATTCGTTTTAGATTTTTCAGTTGCGATTGATTGTGAGCGTTGATAACTATCATGTGTATTAATCGATTGATTTGGCGTACGTATTGAATTGTTATTATCAAAATTTATTGTTTGAATAGGTATTGATTCGTTGGATGCTCGTCTGTGTCTAGCATATAACTCATCGGTTTGTTTTCGCAAATTTTCACGTGCTGTTGTGTTACTACTATGTGTCGATGCTGTTAATGGTGATCCCATAACATTTGAAATGGTTTTTTGTTCAAAATTAGCTTTGATTTGAGCAAATTTATTTTTTAATGATTGTCGTTGTTGTTCATCATCAGAAATTGTTGTTGATAATGCTGAATCCGTGGGTCCTGGTGATGATTTGATCTCTTCTAATAAAGTTGGATCTTCAATAATATATTCTAGAAAAGAAAATTTATTTTTATTTTTTCATTGAAAAACATAACAAAGCAAGTACCTTTGATAATTGATCCATCGGGTTGAGTTATTTCACGTACATTTGATGCAAAATTTCTCCAATTATTACCATATCGATTTTTAATGGTATCAGAATCAAAACGTTGAATATTTTTATCTTCAAAAAGACTGTTGTCCTGACTTGGCATTGTTGATTGAAACAATTGAGTATTTACTGTTGGTATTGAAAATAAATATGGATAAATATAGATTCAATATATGCGAAGTTAGTCAATTGGTTTGATGAATAAATTTGTGTAAAAAGAGAGAGGAGGAGGTATTACTGTGCATTAATGCGTGACCAATCACCTATTCACATGAATGTTGGATACGAGTGAGAAAGCAGACACTCTTTCTCTCTCTTTGTCACTCTCGATGAATAATATTCATTCTTTTTATATTTGAACCAAACGAGAAAACGAAAACGCCTATCAATGTGTCACCCATGAAACATAGTTGATTTTAATTTTCTTTTTGTAATAAGTGTTCATTAATAACATTCTTGATTTGATAATGATAAGGGACAATTATTCATCACAGATTTTGGTTTTCTATCGAATATTAATCGTGAACATTTTATGACGATCATATATCACCTTTTTAAATTAACTAGGTTGATTGAGAGAATGTCCTTCATGTTTATAAATATCATGATTTCTTCATGATCGGGACTGGTTACAGTATTTTTCATTCGAAATTAATAGACATTTCTAATCAAATACATCGTTAAATAGAAAAGTTTCAATAAACATAAATCATATTTCATATTAATTTTGATGAATGTGAACAGTGATTAATTCATATTCTGACGAATCAAAAATAATTGTTAGAGAAACACTTCTAATTCTAATATTCTTTCATAAATTTTAATATTCATACTCAATTGTATCGGTATCAAGAGAATCCGATTTATTTCCCTATTGATGCACAATACACGTACAGGTTTCATAGAAAAAAAAAGAGAGGAAAATATAACCATCTAAAGAATGAAAACAAAATCTATAACTTCAAATTTTTTCTTTATATTTTAAATGCTTCAATTTACTCATGTTTTTTTTTTCTTAATTTTTGTGTTTGTACACCAACGAGATCGAGTAACGCTCAAACATACAAAAAAAAACATGAAATGAACGAAGAATATAGATATAGATTTAAAAGAAATCAGCCAACAAACAGAAATAAAGAAGAAACATATGGATTAATAACACAAAAGAAAAACAATGAAAATACCAAGCCAACGATTTTTTTCCTTTTTTTTGTTACAATAATATAAATGAATAAGAAAAAAAGATGAATATGCGTCGCGTCAACTTAGTTCATGGTTGCGTATTTTCTTTCTCTCCATCTTATATATTGGCATACATATACACGAACACAAGAAGAAACACAAGAAGAAACACATTTACATAGAAACATTTAATATAATAATTAAAGTAAGAGTTGATATATCTAAGACATCTTCTTCGTTTTGGCTCTATTTCATCATCATCATCATCATAGTGAACTTTGTTTTCTTCATACTTCTATATACATACAATAAGTTGAACATAAATCTGCAGAAATATAGAGAGAGAAATGAATTGAATAACAACCAACAGAGAAAAAAGAACTAAACAAAGAGAACTTAAGTGACTTTGTTTTGACAAATGAGCAAAAGAAAAAAAACCTAGTAGAGACGACAAGAGAGAGAGAGAGAGAGTAAAAGACTTCTTGTGATAGTTTCTTTTTTTTTCATTTTTCCAAATATATACATGTACAGTTCGAGAAAACAAAGAAAAAATAGTAAAGAAACGAGATGATTGTCCCGAGAAAAAGAAAAATCAAGCCGGATTGTTATTGTTACATCAGCATCGCCCTTGATCATGATTTTCTACATTCAAATAGTTGTGGATAGAATTCATTAACTGCTGTATTGATTCGTTCAACGCACGGTGCTGAGCAGGATAATAAAACGAAATTGAATAATTAGGAATTCATCATTTTTTTCCAACGATATTTACCTGTTAATGTTACACTACCAGTAGTGAAAACTTTAAGAACAGCCTTTTCGGGCAATCTGACTGTAGCTCCCGGATGAATTTCAGGTTCATAACTAAATAAATTTTTGTAGAGAAACATAAAATTGTTCTTTTCTATTTTTACTTGACTGTATCTGAATAGGATCGACTCAATTTAATGATGTCAATTGGCCATGGCATCGTACACGTTGCTAGACAATTGACAACACGAAAATGTCGAAATTTGACTTTAAATCCGAGCCGTTGTAGAGATCGAGCAATACGTCGTGCAGCGCGTCGTGCATCATCCTCACTGGAAGTAATAAGTAGCAGTGTACACGTTAATGTGATACTACTACTAGTTTTCCTCCTACACACACCTTGTCGTTCCTGTTACTGTTACTTTACCCGATGCCCAGATGTTGGCTGAACAATATGGATTCCGCATCTTCATCAATATCATCTATAATACAAAAAAAAGAAAGATTAAGCTACTTTTTGTTATGAAACATACCGCTTGTTCGCGTTTGTAAATAACATTAGTGCCTTCCATAGCTATTTTACGTAGATTCAATTTGCAACCAAGTGCAAATGAACAAACAACATTATTGACGAAGATTTCGATTTCTTGATCTTGCGGAGGATTAGTTAAACTAGTATTATCTTTACTTACTGTAGAGGAACTTGTTGCATGATGCTAAAAATAAGAAAAATAGAAAACGCAAAATTTCTTTTCTTTTTTCATTTTTTTGTTTTTGGTATTTGTTTATTTAATTTCACCTGTTCGTCACGTTGAATATGACTTTGAACTTGAGATGTTATGTTCAGTACTTGGGATTGTTGGACATGAGAAGTATTTGTAACTAGAGAAAAAATGAAACAAAAATAAGAATTTAAACAACAAAACAAAAAAGTCAAAGGGAATCATTTCACTTTGTCGTTGAATTGTTATTGGTGCTAATCGGCCCAGAATTGGCGTATCAATGCAAATACCCGGTTTGAAATTGTTATTAGAAATACAACTAGGAGAATCTAAAATTTATATTTTTATTATACAATTAATCAAATATAAAAGGGAAAACTTTTACTTGATGATGTTAAAATTTGTCTAGGATGATTAAATATTGTTGTGTTACTATTATTTAAAATTGTAAGTGTTGGTGCTGATAATGATGTATGTAATGGTGATGATACGAGTCGTACTGTTTGCGGAGATTGAAGAATAAGATTTCCAGTTGTTATTGGATTATGCTGCTGCGAATTTGTTGTTGCTAAATAAAGTATATTAGCATTTGTTGGCATTGTTACACCGGTTGAATTTATTGGTACTGATGTTGACGAAGTTACATTCATATTACCATTTATAATTGAAACAACTGCTGGTTGTTTAATTAATGACGATGTTGCAGTTGAAGTTAAACGCCAAGCTGGCGATGTCGTCGAAGATGATGATGATGATGAAGATGATGAACCATTCATTGGTGTACTGATAAGTTGAAATGAAGATGGAAGAGCAGCAGCAACAGGACCACCACCGGCAGATCCTGTCGTGGCAGTTACATTAGTTGTCGTAAACATTTCGTATTATTATTATTATTATTATTTATTTATTTATTTATTTATTTATTTTTCTATGGATTTTATTCAATAAGATGAAGAACAAAAAGAGGAAAATAGATTGGTTTTGTTTTGTCGTGTTTCTTATTTTTATCTGACAAAAGTTTCATCCAATTTGAAGAACGTCGTCAAAATTTGCACTTTTCGATACATGTGCTATTTGATTGACTTGCTGCTGTCGGTTTCTCGCAGCTGATCATTACGAACGTTCCTATATTTATACTCATTGGGTACCATGAGAAAAATGTTTGTGTCTCTACTGGCAAAATGCATACGTGTTTTATTAATTGGTTTTTTAGATCCATAATTTACCGAATTAGATCCAAAACGATGAATCAAAATAATGATTCTACCGAAACATGTTGATGGAAACAATAAAGAATATAGAACAAGTTTCTTTTCTAATTAAAAAGAAACTGTCAATCTCAGATGATAATTTAGTAATAAATAAGAAAGATGTCAGTAATTGTTCATACAAAGGTTTTTCTTAGTGCTAACGATAATTAATTACGACTAAACCTGTTGGCAAATTTTGCTGTATAGTTCAAACCAACATTTATAGATTATTTACAATATCTCGATTTTACTTTCGAAATATGCAACATCATATAGAAAATGGATCACTATTGTTAACGTATAGATATATGTATCAACGACTATAATAACTTTTCAACAAACACATGAGAACATATGTTGTTCTTGAGATCATCAGATTACTGAAGTTAAGTATGAACTTTAGGTTGATCTAGAAAGAAAACTAGATGGCATTCGATTTTCACTCATGTACAAAATACGATGCGAAGCTCGAATTCAATCGAATCTACGTTAACATGGGGAAAACGAAAAATTGACATTACAATTCATTATAGATCAGTATTCTACGAATGAAATTCGAAATCTGTTCGGTTTAAACCCTTTCTATTTTGAATAATTTGAAAACAAAATTCAACTGTGTAGCTGATCGATATTTGAAATATCGTGAAAATAGTTATTTTAAAATGCATCACTACGAGAACTCTCAACTTAGCAACATGTTGTCTTGGAACGTTGTCGATCGATTGAACGATTAATTATCTCTATGATTCATAATCTTACAGTAGCTGTAAATGAATAGACTATCGGCTAACATCTGTTTATGTATGATTTGTCTAATTCGAATTATAATATAAAAAATGAAGTTCTCATTGTATAAGATGACTTCGAAAATAAATGAAAAATTCAAAAAATCATGCCAGCACTTGTGTTTGTCAGAAAAATATTTTGCCGTTTATAAATTTATACATGAGATATGGATTAATCTGATATTGACCTACTTAAAAGCAGACCATATTATGCTAGCAGGAACACGTGAGATCACTAGGTTTCTACAGACACTCTTAAGAAAGCTAACATATCTTCGAGTAGTATGTAGACATTTCGTAAGTATTCTAGAAGTGTCGTCTGATATATTCAAGTTCAATACAAACAAAACCTACGATGCAATGGTATACACTAGGATGTTAGTAGTATCGCTATCATGCTACATCTGCCATCTAACTTCTTAAAGTAACCTCTGGCATGTTACAGGTCACGTCTAGTGTATTACAGACATAATATAGCATCCTTCAGGGTGCTACGAGGTTGCTCGAGCTTCTTAGTGCATCCCACAGGTATCATTTAAAACACTGGACGCATCGAAAATGATGGTAATGATTTCTCCTAGGAAGCGACAAGGATCATCTAGCACATTACAACGATTTTTTAGCATCTTAATGGAATTAGCAACCTAGAATAAAATATGATGATCATTCATTTTAATCTTTAGTCTTTTTTTTCGAACATTTTCACAAAATTTTACATTTTAATAATGTTACGATTTTTTTGCTTTCACGTAAAAGAAGCAGTTTTTTGTGCATACTTCATTTGTTAGATCACGATAAATTTTTACCACTGCACATAATAAATGTATTGTTTGGCACAGAAGACGTCATATTCTAGTAGATACTTGATTTTGATACTAAAATCTATTTCAATCACAGATAATAAATATTTTTTATTGGTCTGATTTAACCATATCATCGAACGATTGATACTGTCCGAGGGCTTTAGAATATTCAAGAAGAACTATTCATTTTTTTATCATTGTCGATATGAGTCATACGAATCTGTCACATTTTCTTATTATCCTGATAGAAAATTATTTTGTTATTTATCGTTTTAAAATATTCGAAATAAAAACAAAACACAAAAAGAAGAAAACTGTCAGTCATAAAAAACTTATCAATATTTATATAAAATTAAAATGAAATTTCTCCTGGTGATTCAAGGTAGTTATTTCCATTACCATCATCATAGTATATACCTTGTCCAAGAAAGTCTTTATGGCGATTTCTTCGAGGATTAGTATCACGTATAGATGGATGAAAAAAAGAATCATTAAGCATTTCGGCAGAAAGAGAATTCGTTCCGATTGTTCGAGGCACTGAACGTTCATCCTGCGCATGATTCCATTCAGAACCATCAAGTGTTCGATTTATGTCCACCGTCCAAGATTGTCGAGAAAATTGTTCTAGAGGATTACTTGGACGTACCACATCATTTGATAAAATTCTTGGTTTTGAACTTGCCATTGTTAAATTAATTGCTGGTATAGGCTTTTTCAAACTGTCTTCATTACGTGATCGAAAATATGATATAATAATTTTTTCAATAGATTCTGAACGTTGAGCTGCTTCTTTTTCTCCTAAACGGCGATAGTTAGTTAAACGAATTAAACCTGTTGCATTGTTCTTTTCGAGATCTTTCAATGGAGAAAAATTACAAAGTTCGAGAGTCGACCTAAAAAAAGCATAGAAGTTTAATAAAAAAACAATACAATCAAAAAGATGAAATTATACCATCGGTCAAAATAACCTCGATCAACTCGATTTCCATGCCAATGATGCCATATATTTACTGGAATAAAACCAACAGAAGTACCGTTGCCAGCTAATTGAGCAACGCGTTGGCCCCATATTTTAGCTAAACTTCGATAATCTTCATGTGCACTATCGGGAATAGTTTCTTCAATACGATTTATTAATGCATATGCAAAATGAATATCGCCTGAGCCAAGTATAGAAAAATCGATAAGACCACCCATTGCTTCAAATGTAACCCGACGCATAGCCCAAGCATAACCAGGATGAACAAAACATTCTGATGAGCGACGCGGATCAATACGGTGTCCATGACGAATTGCATAAGCAAATGAATAATCTTGACGTAAAATTTGGCTTTTGCCTGACGGGCCCAAAAATGAAGATAATTCAAAAAGTTGAACAATAGGGAATTGTTGCAATTGGTATATTGCCATATGAGCCCAGTCCAAACGCTAAAAAATCAAGTAAACATAGTATAGAGTGAAAACAAATCCGTCAAACCAATCATTTTGTTAAATTTATCGTAGCAGTGAATGGAAGTAACACGGCAAACAATGAAATTCGATAATTATTATTTCCATAACAAATATTTTCTCTCTCTTCAAAACAGTACACCCCATCAGCAAAAAAATATTCTTATATTGTAATACAATATTTAAATGGAGAAAAAAAACTTAGACAGTTGTAAATAATTCGAGATCTAATCAAAACTATGTAAACTAACCTCGAATTCTATGTCTGCATCAAGCCAAGCAATATATTCTACGTAAGCTGGTAAACGTTTAGCAGCAATATTTATTAAATTTTCTTTTAACCATAAAACGGATGGTGCTGCTATTTGTAGATGACGCGGATCACTTTCTCTTGTAATTTCAAATTTTTGTTTTGCTAAACCTAATATTTCAGATTCGGGAAATATACATTCGACAGTGAGTAAAGTAACACCTGAACGCGTCATATGTTCATCAAATTTATGGTACGATTCATAACGTGATCTATATTTGATTGGATTAAATAAAACAGTTATCACACCAAAATGATTTAAATCATATTTAGGCACATGTAATTGAAGACTGCTAGAAGAGCCATGCTTTTTTGATGCATACGAACCCATTTTGTGTAGAATAGATGTTGGTAAATTGTTGTAGTCGTTTTTTTCTTTCGTTTGCAAAATCTACACACACACACACACACACACACACACACACACACAGAGAGAGAGAGAGAGAGAGAGTTACTTACGTCTCAATAGCGACAGAATGACACTTGACTGATTTCAGCACAGTCGTAAAACAGAATGAAAGAAAGACATGGGAATCTGAATAGTTACCTTGCAAATAAATAAATCATAAATTTGCTTGCGGTTTTTTCCTTTCGGATGATTTTCGTTTGTCAGTTCGAGAGAGAACGATTTAAAAAAAAGACGATACAACTAGAACAGCTTAATGGTCATGTGTATTGATCTTTAAGCCTTAAATAAAAACAATAAAAGAAAACGACGTAGAAGATGAAATATTATATTTCTAAGTTGCCTTTCTTAATAACAAGGCTGTTCTCTTTCATTTTTCCTTTTTCAAGTAGAAATATTAATGCACGGAAAAATGTTTCTTCACGTTTATTCTCTCTCAAAGAACTAATAAAAAGGTATAATTCTCACTTTGAAAAAAAAACAATTTTTATAGCTACATTAAGTCTAGTAGGCATAGTATTGAGACTTGCTTTGTGGATACGAAACAAACATTTATGTGCAATACACTTCAATGATTATGAAGTTTTGACAGAAGGAATGCGAAATCGAAATATTGACTTGGAAGGGAATAATATATTTACTCAAGATATTTTCTAGGGTTCTTCATGTGACTTTAACAACAAATCAGACAAATCACGCTTTTTTTCTATTTTCAGCCAACTATATAAGTAACAATAATACGGCTTATTCTTCAAGTACAATTTGTCAGCCATCAATGTTGCTTTCATATTTTTCGTGGCTTCCTTATTGTTCAATTTTATAAAATTTGGACATTATACGATCGTGTAAGCCATTCATAAGAGACATTCGAAAAAAAGCCTAATTTTGCTTACAACTCTTCATATAATCAGATATTGTCCAGTATTGTGATATAGGCCTTTATTTTCCGACCTCTGCGCTTTCAGTTTTTTACTTTCTTTGTACTAAATGCTGAAACGAAGCAAAATATTCTCGGAACATCTATTTGTATTGAACTTATCCTTTTACCGCATTCAAAAATATTCGATTTCACTACTACGATGCCTTTCGTCGGATATCTCTTATGTATGAACCCGTTGTTGGATTTTATCAAGCGCTTGCATTTTTCTCGTGAGCGTACTCTTTTGTAAATCGGTTAGAATAACAACTCTACTCAATCGAAGTCCTTGAATTGCGTCTGTTTCATAAACCTTATTAAGTTGTTTTTTCAAGAAGAATATTTATTGATTTGCTTTGAGCATGGATAAGCATTTTCTTTCTAAGTATGAATATCATAATAATCTATTGTGCCAAGTTTGTTCCGTAATGCGCTAATAGAACTAAGTCGTACCATTAAACTTGACTTTCAATATAGGAAGAAATAAATTCACTGGATGAAAATAAGTACTATGATTGGCATCTAATTGCGCTTCGAAATCGTCCATTTTTTTCCAACAAGCACATGCTCCAATATTGACATTACATTTGATAGAACTATTAAATCGAAGAAATCTTTTACTGACATAGTTTTTGTCGTCCTACTCATGTAAATAGTTATTCCTAAAAAACATCGTTATCGAAATGCATGTATCAGTGAAAATTCTAACTGATTCAAGAGCAATTGAATGAGTATTCGTAATATGAATTTTGTTATTATTCGGTACTTTTTTAATATGTTAAATAATTTATACATCATTGTCTATATCGCGTCCTATTATAAACATAAAAGCATGAGTTTTGGGCAGCGTGAAAATTCATAATATAGAAATGAAATTAGTTCATTATTAAGCAAATAATCATGCATGAAACCTAGCCATTGCATTTCATCATTGTTCCGTCTAATCATACAAAAAGATTGCAGAGTATTGAAACTTGGATTGGATACTTATGTTGTTGTTGGTGTCGTGGAATGAAAAAAAAACATGCTTACGTACAACACGAAGTCATTACGCTCGAGCCTATGCTTAATTTCAATTGGATTTTCTTGTACTATGAGTCGTACAGGTTGTCGTATATTGCAGAGAATTTTATTGGTGTAGTTGAAGCACGAAGAATACTTCATTAAATAATCGAAAACGAAGTCATTTTAAAATATGTAAATTAATACTGATTCTATTTTTATCGTTGGCTCCATGCTAATGCATGTCTGTCATATCGACTTGAAGTGTTTTTATGTACTTAAAATTTAGTTTTGCATTATGGATATAAATGTCGAGAACAAGTTTATCGGCTGGTGTCATTTGCATGTGTGATGCATCAAATCTATACCATGTTCTATTTCTTTATTCGCTCATGTTCCCTGTATATCACAACTAAATGTTGTATTAAAACTACAGAAAAAGAAACTCTGGTAAAAATCGAGTCAATATACATTCATATAATCGTTGATTTTTTTAAACAAAACAATAATGAATGAATCATGAGTTCAGCTTGTGTTTCAGTAGCATACTCCACTGAAATCAGTTTTTATATCGGCAAAAGCAGAAGAAATATTTTGAAATGTTTTTCTGTGTACGCTACGATCGAATCATGAAATTAAAAATAAAATCCAAGAAATAACAAGAATCATTAATCATAATTTGCTGCAAGGCGACCGCAGACATATCATCAATAACGGAAGTATATTATGACGTGTACGATATACTCTCAGTTGTAATTTTGTAATCTATCAAGCATTGTATGTTAATCTAGATATAGAAAAATGTATCGGCAATGGAAAACTGAATTGATATTTGAATAAGCTAGAGACAAAATTAACATAACTAATCCTAGAAACTGATGGTAAAATTGGTATTAATAGTGTGAGGATATCCATGTTTCTCGAATGTCTGAACTCAATAATGAGCAATATCAAAGTTCATCTTATTTGGAATATCTTTATCTTAAGAATTCTAAATTTGACCCGGCGGATATTATCGAACAGCTCAATGAGAAGATAAATTTAAGTTAAAAATAAACGAACTTGCCAACGTAGTTCTAGTTGGCGTTAGAAATCCATACTCTCTAAAAAAATTTGATAATGATTGAGCAAAAGTAAATAGAGAATATGAATACTTTAGCCATTTCATTTTCTTTGATATTCTCAAAATATTTAAATAGGCATAGATCGAAATGAGTATCACAATGTTCAAACCTACTTTGTAACATGATACAAACAAATAACAACCAACAATAACGTAAATTAGAAATCAGTTAACTTTAAATGGTCAACTAATTCGCATGTTCTTTGAAACAAAGAGCAAACTTACTAAGCAAATGAATTTGATATTTTCTCGGACACAATATAAAAATCAAAGGATTGATATTTAACCAAGATTATTTTTCAAGAATCGGCTCCATCAAGAAGCGTAACAGAGGAATATTTTCTGATATAAATATATGTATTTTGTTTTGTCACGTGTTCTGCTAAATAAATTCAAGCGAATGAAGCTTCACAGGATAATAGTCGTAGTTGGATGACAACACTGATTTTTTTGTCGCTTCTAAATGATGTCAAAGAAGTAATGAAATATGCTCACAATCCGTTTAGTTCAATGTCAGCTTCTGGGCTTTGATCATTTATTTATTAAAATCATAATAAAAACAGAAACAAATGATTTATTGTTCTCGCTGAGTTCCAATGATCATAACTAGTATTCTCTTTTTTAGTGCCGTGATCGATGATACAAATCCATTGATAGCTAAATCACACGACTATCGATCATAGTAATAATTAAAATACCCTGGAAAATAACAATAATATTATTGATTATTTTGTGAATAAAATTTTGTTATATTAAGGGTGCTATTAACTGAACATAGATAACTTTAGAAACCCATAAGAGAAACTGAATACGATTTCGAAATTTAATAATCAAACTAAGAAGATAATGACTCGAAGACAAAATTGATTTTGAGCAATTTCAATCTAAATGATACGAATGGTTTAAGAAAAAATATTTACAAAAATAGATAGAATTAAAAACCATATTGTGTCATAGATTTAATATATGAAAAACAAATAAAAGGAAACTGTGCATTATGTGGATTTAAAATCGAAGATTTTCATTGTTTTCTTTCTGAATAAAACTATTTGCCATTGATAAAGTACAGCAAATAATCGAAATCTTAAATATGTGACAGCTCGTAAATTGATGAATGCATGTAGAATTAGTGTCAATGTAATTAATGTAATTATAAAATAATCTAGTTTCTATTTTCTATTGATTCTAGACACGAGCATCGTTAAGTCTGTGTTGTGTAGAATCATTATCATTTTTTCTCTTATCTTTTTCATTTGTTCATGTCAGATATATTGTCTATGCAAGAATTAGTTCATAACAAAAATGATAGGGTCTCTCTACGATGTCCTCGAACTCATCAAGTTCATATTTTTCTAAACAATAAACTAGAATCTAAAAATTTTGATTTTACGAGCAAAACTTTAAGCACCGACATAGCTAGAAGTGTTATTATTATTATTAAGTTACAGAAGAAAAACTGCCAATCTTTGATAAACTATTATCGATAGACATGAGATTTTCAGACTATTATGCGAAGTGTTTCTTTGCGTTTCACAATGTTTTGTTGATTGTATTTACCATTCTTGCTTATCAAGCGTATTTGAAACTTGAAAAAACATTCCTATACAAGTTAATATGAAAAACTTCTGAAAAAAACATGTACGACTGTAGCCATATGCAATTTTTTCTGGGATAGTTGCATGTACACACAATTATATATACACCATAGTATACAAAAAAGTTTTTTTGTATAATTCATATCGTAGAGCTTTTTGATGTATTATTTCACTAAAGTAATTTTTCATCAATCAATGATAATGGCAAGTTCAAAGCACTAAGAAAAAGTCCATCAAACTACTAGGCAGTGTTCAGCACTTTGTCTGTTTTCGCTAATATGAACAGAGTATGTTCATTAGTTGATGGAATTCAAGAAATCTTTTCGCCGAGATGATTGGCGAAAAGAGTCTAGGCAATCGGATTCGCCTGAAAACATAGATAGTAGGATTTTTTTCGTTGATTTGTGTTAATTATCACTAGTTAGCGTACGAAGAAAAATTAATTTTTCAATAAGCTGATAAAAAAATCGGCGATATTTTAATGAGCAATGATAATGATTCTCTATCTCTGTCAAAAATTGACTTATGTTGTCGGAATATGGTAAAGATATTTCATTATTTTGCTTTCCGATAGATTACTATCAGAGCTTGTGATATTTAAGCATAAATAAAATCGTTCGTCGAATTCTTTTTCGTTTCAAAAATGAATGTAATCGTTGGTTTTTTATTTTGAACGGATGAGACAAAAAATCAATTTAATTTATATATTCGGATACATCAGTTATGTAACACAGAATCATGCTAACTGATTTTAAAATGAAAAATATGGTAGAATTACTAAGATTAGTAAAGATCAAAGCAATTTCTAACATATAATCGTACATAGGACAGAATATTGTCTCTATTTATACTGTAATACGTGTAAATTTTACACTTTCTAGACATTTTTTTATGTAACTCTTTCAATTGGTATTATTCTTATCATATTCATCAATAAGAACGTTTAGACATAAGTCGAAGGTTCATAAATCAAACTTTTGAAACACATGTGTTACTTTGTGATAAATCTCACTGATATCCAAAAGTGCTTTATCGAAGAGATATATCTGGTTACTTAATAGTCAGTTAAAACACTAGACAATAATCAAAATACACAAAAATAGAACATCATAATTTTTAACCATTAAACAGCATTTAAATATAACTATCTAATGGGTTGAATATTCTATCGGTTGAAATAAATCTCATAAAATTTTATTTCTTGTTAAATGTCAATAGTGTCTTCACTCCTTTGAAGGAAAAAATTCGAATCCATACATATGCAGAACAAAAATGAATGTTTTTATTTAGTGTCCTTGAACACATATTTATTGAATTAGTCACAAGAAAAGAACCGTTGAAGGACTATATGAAAAGACTTGATGGTTCATTAGAATATTTTCGAGATCAATGGCTCGTGAAAGTTTCTTTTTCTCAATGGAATTTACTGCTCCTAATTGTAATAGCACTAATGGTATTTCCTTCTATCGATCAACTGGAATATTTTCTTATCTTTCTATTTTATTTATCATATTGCAGCTGTTTTAGTTATTTATTACGAGTCAATCGTGCAAATATTCAATCATTTGTTAACATTTTTTTCAATGATACAAAATACATTTTCGTCAGTTACATACTTTCCTTTTAGTACAAGAATGAAGTCATGAAAAGCAAACGCACATCAATAACATACGGATAATCTCATAGTCAAACAATAGTATAATGATCTAATAGATATAATCAATTATTTAGAAGGTTTAACATCGCTTGTTGCGAAAAAAACAAAAATTTATTTCGCATTCAAATCTTTAATTCTCTCTCTCTCTCTCTCTCTCTTCAGTTATGCGTTGCTTGGTATGTACATGTAACTATTGTTACGATGTTAACTTCAAACTACATCTAGAAATAGTTTGATTAGGGAAAAATTCTTTTGAAAGTTATTCCTTTGTTTTTCCTTACTATAATATATTTCTATGTCAGTATGATTCTAGTCCGATAGAGATCTTCTTCCACAATTACTTTCTTCTTAATTTTCTTTTAATTTAAAATTTTTGACCAAATTATAGTCCATCTAATATTGCACTGCACAATAATCAGTTACTGATTACTTTTTTTATATTATATTCATTATATATATATATCGAGTACTAAGTGCACACGCAACTTCAAGACTCAAAACGAAGCTCAATGATAAATTAATATGACCAGTCTTTTCAAACATGAAAGCAATTAAATGTATGCTTAGGTATATAGCTTAGATGTAGGAATAGAAACAATTGAATGTCACTTTCGATGTACACACACGCACATTTATATATAATAGTGTAGTTACATAATAACCGTGTCAGTTTTATGATCGTCTCTGATGACTTTGAAGAATAATAATTACTATAAAAATAATCATTAGTTTCTTATCACGTTCTGTTCTCTTCCTTTTCAATTAAGATATGCATCAATTTTACAATAATTTGCTTTTCTTATAATTAGTTTCTTTGAAAGCTGTTATAAAATCTCTAAGCAATCAAATGAACATTCTTCATTGACAATACTAGAGTTTAAAATAACTCTTGATATACTCGATCACAGACTTGACACATGGGCAAAGAGCAAACAAAAGTTGACAATAGAAATCTATCAACATGAGCGCAATCATTATGATAAATAGTGATAGTATAATTGTCAAACAGGCGCATAATCTTGGGCATCATGAACAATATGTTCTTTATGATAAGAAGAAGAACAGACACAAAAAGCAATTGCATGGTTTTCTTTTGCATTGCATTTTTCATCTTATCTGGTGATGATTTATAATGATACATAAAATGAGAGTGACAATATGGGAGTTCTATAATCAACCTAGAAATGATTTGCTTAACATATACATACCAGCTGGCGGCAATCCTACTCTTATGATTACCGTATGAGCTATTATGTATATCTCACTTGTAATCATATATCTTCTAGCGCGAACAAAGGAAAAGATCAATAAAGACATGAATAGAACATACAAACAAAGTAAATATACAGGTATTTATTAACCTTGTCTACAGAAAAGAACTGTGAAATATCATAAAATGTCGTAAGACTGCACACGATGCCATTAACAATATCAGTTATGTATAGACGATCTAATGTCAAATATTGAGAAAAGTTCATGGTGAATATAGAAAGTAGATATTCTGCTAATGATATCCCTATTGGGAAAGAATAAAAGAAAAAGAAGACTTATAAAACGACGCAAAAAAAAGAAATACAGCATATTGAAATAATTATCAAGAAACATATTTAATGATATCTAAAGTATAGAATATATCACCACCAGCTGCTACTTTCAACTGAAAAGATAGCCTTGAAGTAATAGTTTCTAATCAATTCTTTTTCATTCAACGAATGAAAAATATGAGAGCATTAAAACAATCTGTTTCAATATCTTAGTAGATGAATACTTAATATAATAATAAAGCTAGAAAATAAGACTTCTATAGAATTTTATTTACAAAAATAATTATAATTTTTTTGATAATTTTAATATGTTTTCGCAGTGAGACATGAAATTTATATTATAAATCTTTATTTTATTTCTTTATTTCAGATTGATCATTTAGGTAGATTCTATGTCTCTTTTATGGATTATTGCATAAAACTAGAGCAAATAGACCGATGAAATCGACATTGATTAATTAAAAAGATACTTTGTTTATATATATATATATATATATGAGTGAATACATACTACTTGACACATAGAGCCAAGGTCGAGTTCAAGTCATATGACGATAAAATCAATTTGATCTATCGGACTCATCGCTGATCAATAGATAGAGAATAGACACTCTAATGAAGATAGATAGATAGAACATCTTGAAGGACGCAAAAGAAAAGGCAAACATTCAAGTACTTCTGAAACGAAACGGCTAACTTCGCCAATAAATGCTTTTTTAAATCTTGTTTTGGTTGTTACTGAGCGAGTTTCAACAATACAATTAATTTGTTAGTTCTAACACGGAAATAGAAATACTTGACGGAAGTAGTTTTTGATTGAACGATAGATAAATTAGAACGGACGTTTATATATATAAATAAATTATTCAACAGTTAATACAACTTTCATCAGATAAAAGTCACAATAAGCAAATATATCTTACTTCATATATTCTAATGTGTGAACTAATTTATTTAATATGAAAAATAAAATCTATTACAAGAAAATACGATTCTCTACGGAAATGGTAAAACTGAAACTGTAGGTTATATATGTGTTTCAGAGCCAAATCATTAAAGCACTTGTCGTACATTTATATGATAGTTTTCTAAGGACGTTCGATCGTACCCAATTTGCTATTGCATCCGGTTCATGAAAATCACATTTTATTGCTAATGATCTTAAACGTTCTACCTGTCTTCGTTTATTTCCGATAAATAGTAATGTCAATAATCGATAACAATCTTCAATTGATGTTATATTAACTGATACGGTTTCTAGTTGATTAAATAATTGATGTAAAAGTTCAAATTGATTAAAATCCATTAGTACTTCATAAACAGTTAATAATCGAATATTACTTTTTGATATATATGATGTTAATTGAATTAATTTTGGCCAGCTTTGATATGTTGATATTGTTAAAGAAGAGAGATTTTTAAGATTCTGAATAAAATTTAAAAGAAAATTCTTTGAACAATTATCTAATTGAATGTTTAAATAAATGATTTTATCTCGATTGATTATTGAAAATAAATACGTAAGAAATACTTGCTCATTGAATGTTCTATTTGATATAAGTGTTAATGACGTGACATTTTTATAGATAACTGTTGATAAATTATTAAGGGTACTTGTCGAAATAGAATCAATTAATATACGAAGATTACGTACATTTGAATACATACTATCATCATCATCATTATTATTATTAATATTAATATTATCCGCGAATAACTTTGACGGACTAAAAAATACAATAGAACGAAATTTAAGAAGAAGAAAAAGAAAAAAGAATCATCTAACACTTACATAATATCAAGCGATCGCTTAGGATACGGATCAGTATGTATACGTAAAATTGTATTAAATGAATATGTATAAACTTGCGAAGAAAACTTCCAGTTTCGTTTAGAAAAAAATTGATTTTTTTGAAATGAATTCGATATTATTTCTGATTCTACAGGTATTTCAATACAAAAATGAAAATGTTGCAAAGATAAAATTGATCGAAGTAAACATTCCCATCGTTTAGAATCAATATAATCGAGACTTGATTGACTTAAAGCGTCAGTTTTGAAAAAAAACTTTAAAGTTTCTAAATGACTAAATGATTTTTTAAATAAATCTTCAATATGATTAAATGGTATATTATTTATTGTTGATATTTCTAATGAACGAATATTTGATTTTACTGAGTGAACTTTTGTAATTGATAAATCTTTTGAAAAATTCTGTAAATCAATATATAGACGAATAGATAATGATTGAACATTTGGAATATAATTTAATAATCGATCTATTTAATAAGAAAAACAAATATTTTTTAATCATTTTTTTTCTTTTATGTTAATTCATCTATTGTTCTTCTCTTTACAAAATGCATAAGGCCTTCCGGGTATAAATGCATAGACAGAAGATTATGTGTTCCTCTTCTCTCTTTTTGTTATTAATGACACACGAGAAGTAATAACACTAAAGTATTATCCGAGCTTTCCCACATATTACTATTGAAGTATGGAAATCAATCAAGATATGTTATCGAAAATATTTCAAGTAATGTTTAGCTATGTCGATTAACAAAAAAATAGTATATCAATGACATTGAATTTTGACATTTATCAAGCACTACAGGAATCGGTAGAAGGTCTCTAAGCATACATCTTGTTTTTTTTTCTGTTCGCAGTATCATGATCTCAGTTAATTAACACATTATCACTTTTCTTTTATTTTCTAATCATATCATTTACTATTGACTTAACATTGAGACAGTGTCATCAATCAAAAATTGAAAAAAATAGATCATATTCAATATCCTAATCTCAATAATGAACTTGGAATAAATTTGTAATCATTTACATAGTATTATTAGTAAGAACAATAATAACCCGATAGTGAAGAAAGACATTCTTTTTTTGGCTTCCCATAAGTGCAAAATACCAAACATCCTGTTTATTCTTTACTCTAGCGACCCGTATATATATATATATATATATTTGTCGACAGGCCACAACTTTCAAGGGCAATATTTGTTTCATGTCCAAAATAGCTTCAATTTCCATCAGTATGGCTGTATTATTGTCAACAGAAAATGACATGTGCCAATCATTGCTTTTTTTCTGTTCACAGAGAAAAAATTGGAAAGAAAAACACATTGATCTATGCTTGGGCTCTGACTAATTGATTTTTTTTCATTTCTTTTTGTCAGTGTGACTTGTTCTCTATTTATCATTATCGAAAAATTGTATTATTCGATAGAAGTTTCTTTTTCTTTTTCTCTAAAAAAATCGTGCTGTGGTATAGTTTTTAATCATATTGACATTTAGTACATTGGATTCTTCTTTCCTCTTGTTATTCTAGATGCCCTTTTTTGTTAGGTGATTTTCTTTCTATCATTTCCAAGCTCTCTCTGTGTTTCTCGAGAGGATATAGCTACACCTAAAAGGTCGTTAAGAACGGGAACTGGTTTGTGTGTCTGCGAGCGCGCTATTTTTTCTTCTGCTTCCGCTCGTTTTTCATTCGATGGGATGCAGACATAGTTTCGTCAAGTGAGGAGATAAGCCAAACACGCATACAGTCTTCCACCACTCATTCATTCATTCATTCATTCATTCATTCACTGATCGATAGCAATCGGCATGCGGTTCTTCTGCTGTCTAATCTTTTTGTCATGCATCTTTATTAAGGATTCTTTCGCTATTAATGATAACAACTATATTCTCTGTACATCTTGTTCAATAGTTAACCTTCCATTTTCTCACTCATCAACATTTCCTCCAGAACACCAAAATGATGACAATCTAACAACAAATATCTACGATTATGCATTAGCTTGTAATATTGAATATCGCCTCGATTATAATACTAAACAAATTAATATTACATGTAAAGCTAGCAATGATACAAGTGTATTTGAAGGCCAGGAACCAAGTGAATATCTTATTCAAGAAATAACCTTAGGCCTCAGAAGTATTTCCAATCAACAAAATGAAATAAAACGAACATATGGTTGTAATATAAAAAATGATTGCGCCAGAGATTTTTATTTAGAAACAATTGCTAACTTAGTAACAGAAGTTCAATCACATTTGGCTTCGATACGAAAAAAGTTGCAGAATGATACTTTACTAATCGGAACTGGCTCACAACGACAATGTATTAATAGCAGTATTGCAGGCGATAAACAATCGCGACGATGTCAATTTGGTTTATGTTATACAAATTATACAAATTATCCATACAATCATGAACAAAATAGCAAAATTCAAAAATGTGATTCCGACAATTTACCTATCGTCAACAGTTATATTAAATATCACGAACCGAAATCAATAGGAAAAGACCAAGAAACACTGGAATACAAATGCAATAAAAACGTTTGCAACCGGCTTGATAGAATTCTAAAAATTCAAAGGATTATTACAGACTTTACTAAATGGAATTCAACTATACCAAAACCCGCAATGGTTATTGACAAAAAAGCGAACTCATCAATGAAACAAAGCATAGGTTCATACATCGTAGTGTTATTTTTAATTTTTATTCAAGTATTCATTTAATTATACTTTTTTTCTTGCCTACCCCTACGTAGATTTAGTTATTAAAAATAAAAATTCTATTTACCTAAACAAATCATCGTACAATAGTCAAGAATTAATTGTTGCAATGTAGAGGTAGGTGTTAAATCATCAAAATCATTTATATCCATCAATGGTATTTGACAAACGCGTAATTTTGGCATTTGAGAAAATATTTTTCTTAATACAAATATTCTTTGTCCATCAAGTCCATTGAAATTTGTTGATTGAATTTTTAATGTATTCAGTTGTTGAAAAACTAAAAACACACTTTTTGACGCAAATAAATTTCGTATATCATTATAATTAATATGATATAATATTAATACTTGAAGATTATTCATCAAATTAAATAAGATACGTGATAGAATATTTATGGTCCATTTATTTGAAATTTTTAAAAAATATATTTGATTTAATGGTATAATATGAGTTAAATTTTCATATTGACTTTTCGATAAATGTGATAAATCAATTTTTACTATACGTTGAGATATAAGATGAGAAAATCGTTTGTTTAATTTACTGAAACTTTTAATTAAATCAAAAGAGGATAAATAATCAAATACTTCATGTATAAGTTCATTTGCTAAAAGTTCGAAATGACCTTTCATTAATCTTATATCTAGAAGAAAAAAAAATGATATTAATCAATAAAAAGACCAATTATTCAAAATCGTCTTTCGAATAATCAGTAGATAAATCAATGAGTCGTCTTGGTTGATTATAATCAAGCAGAACAAATATTAAATAAGCTAACATAGCTACAAAACTCATAACGAAGCCACTAACAAATCCACATTGTGTGTATCTATACAATAATTAAAATTAAAATTAATAACACAATTTTTTTTTATAGAACTTCAACAAACTTGTATATGCGTTCTGTAAGATTAATTGATTTTTGAGTTATGATGTGATCATAAACGATTTCAGTATGTTGAGCGACCCAAGACCATGAATACCAATTTTTTATTTTATTATGCCATTCATTAGCATTCGGTATTTGGCCTATCTGTATTCTATCAACAGCATTGCATAAGCCAATAAAAACATCTATTTAAAGAAACATATTCAATTAGAAACAAACAAAGATAATTAATCATTCAACAAACCATTTATGTTGGCTTCACATAAAATCATTATATCAGATTGAGTATCATTGGATGGAAGTACTTCAGGAATTCCACCAACTTTTGTTGAAACAACAAGCAGACTTCAATTAAAAAAAGCAAATAGATATTAGAATATAGTTTGATGAATAAATAATTTTGTTTTTTATGTTTTCTCCCTTAAGGAGCTTAGATAATCTGATTATCTGAATTGGAAGTCAACACTTTTCAAGGCTATTGAGCAATTCTTTTAATTAGGTTTTTACGAATAACAAATTTTTTTTCGTACCCACAAGCCGCAGCTTCAACGATAGCCATACAAAATGCTTCTGTTAACGATGTATTTAAAAATATATGGCCACTATTGAGAAAATCTCGCATTCTATCATGATTTACTGAACCCTCTAAAGAAAAATTAATTTGTATTTTCTCTTTGAAAATAATTATAATAAAATAATTCACCTAATGCAACACGATCTTCAGTGCCTTCACGTTCAATTACTTCACGGATGTCAATTTCTTTTGGCCCGTTACCAGCTAAAATGAACAAAAATGTTCATTTCAATTAATTAATTAGTCAAAAACCAACCTATTCGAAATTTAACATTAGGATATTTTCGAAGAATTTTTGGCAAAATACCAATTAAAAGATCAATTCCTTTACGATAAACAAGACGACTGGCAACAACAATAACAACTACCAAAAACAAATATCAATAATAATAATTTGATTTATATGATTTATTTCCTACTTTCATCGGATGATGATGGCCGAAGATTTGTATCAGGTGTAAATGCTGATGAATCTACAGCATTGGGAATAACCGATACTTTAGATGATTTTAAATTAGCACGTAACATAGTATTTTCTTTGCTAAAAACAATAATAAAGGAGTCTTTATTTTTGCTAAAACAGAATTTGTCTTTTAGAAGATTGATTCGCTTTTCCGCCTTTTAATCAATGAAAGGATATTGCGTCTACAAATAATCGGTAAATATAATTCTACCGGAAAGAAAATGCTGCGTTCATAAATCCTTGATAAATCGAGTGCTCGACATTGCCTAGAGCTGAATTTTAGTTTCCGGTTTAGAGGAACTCGTTCTCTATCGACTCGTATATATTATTAATTGAAAAATGATTAATTCATGTCAACGAAAAAAAAAGCACGAAAATTAAATCTAAATTTATTCTTATTGAATTTTGGTTCTGTTGATGGATGTATTTTTTTTTCTCTAATTTTGTTATTGGCAAGCCAAGAAGCAATTGATTACAGAGTCAATTCAATCTAATGGTCAACCTGATCTACAATCAACATAAAACGGATGCTATAAGAATTTCCTCTGTCACAGACGGTCGATTCATATTTTATTATTTTTCACGATTTTTCAATTTGATGATGTGAAAGTAATTTTAAAAGCTAATGAAAAGCATCTATTTTCATTTGTTTTTCTCTCGCATATATCAAGATTTGACCGATAACGAATGTTGTTTATTAACAATTCAAAGTAAGTAATTTATGAACGAAAAATTATTCTTTTCGATCAATACAGCGTGTAAATATTGTCGAAGTTGACCATAACTACTGTTTTTATTTAGACTATTTTTCTTCTAGAAAAATTTCTAATCAACAGGACAACTAGTCTATAATGAGAGTTTCTCATGTCGTGTGTTTTTTATTCGTCGCTGCATAGCTAATCAGGACTATTGAATATTAATCAGCAGCATATTTTATGGACCTTATTCATATTTTCCTACAACGACAATGGAGAGTTCTTATCTATACACCACTCGCGTAAAAAAATAGGACTCATAGAGCTATCAGCAAACAAAAAGATAATTGTTGATTCTTTTTTAAATTTAATAAAATCATAACGTTGATTAGATATGTATTTACCATGTATGTGAAACACATATAATATGATGGCAATCAACAAGTGATACTTGAAGAACTTTATTTGTTAATATTGAACTCAAATCAGCAAAACCAAATAATGAATGATCAGTAAATACAGTGCGAATACCAAGGGTTTTAGCATGATGCATTGTTTCATGAGCTAATGTTGAAAAAGACTGAATAATCGAGAGAAGCAAAAGAAGTATTTGTTTGATCACTGTAAAAGTTCTTTCAAATAAACTTACAGAATGTCCATGTACAATAGTGATTTGTTCTCGAAGTAAAATTGAACGAATTAATGGAATTGTACTAAAAACTGTCGGTAGAATTGTATTATTATAAAAGGGTTTATATGGTAAATAGTAGACCTAAAACAATTTAATATTCTAAATAGATAATCAAACAAATTCTTTACTTTAAGTCCATTTGTCATATATCGAACACCAACACGATCATCGTATGCATGTGTAACAACAATTACTTTGTGATTACGTTGAATTAAACATTGTGATAATTGATATATATGATTTTCAACACCACCAATAAGTGGATAGAAAAAGTCTGAAACCATACTAGCAAAATACAGAGAAAGAAAATATTCGTAAGAGAGTAAGGTTTAGAAAAAAATCTTGATCAGATAAATACCATATACGATGTTTGACGCTATCAGTCATTTTATCTGAAATATTAATTAAAAGAAATTTTATCTTCCATTATATATCCTGTTCAGTGTGTTCTCTTTTTAATTGATTAGACTAGATAAAGTATTTTAATTATGCAACGTAACAGTCATATTTCATTAAAATATCTGTTTACTATTGGTTTTTACTTTAGAAAATAATGTAACAATCATCAATTTGGTCTTTGTTTTTCTTAAAGTTATGAATTGTAGTTTAAGGCATTGTTCAAAAAAAAATATGCATGTCGAGAGTAAAATCAATCTTTTAAAATTCGAAATTATTTCAAAATTATGAATTACATATACTAATGATGAATAATTAATATTATGCTTTCTATTTAGTTGTCATCGTGTTCTATTCAATCAAACAAGTATGTTACGTGTAAAAAATAATCAAGTAAAACAAATTAAAAATGTCCTCAGCGTGCCAATAACTTTAATAGGATGATTAATGGGTAAAAAACAAGATACAAAGCATAAGAAGATATGATACCATCCAAAGATCAAAATTTATCTCATTCAATATCAATCGACAACATGATAAAGTCAAAAACTCTCTTGACTTGAGCTAGAATAAATATTGGCGTTCTATCTTGTGTTATCTTCATTCAAAACAAATGATAAAGGTATTATATTTAAAATCTATCTTTAAATATAGTTAAAAAAACATATTGACATACGATCTAATCTTTCATTAGTGTTAAATAGTGCTCAATTGTGCAAAACTCGACTATGATTATATATCAATCAGGATGTTCTTTATAGAAAGTACTTTTAAAAATACGTTTGATATTCTAACAATATAGTTGCTTGGTTCTCTACTGTATAATCGAAATAAATAAGAAATATATAAATAACAAGCTTTTTCTGCATGCTTGTGAAGCTCTTAAATTTAACTCTTAAATGCTTCTTCTCTTGTTTTTGGATTGATTTTTCCGATCATTTATCTTAAGTCGGACTAAAGAAGTTTCTTCTTCAATCCAGACAACAATGGAAATGCGCCTTAAGTACTAGTCAATATCTTGTCTAAATCAAAGTAATTCTCATAGGAATAAAAACTAAATCAAAACAGACATACAAATTTGAACATAAATCGATTTATTAGTATATGACATAACATGTGTGCGGGATAAAAAATACTATTCTTCTATTAATTTGTAGATTTTTCACTAAAAACAAAGCATGCTTCTTTTTGTATAAATCTACAATTGATATAAACAACTAAAGAATCGACTTAAATATATAATAAAATGCTTACATGTTGATAGAACTTCAATAAGCAATTCATTTCACTAAAATTGTTGAATAATGTACTCTTTTTAAATTTTTTCTCTCTCCATTCAATTTTAAATAGCTGCTCGTTCAAGTATTTTTCATTCTATGAGAACTATGAATAAGTCAATGAACCTAAAAAAAGAATTTTCAAATATTAATATTAATCAAATTATTGTCGTTTCCTTACCTAAAATAAACTCTTAATGGGTTTTTAGCAATAACGAAAAAATATTTGTATTCATTTTCTTATTTAAATAATAAAAGAAAAAGCCATGTAATTAGTCGGATACGAAATAAATCCTCTCAATTCATTGATTGCAATTCAGCAATAAGTAAATATTTGTTTGAATGCATATCTTATTTTTCGGTTAAAACAAAAAAACAGAACGAACCAATAGGTTAAAGACAAGACGAAACAACTCTCCCGTCTGACATCATTGAGAAAGTGAACCATCAGATACTGCACATAAAAAATAAAAAGATCGGGGTTCTTGTTGTCCAAACAAGAAGAAAGAAAAAAACCAATGTCACATCACACTCAGATACGTAAAACATACATCACATATACATAATATATATATACACTTAAAAAAAAAGACAGAGACTTACATCGGAATGATTTTTAAATAGGAAAAGTGAAAAACAAATTTTTATCGTATTTCCCCTTTTTTTCTCTCCTTCTTTCGGAACGTACAATATAATAATAATAATGATAATGGTAATGATAATAATAATGACTACAAAAATTTTTTTTGGTTTGCACAAGACGAACAGACGACAAAAAAAAACGTGAATACATAAGGGAAATGTCGATCGGAAATAATATTTATTTATTCGTTTCTTCTATTGCAGATCTTTACTTTAACATTGACATTGGTTTCCTCTAGCTTGTGATTCATTAGCAGTAAGTTTTGTAGTTCCTTTATTATAACCACCTGCTTGATTAGAATATGCATTATTTGCTTGACCAGCAGCATTTGAATCTTCTGGTGTGTCGGACATTTTTTCCAATATAATATCAACCAATCTAGAAATTAAAAAAGAATTTCTTCATAATGAAATAAGTTTTGCTTTTATTATCAATTTCTACCTTTCGAAAACTGCTTTCACGTTAACATTTTCTTTGGCAGAAGTTTCAAAGAATTCCAAACCTAAAGAGAAAAGAAATAGAACAGTCATAGCTATGATAAGAACGAAACAACAATAATGAGCAAAAACTACTATGTTTTCTCAAGTATAAGTACCGAGTTCACTGGCAAGTCTTTCTCCTGTTTCCGACTGCACATTTCTTTCATCTGCCATATCACATTTATTTCCAACAAGTATCACCGGACTTTTCTCCCATGAATGTGATTTTATCTGTAGAACCCTTCAAAACACAACACAATACAAAACAAGCAAATTTATCTCAACAAACAAACAAAAAGAAACGAACAACTAAAGCGTACATCCAATATATATCTATATATATATATATTTATTTTAAATTTACCCAATTGTTCAGCAAGACGTTGGCCACGATCTTGTGTTACAGCACGATCATGTTCTAAATCGCATTTATTACCAACTAAAACAACTTGAGCATTATCCCATGAATACATTTTAATTTGTGTACACCTGAAAAAAGTGTTTTTTTGGATGTACGCTTTTTTTGTATAATTTTATTTTTCTAAATAACAGAAAAACAGCGTTGACTTCACTTTGACACTTACCAATCTTGGACAGCATTAAATGATTCTTCATTGGTAATATCATACATTAGAATAAAACCCATTGCACCACGATAATAGGCAGCTAAAAAAATCCGAGTAAATCTGTATAAGTATATATTTATTTATTTATTTATTTTTCGCTCAAATCTCAAGAGATTTATCAGAAAATCTAGTGAAAGTTCGAATAATCTCATGAGAATCTTTAAAATAAAAGCTCAATCTATCTTATTTACTTGTAATTGTACGATAACGTTCTTGGCCAGCTGTATCCCATATTTGTAATTTAACACGTTTATCGTGTCGAAATACTGTTTTAACCTTAAAATCTATACCAACTGTGCTAACAAATGCTGATGTAAATGAATCGTCTGCATAGCGAAAAAGCTAAAATTAAAAAAATTTGTTTTTCTAAATAAAATGAATAATATTATAAATAAAGATAACATACGAAGGACGTCTTTCCTACGGATGAATTTCCAATAATAAGTAATTTGAACATGTAATCAAAATTTTGATCAGCTGCATCTTTTGCAGTTCCACCAGTACTGTTCTGTGTCATCTGAAAAATAAAGCTTCTATATTTATTTCATAACATAAAAATAATAATACTAAGTGAGAAAACTCAAGGACAATCGATAGAGCTTAGACAAGATGATGACTGTTGGTAATGATGACGTCGCGGTGTACGCTTGTCGTTTTGTTTCTTGCTTCTTTTTGTCAAAAATTTGATTGGATGCGGTTTTGACTCCCCAAGTTATAAGATGTTAATGCATTTTAACAATTGTAATACATTTTATTTTACAAAATATGAATTAATCGAGAATCGAAACTTCAAATAGTAGAAAAAAAGGATCGAGTTAACTATTATGAAAACAAATACAAACTGTAGGACATCTGTATTTAATAGAAACCATAACCCTACACAAGCAGTTCCTCTCATTTATTTCTAAAATAGACCTGATGATTGTCGCAAAAAAATAAACCAACGACTTCAATAAATATATAAAACCTATAATTCAAGTGTGTACACATTTGCCTTTTAGCTGTTTGTACACTATCAATAAAAAAAGGCAATGTTTCATTATAATCGAGAAAAAGCAATGATAGAATTGAATACATTTATGAGAGTAGGCGAAGCAATTTACTGCGTTAGTGCTTTTTCTATGGTGGTGCCACAGCTGGTTGTCAAGAGACGCTTATTTTGATGACGATGATGTCCGAGATAATACATCATCAATTTTTCAAGTCGAAGAATCGATTTTACTCATGAATTTGCTTTTAACAATTTGAATATCGTTATCGATAGTTTTCAATGTGACAAACAAAACATATAAGTATATCATTAAAAGTGACAGCATAATTAAATGCACCTATTATACCGAAAATAAATGGTGGATATCAAGAATAAATGCAAAAATAACAGGGGAAAAGTGTCACATATGTTTGAAGTACCAATTTTTAACCAAATCATCAATGAAATGTGACAAAAATAATAATAAATTCGGTTTTCAATAGTAGATTTTATTTATCTTATTTCTTTTCAATTTTTATTCGGCATTCACTCAAAAATTCTATCTGTACATACGCAAAGAACAGCAAATAAAGAAGAAAACAAATAAACAAGCAAATTCACAAGCAACAAAGCAGCAAATCAAAACATGAGTTTCGTATACAAATGACAAATGCAAAATCTTGATCAGACAAATCGATTAGCAATGCATCTGAATATTTCCTAATATATATAAATGATAACAGAGATAAGAAGTTAAAAGCACACATTTTAACAAAGACAAAAAGAAAATCAGGATAAATCAAACTCGTTATAATTCTGTTGTTATTGGATGATATGATGGGAGTGCACCAACAGATGGTGATGTTAAACTACGATTTGATGAACGAGGATATAGATTTGGCAATGGGACCGATGATGATGATGGTGTTGATATTTGACTGTTAGAAGGTGTTGTTTGAACGATTGTTGCTGATGCATTACGTACATTGGATGTACTTAGTGTACGTGTTACAATAACAGGGGCCGGTGAATTCAGAGAATCTATTTAAATAGATATAAATTAAATTAGTAATTAAAAAATATATTAAAATTTACTTTGATTATTAGTTGAATTCGAATTTACTGTCGTTGATTCTGTGTAAAAGTAAGTCTCCTATGATAAGAATAGAAAAAGTAAGCATGAGTTTTATGGTTTCCTTTATTAATTATGAATAAATCACTCTCATGCATTTTAGATTTACTAAAACAAAAAAACAAGGCACTCATTCCATGCCACGCCAAATATTTATTTATTTACGTACTTCGTTTTTTCTCATTGAAAACAATATTTTTTGAACTTGTAAAATAATCTTTACATGAAGAAATTTTTCCTTTTTTAGAAATTGTTTTAGTTAAATACGATAAATTATCATAGTTAGCACAACGTGTTTCAAATTGTTGTTCTTTTAAATTATAATCTGTGCGAGTATAGATTGTACTTGAATCGGTTTTCGGATTTAAACAGTAGTTTAATATATTATCATATGACGAATAGGAAATCAAGTCCGATATAATGGGAATTTTTTCATGTAAAGATATTCTACTATTTTGCTATTAGAAATAAATCGGAAAAAGAAAACGTTTTAGTTTCTTTTTTATTCTTTATATTTCAAGAGAAAGTTTCTGATTCAAGATAATACCTTGAGAACATAAGGTGATTGACTATTCGCTAATGTGTATCGATTAAGTGGACTGTTCACTTTGCCAGTAAGTGGAGAAATAGATGATTTGGCAGGTCTTAAACAAAAGAAAAGATGAGAAAATTGAATTCTATCAAATTTGCATTTATTTACACATTAGATGTTTTTGGTGGTGACATTTGAATTAATAAGTCTTGGTCGTTATTTTCATTGAAGGAATCTATGAATATAAATATAAATAAATAAATATATATATTTATTGTTTATAAAATTTCTTTTTCTTTTTATTAATAAATTTATGATTAAACTTGACAAACCCTTCAGTGTGTTCATATTATTAGTATTATTTGAAGAGAAAATTGTTGGATTTGATGGTTTAACAAGGACTAATGGTGGTGATGGGGATGGTGATCTCGTTGTTGTAGTTTTATCATCAGGTTTCACTTGTCGAGGAGGAATTGGCGGAGGACGAGGAAGACCAGTTGTATTTCTTTTTAATTCATTATCTTTAAAATTGAAAAAAAAGGAGAATATAAGATTAAATAGTGTAATTTTCATGGGAAATCAGTCCTAACACATATTTCTTGTTCTTTTTTTTATTGTGTATATAGTAAGTAAAGCAAAAATTTGTTATTACTTTAATTTCTACTTTAACTAATAATCCTAACATAAAACTCTGAAATATCTCTATGATTATCTCTTGAATATTATGGATGCTTCAACTGAGTTAATGTGACTTACTGTCGAGTAAGAAAAATACATATGAACTATTCTCTAGAAAATCAATATTTGTCAATTGAGAAAAAAAACAAAAAGAAATTGGAACAAACTGTCTAATCATTGCTAGAAGTCTATGATTATAGAAAGAAGTTTTACAATTGAATATTTGACAGGCAATAGCCGCAATATGACGCATTTTTAAACATAAAACATTGATTTTTGCACGACTAGTTCTGATAATTTTCTCTAATTACATCATTTATGAAGGTGCTATCGATTTCTTTCTCGCTGCTCTCCTGTATGGCTGCTGAAAATTATCTATAAAAGATAATAAATTATGTTTTTCTTTTCTATTTGGCGGCATGTAGCATTCTTCTAATAAACTCAATAATATTACTTGATAGTCCTGCTTATTTAAAGTATCAGTCAACGATAAAAATTTCTCCCACTACCTTGACAATCCGTTCCATTGATTGGATCAAAAAAATGATTATCCATTTTTATTGTACTATTACTATTGACAGGGTATCTGTCCGATGATTCTGTTTCTACAGCGTTGATTCGAGTATAACTATACAACTAAAATTACTTGTAACAAATTGCAGATTATTTTTGTTGTCTAATCTAGTATTACTATCTCATACGCAGAAAGTTTGTTTACTTTTGTTCGATATTTTGCATCTCTGTAATATACTTTTTTACTTCTGTGTTTACACTTCTTTAAACATCTTTCAACAGTGACGTCAAAAATGTTGACTTAAATCTAATATTTTATTATTGAATAGATAGTCATCTCGATGATAATATTCATTTTCCAATGAATCAACTGTAGTTAATCTCATCTATTTCTCATCAATTACTATGATAAAATAAAATCCATGCTAAGAAATTGTAAGTCTATCCTGATTTCATATATATCTTCGTGTTATCAGTTAATTAAATATTTAACTATGAAAGACAAGTCACGCACACATCCTGTCATTCTAAGAAAAGCATTGCTGTATTACCATAAGAACAAGTTCTAGATGGTTAATTATATTGAACGAAAATTTCCGCACTATAAAATATGGCACTCTAAATTTTTAATTCAACCATATAAACAAAAACAACTCGATGAATTACTTAAAAAAATGTCATAATAGTTTGTTTATCAGATGATACAACACGTTGCTATAGTCATTTCTTCTCGCCCTCATTTGTTATGCACTATTAATATGACATAGCTAGAAACCATGAAATCTTATTAAGAATGACTTCGTTTGTTTTTACCTTCTGCTACTAAATCATTCGTGGAAGCTTGAATAAGATTATCAAGACGCTGAGTGGGTGATAGATTTAGAATTTTTTGTGACGACGAACGTTTACTAATGGATACTGGATCTTGAGTTTTTCTATAAATATTAATTTGTCAAAAACAATATAAAAATCTAACAGATAATCAAATAGAAAAATTACTCGGGTGATTTTTTCGTTTCATCTAATTTGGATTCTTGTTCGGATTTTAATCGTTTCAAACGTTCATCTTCTTGTTCACGTAAAACTTCGTGTTCTTGAATTTTTTTTCGTATTGCGTATGATGCACGACGTGAAAAGCGTTGTGATGCTTTACGTTCAAAATTTATACTGCGACGATTCAAATTTCCTAATGTTGCTGCTTGACATTCAGTTCTTCCACTGATTTAAACAAAAAAGAAATCAAACTCGAAATTTTCTTTTTTCTGTTTTTTTCTTACCTAAATCGAAATCTTGAACCAGTACGTGCAAAATTTGATTTGACACCTTGTTTAACTTTAGCTGCTGATGTTGTACGAAAAAATATATGATATTCCATAGCACATTTCCAAAAATGTTTGCATTGTTTCTCATCATAACAACGAAATAAAAATACAAAATCGCGTTGCAATGTCGGATCATTATCATCATCTTCAACGACAACGATTGTTAATTTATTTCGATGAAAATCTATTCGTGTTACTTTTGACCTTTGATTAGAAAAATAAAGATAAAATTCATTGTCATCGAATAATTTTGATTTTCTTACCAAACAAATAAACCAATTTTGATTTTATTTTCAAAGACGAGAATACCCGTTGGTGTTAGACCAAGTTTATATTCTAAACCATCTTTACCCATTACTGTATGTAAATCAACACCATACATTTCTAGCCAGCGTGCTTTATTTAAATATTGTACTTCACAATCGGCTGGTGTTAAGCCCCTATTACGAAAACAGAAAAATTTTCTAGATTTCAAATAGAAGTAAAAAAATGAATTGCTGTACTTGTGCGTAGACCATTTTTGTAGGACAGTTGCTTCGAATTCTTCTGTTTGACGATCATCAGGTAGAAAACGAAACTCTGATATCGTTTCAACTGAATGTTCAGTACTTGAATGATCACCCAATTCAGCTGTAAAATTAAAATAAAATAATACTTTCTTATTTATAAATAAAGATTATTGCAATATTACATTATCAACAATGTATTACACGATATATAGCTAACGAACATATATATCATCGTTTGATTTCTATAATTTACTAACATATAAATTCTACATCTTATTTAAATAAAAGAAAAGAACTTGGAATTTGTTCTAAGTTACTTTTGAGATCTATCTACGTTATGAAGTTTTGATTATGTCTATTTATCAGAGACTCTTACAAAGAATCTGAAACATATAGAGTAAGTCTTATCTTCAAATTTTCATCTGATACAATACCTATAGTATAACCATGTTTCACAAGGGGGAAACGGCAGACTTTTGAACTACTTTCAGTGGTACACTTCGAAAAAAATTTCGATTTCAAATTTACTTGAAGTTACATCAAAGTTGCAAGAATACTTGTTGCTATTTCTGATTATTTGAGTGCTATTCTTTTTAGCTATTGCAAGCATGTACTTTGACCTACTTTTCTTCTTCAAATTCGCCGTTTCCTCCTTTATTTTTCATATGAAGTCATTTTTATGAAGAGTTTCAGATTTCGATGACTTCATGCCTATAAGCTATGAAGTTCTTAGAATATTTTTGTATTATTAATTATATTTCAAGACAAAATTGAAAAAAAACAATTGTTCTTTCTAACGCCCTAGAAGAGCATTTTGCGAATATTCATATCCCAAAAATTCAACTGTTTCTTCAGGTCCCAATAGTTAGGATAATACCTAACATTAGAAACGAATATATGAAGGAGTTTTTCCTAAGTACAGATGAATCAAATGTTATCTGAAGAATTTCGTGCATGCGATTGTTATACATCAGCTTATTATGTGTTTCAATGAAATAGAAGCTACCCCTAAGGAATTTTTCAAAGAAAAGATCTGCTAAATCATACTGCTCGTTTAACTAATTGTATAAAAAAAAGAAAATAAATTTGTTATATATTTGGTTCAGATAAATTTAATGCAATAAATAATATCAGAACACGTTAAAATTCTATTAATACGAAAATAGTTTCTTTTCTTACAATTCTACAAACGATAAAAACTTATTTTGACTTCCAATAATAATTTATGAATCTTTATAACTTGTGACATAGATATTCATCAATTTTTCCTGTTACTTCTCATCTTTCTCTTTTTTTACTAAGTTCTATTTTTTTTTGTTGTATTACTGAATTCTTTACCGTAGTACCATAACTAATAAGACAAGAAAGCATACTGTGAAATAAAGTGATATAAACTCATTAGAAGATCAATCAATTCTATAAATTGAAGATGTCATTTTTGAAGTGTTCAATATTAATGAATGAATTGTTTATTATGAAAATCATTGATTTTTCTCATTTTATTTTACCTTGCATAGTCAATGCAGCCAACTCAACATCTGAACCAGATGGACAGTCTAATTTGCCTGTTCGAATATCATCTTTAAGTTGTAACACAAATAAATATCTAAATTAAAAATAAAAATTGAAAAATTCCCGCCCCAATATATTGTTTTCTCTTGCTAACCTTGTTAGTTCATCATGAAGATTTTGTGGATCAGATGTATAAAATTTAACACGAAATCGAAATGTATACGGTGGTCCAACTATAGAAGTACAGAAAAGAATCAATCGTTTTCTTTTTCTTGTCAATTTTAGTTTTTATCCCTTACTCTTGCATTGTTTTTTTAACGATTTCGTTGGATCTAACCATTGCTAAAGATGAAACCATATGATTAAACTATAGTCGATAAAATTATATTATATAATCATACTTTAACATTATGTGTATCAGTGAATTGTAAACCAAAATAGTCGGGTTCAACTAGCTTTGTATGAGCAATAACTTTATCATAAAGACTTTTTCCAAGAGCTTTACGCTAAATTAAAAAATATACAGAATTAAAATGATTGCTGATACTTTATATAAATAACAGGTTTCTTTTTGCTTTTAAATGCAGATAAAAATCATAAATTTATGTTTATTTTATTTTTTTGTTTCTTATTCAATGAATAAACAAAATAAAAATGCAAAATAAAAATATCTCTACCGATGGCAAAAGTAAAGGTATAGATCCAGACAGAATTAATGAGTACAGGTCAACGATAGACAATAAAAAACAGCTGACATATCAATTATACATGCACATGAAAATGTGTCTGGACAGGTCAACTCAATCAATCATACACTTTCATGGTTCTTTTTTTCCACTACTTTTTAAAAATAACTTACATCTACTTCAAAATTAACATCATCACCATCGAGAAATACAATTGTACAAACAAGACCATGTTTAATCGGTATTGGTTGTTGTTGTTGTTGTTGTTTCTTTCCAGTTGAATAAACTTTTGCATTTGAATTTAATAAATTCGGAAGAAGTTTTGAATTTGTATGAGAGATATTTTCATCATTTAATGTTGTTGCCGGATGCTTTGCTTGACGACGACTAAAAAAACGTATAAATCGAGCGGCCGCCATAGATTATGTGCCATGTAAAAATGGAAACTGATATACACAGAAGCGCACACTAGAATAATAACTAGAGTAATCTGAAAAAAAAGAGATGCAAAACACGAGACAATTATGTGGTCATAGACTCTCGTAGACAATGTTCAACGACGCGCGCAGCGATGCAGGCTAACCCATTGTTCATCGGTCAATCATACATAAAGAGAAAAGAAGAACAGGAGAAAAAGAAAAAAATAACGAGGCGATCGGATGATCATTGTGATGGTAAAATTTAGAGAAAGAACAGGAGAAAGAGAGAGAGAGCCATAAGAAGGGGAAAAACAGCAAGGTGGGGACAGACAGATGCCAAGTTAACGAGTCTGAATATATCTTATCAGAAAGAAGACAAAAGGAGCTCAACTGATGATAGACTGCTTGAAATGTATGGCTACTATTACTCGTCTTAGAAGTCACTTTATGCCGATATATTTTATCTAGAAACTAAGGCTTCTCTTCGTATTTGATTTGAACGGCAATCCTCGCTGTATGTCCTTGTTCAAAATAAACTTACGCTTGTATACGACTGACGACGATTCAATATACCGAAGATTATGTCATGCAAATACAAATACTACACACCCGTCTGTATACTATTAAACGAGAGTATCTAACTTATTGCACTAAGCAACTAGAAAGAGAGAGAGATAGGTCGAGGATAAGAGAACAGTATGTGCTAACAAATATCGATCGATCCATAGAAGACTTTGTTTATCTAAGGCGAACAGATAACGATAAAAAAATTAGTTTAATATTTGAAACTCAGATAATTGATAAATTTCTTGTGTTTTCTTTTCTTTTGAATGATTAGAAAGATAAATTATTACGCTTCTTACAGAATTAAGAGACCGCAGCACACAAATAAACACGTGAACAACAAAGAGTAAGAACACACAAAAAACGAATCATTTCGCGTGTCAGTATTTTTTTTCATCTTTTTTCTTAATGGTCATTCGAATGGTCTAATGGTCATTTGGTATGCAGCGACATCCTTTGAAATCTCTATATACAACTGTGTTGACCTACCGATATACGTATAACTGCAAGTCACTCCAAATATGTGTAAACAAAGAAGTGTTAAGATATCTATATAATTGAATAATATCTATATATACGAGGGAGAAAATAACAGAAAAAGGTTCATCTCGTTTTAAATATTGAATCTTAATTTAATATTTATGACCGACCGAGATAATTTTTATAATCATCAACTATTGTAATGTATTCAACAATTTTTTCTAGTAGCACACTATAACATTTAAGTAGACTTTATTGATTGTACAACTAAATGAAAATGTACCGGCCATTGTCATTTATCAAGTTTATTCCAGTGCTGTTGTTATTGGTTTTACGACGCCATGTGACATAGTAGTAGTTGTTGTTTTAGTTGTATCTTTCCAATTAAAAGGAATTATAGAAGATAATTCTTCGGTAAAAACTGATTTGATTATTGAAAACTTTCACACATAGTAACCATTAGGATTAAGATGATTGAACACTTGTTCACGCTATTCATGTGTAACAAAGACTGAAAACACATGAATTCATCAGTAATATAAAAAAAAGAAGAGTTGTTTTCTTATCTCTGATGGGATTGTTTTTATGTAGTGCATAGTTTAATAGATCACAAGATCCAACTGGTGTATTTACTCGATTTTGACTAATTATTAAGTATAAATTAATTAAGTCTAACTTAAAATAAATTAAAATAGACTCATGAAAATTTCCAGATACTTTACTTCGAAAACTCAATTTACATGAAAAGAAATGCTCAATAGAAAAGTAAAATAATATCGACAAGCCAATCGTTTACCTGAGCCTTTACCATTGAAAGTTTTGAAAATCCGATCGAAAGTTTTATCTAAATCATGTTTATTAATACAGGTTTAGCTTTTGTTGTATAGACCAGCGCTAAATATGAAAAGAGCGCTTAGAAACAGCTGAGCGAAAGGTTCTACCAATAAGAATTGACATTTTAAATAGTCACTTGATAAGTTACGTAGTAGTCTTAGAATGTATGAAAAGTTAATTCAAGTAGATGCTGATTGAGTGTCAAGATCAAAATCAAGCACACTTTATATCCTACAAAAATTAATTAGAACTGAAATATACAAAATCATCTTTAAGATATTTTTTTTTCTTTTAGAAAGATTTACGTATATGTGAACGAGAAATAACAGTGGTCGAACTTTTAGTAACATATCAAGATAACAGAGTATAATGTTTATTCATACTGACACTTTCATTCAACTGTATTTGTCAATCATTCTGCACAAAAATACGATCTGATTAGATTATTGACTGAGAAAAATATCAGCAGGATGATATTTTGCAAAATTGGTACCATATGCAAACTCATTTATTCGTGATTGAAAACTCTCTAAAGTTTCTTATCGTGCACGAAATCTATAACTTTCTTAGGAAAAATTATTATTAGTAAATATTCGACTTTAATAGGTGAATTTCACCTTGACCGAGATACAGATAACCTAAGTGTGATTGATAGTTTTCCTTCACCAACCATCCAGTTCGATTATTTCATTGATAATATGCGAACTACAGTAGTCAAACGGGTGAATGCTAATATTGATAGAATTCATTAAATTCCATTATCAATGAAAGATCCATGTAAATCATCGACTGAACCACAGAAGAATATTGTGTTGGGTACGAAGTTAATCAAGATTGCTATGTTCTGGGCAAATGGTAACCATAGATGCAGAATAATAGAAAATGATCTTGTTTTTTTTTAATATTTTCTGCCCATTCTGAAAATTACCATTGGATGCTACCGAAATCGTCCCAATTGTTCTGATATTCATCAGTTCACACGAAAGATAAATTCAATATTCCTTCAGTAGATTCGCCGAAAGAAGTCATCAAACGAGTTTTCTAAGCAAATTCATGTTTTGGTGGAGTTAATCCTTCAGTTATTTATTGAAATAAGAAAGTTCAAGGAAGTATCAAGAGGAAGAAAAAAGAAATTCGGGTCTTTGAGCCCAGTTAATCTGTTGTCCATGTTCTTTTTGAAGAAAGTCATTTACAAAAGCCAGAAGACTTGGATACTTAACATCGTAATAAATATTATCATATTGATTAGGATCATCGTGACATTCTTTATCAATAAATACGAATTTCGTATGTACGCCTTGAATGTCTTTAAAATTTCGTCTCAAATCATCGACGAAAGCTACTGGATGCATCGCTTCGATGGTGTTTCTTTTGGGATTGTTTTTGGGATTCTCTTTGTCATAACCTGTACTGATTACTCGATCGATTGGAAATCCATGTGAGCGAAAATTTTCAAGACGATGATCAGTAAAGCAGGCAGGCATCGCAGTTACGCAAACCAGTTCATAGCCGGCTTCATGCAGTAAATTACAAGCTTGAAGTGCACCATCTATCATTGGCATTGTGCGCCACCCCTCGGCATCCCATACTTCATAGAATCGGTTCTCCTCTTCAGGTGTGAATGTGACATCGTACACAGTAGACGCCTGAAATACAGTTCAGTTAATGCTAAATAGAAAGCAGTGCCTAAGCTCACGTGATAAGATTTGGGAGAGACAACAGTCAATTGTTTCCCAAAGACTTTTTCATAGATTTGAGCAAATGTAGCGTGAGAGTCCAGAAGAACACCATCACAATCCAGTGCGATAATTGGCTTTTGATTTGTCTTTGAGCACAGCATTGAGGCGTTTGTGATTTTTCTCTCGAAGTATAACAAAACGTAAAAGGAAAGAACGAGATATGTCGTTCGATCAAATTGAATTAAAATTTATACATGTATTCGAAAGAGCGCATTTCGCAATACTCTATGACAGTATGCCACGTAGATTATTATGCAATTACATGAATACTGCGAATACGACGGGATTGCAAAAATTTTCAGATTATACTCGACTACTGATAATATTCTGATGACGTCAGTTGTTGCAGTTACAAGTAGTCGTCATCGTATTTACTTCCGCGCATGTTTGGGTTCTTGCTGCGCACTCGTCGTTATTTGTCTTCAATGTCAATTTGAAGTATATAGTGTTTGGCAAAAATTTAACTACTTGTATACTCTGAACTGACTGTAACGAACATAGCGTGTCGTGTATGCCCGTCGGCATATGGTATAGTGTTACATGAAAATATTTAGTCGTACATTTCCTTATATAAGAGAGAGAGAGAGAGAGTGATCACGTATGAGTGGATAGAAACAAAGAAGAAATGGTCGCACAATAGAACAATGAGAGGATTAAAAGCAGTGATGAAGCCAGGACTTTGGTCTAGGGGAGGCTCAGCGTCCACATTTATTGAGTCATACGGCAATTTGTTCTATGTATTTTGAATTTTTCATTAGGATGGGTTGCAAAAAATCTTACTATTACTTTAGGTGACAGTGCATCAAACCGGTATCAAACTGATACATATTGTTCATGCCCAAAAAAAAACCGAGCCAAAACTCAAAATGGATTTTAACTTGACTTTCGCTGTTTGTCGACTATTCCACATATCTGAAAAGATTTTTGAAAGATATATTTTTGTCTGATCCAAGAATGTATTAATGCGTGATCGGAAAGTTTTCAGGCGAAATGTTTTTTCACTTTTAACTCGACGGAGAGTATTTTCGACTAGCTCAAAGCTATTATTAGTTACTACCAAAATTTCGTGCCCGTTTAGTAAATTGACCTAGAACTCTCTGTTTTTTTTCAAAGGTAATCAGTGAAATAGCCTTGAGAAAATCAAACAAATAGGTTACAATAGAAATGTTTTTCGTTCAATTTTGTATGGTGGTTTGCAGTTCGAAACGAAAATTTTGTATTGTGTCGTATAAATCAGCTTACAGAACCAAAGATATTCTAAAACAATGAACTGTATGAAGTGTTTTGGCTTTCTCTCAGGCGTCTAAGTCTCTGTTCCTCCCAAAACTCATTTCTAAAAAATCGACTTTTCTGACAAAAAATCGTTCTATGTTAAGAGAAGCACTTAAGATATGTGTATAGAATTAATTGAATTAACGCCAGTTTAGATCAATATGATCGCTTCAACTTCATGCTTATTGAATTTTCAAACTCAATTGAAGACACATTTTCCTTTTTGCCTATCTTGCTTAAACAATTTTACTAAATTCATACATCAAGGAAAAAACACATTGTCTTCAAATATAATGCATCGATATCAGATAAATATTAGGATATTATTTCTAACCATCAAACATTATAAAACTATGCCGCTATACCGCTATAGGTTTTTATTTGAAATAGAAATGAATTCGATTTTGTAGTGAAATCTTATTCCACTTACAAATAAATACATAAATGCATACATGAAAAAAAATCAAAAAATGTCATCTTGGTATATCTTTACCACGAAGTTCTAAGATTTCTTTAGACCATTTGACAAGTTCAATTTCTTTATAATCATCTGTTTTTGAATTTAATTCAAATTCTGAGATTATTTTATTTATTGAAATTTCAACTTGACTTTTAATTTTTTCCATTTTTTCCTGAAGATCATTTCGAGTGTTTTCGGCAATTTCTTGAAATTTTATTATTGCTCTTTGTTCCCAATCACAAATACTTGATAGAAGTGATTGTTCGAAATGATTTTCAATCATATATTTTCCTAATAGTTCGCATTTTTCATGAAGATCATCCATTTATGCAGTAAGTAATAATCGGTGTTTAATGAAATGTGACATACAATATGGATTTTGACACCCAGAACACTTTGCAACACATACACTCTTCCACATTGTGCACAACGTTGTTTTTCAGCCATTGGTATCAATTATACCTTCACAATTGTACTCAATGTAACACTATATATTTGAAGTGTCTTTTGAGAGTTTATGATGCCAATTGGAATTGTATGATTTACGTTATCGCTCAACTATTAAGTAGAAACGAAGAAAAGATATATTCAATATTGACAACGAAGGTGGTTAAATGAAAAATGAATAGAGCGTTCTTTTTTTTGCGTACAAATACGTATCAAAAAGGAAGAAAGGATAAAAAGAAAATAGAAAGTCGATATGACGGAAGCGATGATTATGTTGCGTGAAAATATATTTTAAAAAAACGTAAAAATGAAACAGGTCATGTAGCTCGTATGAAACTAAGCTGGAAAAAATATTACTCAAAGACAACATATAATTTTCCAATTGTAATCAATGAACAAAACTTTATTTATGTATTTATTTATCTACTAGCATGTATTTACACGAATAATCAATTGGAAAAATTTTAAGAAACCTGATTGGGTCTACAATAGTCACTCGATTTTTCGTAGTAATACAGATGCATTGCATCGTTGATGCTATCAAACAGTTTCGATATGAAGACACATATAAAATAAAGAAATAATATACATCGATATAAGCGCATTTCTATTTGCAATGTTTGATAAATATGTGTTCATATAATCAGTCAAAATTAAAACTAAACTCACAGAAAAAGTTTCAGACAAAAAAGTAAACTCTTTCTAAATGTTTGTTTTTCAGTTTTGATTAATCACGTGAATAGGATTTCATGAGTCTTGTGAAATGAAAATGCTTTTATGAACGCATAATATTCTCTTGTTTTGCATTAAATGTATCAGTTTGGCTATTCAACGCTTTCAGAATCATGTTTTGATATGTAATTTCACTAACATATTTAACCCTGCAGTATTGAGTCTCATGAGTTAATGTGAAGAACAAAACTCAATAGATAATTGCAACATATTACAAATCAAAGTTTAACGATTGATTAGACATTAATCTTCATCATTTTTCTTTGATAAGCAAAATTTGTTTGAAACTTAAGTTCTCCTAGCGCATTAAAGTTTCTCACACCAAAGAAAATCATATTGATTCATGCAATCTAGATCATATATATATTTCATTTCAAAGAAGTTAAATTTTTTCATAAAATCCAAAAAATTACACAAAGAAAATTTAATTTTCCTTAAAAATCAATAGCCTATTTATGATTCAATTGATTGTTTTAATTTAAAACCGTTCTGTTCAACTATTTTCCTATAGCCATGATAATTTTAAATTGTTTAAACATATTTTTCGTTTTCTTTGCATCGTTGCGTTGATCTTTGATGGAGACGATTAATGTATCTAATAAAAGATATATGTTGAACTTTGTTCAAGCATTTATCAACAACCCTTGAAAGTAAGATTAAGCACCTGTAGAAAAAAAAGAACAGCAGACATGCTTATAAACTTGAGTTTCAAGGATATGGGTTTTGTATGATTTAAGAAAGAGAAAACGAACGAACAATATTTCATTGTTAGCATTCAATTCACATAGGAGATTGAAAATGTGGCTCGGTTTATTATTAGTAATTCATGGTATTTTTACAACGGCTGTTCACAACGAAAATATTCTTAATCATGAATGTGAAACAAACTTCAATTGCAGAAAATTTATGGCTAATGCAATTTGTTTTGATAAAAAATGTATTTGTCCATTCGGACATACATTAAATGGATGTGTATCAGAAATAAAACAAACGCGATATCGTCGACAAACGAATATGGGTAAAAAGAATTTGAAATTTAACTTTCGAGGCTTTACTTGAGAAATATAAAGGTATGAGAATGTTGGGTGAACCATGTGACTGGACAAATCAATGTCGACGCTTATCTACGGATCAAACGAAAGTGTGCCTTGCTCGTAAATGTCAATGTTCACGCGGGTATATACCTATGGATGCCTATCGATGTTTAAAAGATACTGGTTAGTTTTATTTAAGTGTAAATTAATTATTCTAAAGTATTTTTGTCGTAGTAATATTACCGTCAAAGATACGAATTTCAAAAGCTATTCAGAATGAACCACCTGGTTTTGGTTCAACTTGTTCGACAACTATCGATTGTCAACAGATTAGTACGCATCTCGAATGTATTCATGAAGTATGTGTATGTTTGGAAGGTTATGTACCGTTGGGAAAATATTTATGTTATAATATTCGTGGACCAGGTATTATATTTTAACGGAACTCCCATAATGATTAGGATATATTTTTTAAATGATTTCAATTGTAGAAGATTCAACTAGAACATCGACTCTATCGATTACACCATCAACAACTAATCCGATAAGTAATGATGTACTGAAAACATTGGGTAAGATTGGTAATTCATGTTTTAATGATTACTTTTGTCGACGAACAATATCCGAATCACATTGCTATAATGGAAAATGTGCATGCATCGATGGTTATAGATCGATTGATCAATATACTTGTATGAAAGGTAATTAAACAATTTATATGTAGATTTTTTTTCCCTCTAGAATATACAAAGAAGTATGTATGCTGTATTTGAATAGATATGAACAGAGATACAACAATAAGATCAACACCAATACCATTTGATTATAAAAGTTTGTTAGGAGGAAAATGTTCAACCAAACGTAATTGCCATACATCAAATGCAGTTTGCTTAAATTCTACTTGTTTCTGTCCAAAAGGTTATTTTCCTGTAGATGATTGGACGTGCTTAGAAGAGCCTGGTATTAGATAAAAATTTATTTATTATTTTCCTTGTCTTCATATCATTAAATTTTTTGTTAACTTAGAATCATCTGATGAAGAACTAATACAAACAACACCTACCATGACAACAACAATACTACTAGAGACAAAAACAACAACAGCAATATTTTCCACAACGACTATGTTTCGTTGGTGGCCATGGTCACCAACGCCAACTACTTATCAAACCTTTTCGAATTTGGAAAATGCATTTCGTGTTCGTTGTTTACTAAATCGACAATGTGCTAGTATGGATTCAAACTCTCATTGTACACTATTCGGACGATGTGTATGTAATCGTGGTTATATATTAAGAACAACAAACAGAGGACAATTTTGTGCTCCACGTATATTGAGCAAAGATGATTGTGACTAGGAAAAAATAAAGCTTATTTTTAAATTCGTTTTTTTATTTTTTGTTTTATTTTTCCGGTGCATCTATCATTATTATTATTATTCATGTTTTTATTTATTTTACATATTTATTATAAGCCTTGGTGTTCGAGTTCATTATTGATTTGAATTAATACACAACATGGACAGCATATAGCAGCCAGACAATCTGTACCTATCGAACCCTTGAAAACAGAAATAGAATATATATATATTTGAAAAACTAAGTTTGGTTCGAGTTTTTACTTGCAATCGAAATCCCGTACGAATTTTCATACGTAGTGACATCAAAGCGTCAGGCCAACAACAGAAAAATGGTGTACAAATCCATTCACCAGCCCGACTAAATACTTGACAACAAAAACATGGACAACAAAAATATGCACAACAACCTGTAAGAATACAAAACAAAAAAAAAGGCAAAGATTCTTCATGTAGATACAAGATTTTCATATGAAATAAACAAACATACATGAGCTTAGATCATTACAACAGTCGCATATATCTCCTTTCCATTCATTATCAAAACCCCATACTTTTTCTCTCAATTTTCTTGGTTGCTGTTTTCCATAACTAAAATCAATTGTTCGTAATCGATATCAAATCAAATTATATAAAATAGATATTTACCTAGTAGCCATGATTTATGGTAGCTAGTGTAAGATCAAACAAAAATCTATTTTACTTGCACTACAGTTACCGACGCTGTTTGTATGCGTGTGTTTAAAATAACGCAAAAATAAAATTTTCGACGGCTGAAATGGCAACTTCTTTTAAGTGTAAAATGCAAACATTGACTCGAAATACACTCAGCTATGTCAACAATGACGAGAGTTTTTCAGATCAGTTAGCGATAGACACATGCTTTGACTTATATCGATTTTTTGCCAACAAATCTTTATCTAGCATTTTTTTTCTTGAATATTTATTCAATTAACACACACACACACATTCGATGGTGGGCAATTAACAAAAAAAAAAGTTAAAAAATGAACAATACAAATGCTACGTTACGTAACTTGGATACTTAATAGCTAAAAGAGATTCAAATAAATAATGTTTTTTTCCTGTTTGAACAAAACTGACATTATTCGACGCGAGAAAAAAAAACAGAAAGAAAAGGCCGCAGAACTATGAGAAAAAGAATCAAATCGACGATTAAAAGAAGTTTCGTTATTTTTTCTGTTTTATAAAGCACCATGTGTTCATCACTGTTAATATAGAAAGATCAGTATTATAAGAAGAAAAAAGCGAAATGACTTAACGCATTGAGAACTGAGCAAACTGAAAAAGAAATTCCTATTGCACACCAGAAGAATTCTATTTCAAAAAACGAAAGGATTTTACGATAAGATCGATCGTCAATAACCATTCAGTTTATTTTATTTTTGGTTCCAGCCATTTTTCTTGAACATGTTCAACTTGATATTCAGTATGATAGGGTCTTCGTTGTAGTTCAGGTGGAACTTCTTCAGGTGGTTTAACACTTCGAAAACCAGTAGATTGTTGTTGTTGTTGCTGTTGCTGCTGTTGCTGTTGGCGACGTTGATCAAAAATAGATTTAGGTGCTTGTGATGTTCCTTGTACAGAGCTAAGATCTTGTTCTAGGGCACGAAATGATCGAGAAAGTTTAGCTTCAGACGAATGAGGAATATTTTGTTGCTGAGGATTCATTAGAGGTTGATATGCCGATGACGTTTGATTTTGTTGTTGATTGTTATATATATTAGATGATTGAGAAGAACTATTGTTTGAACTACTTTCAAAACGAACGCAAAAAAACTATTGTAAAGAAGATTAAACTTTTTTTTCTAGCTTTAATATACCCTTTGATATCATCAATTAAACTGCCTGCTTGTGATTTAAACGCTTCTAAAACTTTATCGTCACTGTAAAGTCCTATCGGAGAATTATACTGAGCATGGTAAACAGCTGTGCCCACATTACGTGCTGGTGCCTGAGGGTTGTCACGATAAGCTTTTGGTCGCCAAGTTTCACGTTCTAAAATCAAAAAATCAAAATAACATAGAGCTACTAATGGCAAAACACAATGAAATAATAAGTTTACTTACGAAGTGGATCTTTATTGTAGGCTGGTGAAGATTCAAAATTCGCTATAGATTATTAGGTATCGAAAACTTAACATATAGACAATAAATACAAGAAAATAAAATACTAACTAAGTTTAGGACGTAGATGTTCAGGTTCTTCCTTTGTATAATCTCCTAAAATACATGTATAAGATGATATTTCTGAATTGAAATTGAATTTTATCATACCAGGTTGCCAATTAGTTGGTTTAGCTGCTTGATAAGTCATTTCGTTTCCAACTCGAGCATCGAATGGCATTGCTGCTCGATTATGGCTACTACCGATATGCGTTTGAGGCTAAAAATGTATAATAATAATAAAAATCAATCGAAGGTTGTCATAGAATTAATGCCTGATTTGGTAATGCAAAATTAGGTTGAGCAGTTTGTGGTGTAGGCATTTGATGTACGGGACCTGTTCTTAATTGTGATATGGGTTGTGCTTTAGGCATAGACTGTTGATTGACTGCTCCTCTAAAATATTCAAAAAAAAAACGACAAGAAATAACGCTCCATCTATCTTGATGATTAATATTTTTACTTGATGACAGTTAATTCAAGTTCATTTCCTGATCGGGTTATTTCCATTTTGGCTTCTTGATGCGTTACATTAGCTACATTCCGACCATTGATTGCTATAACCTGGTCACCAGCATTTATACCATATGCATGAGCAGGCGTGTCCGGATTAACCTTGGATACAAAAACATAAAGCATATAAATAATAAGGAACGAAAAGGTCAACTTCTTTCCTTTGACTTTAAAGCATACACTTACCAGTTGGATCGATAATGGGATAGAAAAATCACTACCACCTGAATACAGAAGAAAGAAAAAACAACGACTAGTGAAAATAATGATAATAGCAGATAGGAAAAATCAAACCTTGAAGACGAAAACCCCATGGTCGTTCAGTTCCTTCACGTCCAAGATGAACTGTTACAGGCGAACTCATGTTAGATAACACAAATAATGCTAGTAAGAAGATATCTAAAAGTGTTGATAACCAAAGTAGTTTGTATTTTTTGTTCTTGCTTTAGCAAACAAGCAAACGGCTATAAACGACAACGACGTTTGACATAGATACATAGCAAGTAAAGCGAACTGACTTCCTGCTAATTCAGCAGTTCGACAATGAAACGGACGCGTTATGTACGAGGATTGCATGTCTTTCTCTTTTTCTTCTTCTTCTTCTTCTACTTCTTCTTTACTCTTCGACAGATAGCACGTAGCTACTAAAAATGGCACAGAACAGAAGAAATGGTATCAATATATCCTTCATCCTACGCTCTTTACGCATGTGTCCAGAGCAAACATGAATGAATTAATGCTTGAGTAATATACGGCAAAATATGGACGACAGATCATGATATTATTTGGTTTTATCCAATAATCAATTCACTATAGCAATATATGACCTTTTCCACTGATATCGAGTGGCATCTTTGTTTTTTTTCTGTTTCTTCTCCTTTTTTTTCTGTAAACTTTATCGTAATTAACAAAGATAATTAATAATACAGAAAAGCATTCTTTTTCTTTTAAATTTATTAATCATCAACATTATCTTTTATTTCAAAACGAATAAAATCAACTTCGATCGATTTTAATGGTGCATTACTTGCTGTTGATATTTTACGATTTGGTCTTTTTTTTTCTAATTTTGGAATATCGAATTGTAATACAGCCAAAACATCAATTTTCATATTCCAATCTTTAGCTTTCTTATAAATATGATCTCTTGTACTTGTTTTATGTAAACTATAAATTGAATGTTGTGCTAATTGTCTTGCATAGTTTAAAAAATGCATATCAATACCACTTAAACATAATTCATCTTGATTTTCGGTTGAAGTTGAAAATGGTTTTGTGCCAAATGGTGGATTCATAATGACTGTATCTGCTTTAATACGATTTAAATCGACAGGTAGACTCATACGTCGTAAATCAGCTTGAATTAAATCAATACTAGATTCAAGTTCGAATTCTTTTATATTCGATTGACACAATCCTAATGCATCTAGATCGCAATCAAATCCAAATACATGATCAGCATTAAGAAGACACGATGCTATTGACAACATTCCTGTACCAATACCTAAATCAATTAATGAACGATTTTCAATATCATCATATTGAGTTTGAGCTGTATAAATCATTCGAGCAGCTAAACAAGAGAAATAACAGTTAAGATTTTTTTGAAACATTTCTTTTTTTTTCATTTTACCAAGATGTGGCGTTGTCATATATTGTTCAAGATATTCTTTAGCATTGGAAAAATTTTCAACATTACTTAAATGAGACTCTAATTCTTTGAGCTTCATTTTTCTATCAAATACAAATAAAAATAAATAAAGGAAATGTATTATATGTAATTATATGTATATTAAATTCTCGCATACGGAGATTTATTATTTATTTATTCCAAAAAAAAAAGAAAAATTCAATCACAAAAATAGAAGATATACATATTTTTTGTTGTTATGAAAGATCCATTGTGGCACCGCCATACATTTGACGAAAATGTGTTTGTACAGCATCGATTAGATTTTGGAATTTTTCATTCCAATTTATGTTTGTTTGAGTTTCTAATTGTAATAAACTATAGTTTAATAACTGATGAACCATTTCAGCATTATAAACATTTAATAATTCAATTAGATAATTTTGAAATAGATCGAAATCTATTTGATTTGGTTCATCACTTGATTCAATCCATTCACGAAGCATCAATTTAACATCACTTAATGTTGTGTAACCAGCAATACTAGGCTGTTGCTTTGTTTTCTCATTCCGATTAAATTTTGGTTCATTACGAGCTAGAGGAATATTTCTTTCTTCTTGAAGAATCGTTTCTGTACGCCATTTTTTAATTGGATTTGATTGCTTTTTTGGTGCAGGCTGTTTTTGTGGAGAATTCATTAGAAGATTAAATGCATTACTTTTTTCTTTAGCTATTGAATTTGATATAGGTACCAGTCGTTTACCACCTATAGATGGATATTTTGTTTCAATATTTCGTAATTTTTTTGCCATTGCTATTTCACGACGCATTTCTGGTGGAAGTTCATTGAGAACCGATTCGTCGATATGATCCATAACTTGTGTAAAAGATTTTTCAGCTATTTCTCTACGATTTAACTCTGAATTTTCTTCTGAAATAGATGGACGGGTTCTAAAATATTCTTCAAGTTCTTCTCGTATTGAACTTGGAAGTTCGTTCATTACTCCAGGATCAATTTGTCCAGGAGTATAACAATCATGTCGTACCGCTCTAAAATAAAAATATTTGAATAGAGAAATATCTATGCATTTTCGTTGTAAAACATGTCTACAATGTGTTCATAAACAACTCGAAAATAATACATGATTATGCTTTTGTTTTGTATACTTTTTTTTATGTTGGATACGTCACTCATAGAATTATCAATCATTTTTTTATATCTTACTTTCTTGCAATCGCTATTGTTTGTTCTTGTTGTATATGACGTTTTCTCGATACCGAACTTTCACTGGGTTGATCAATATTTTGATTAGTATCTGCATTTTCTGTTGATACCATTGATTTTGGTACTCGAAATTGATTACATTCAAATAATGTTCGTGTACCATTCACATCTTTTCCTTGATTATTTTTAATTGTTGATTGTAATTGTGTTATGCCTATGCCAATCTGAATGAATATCATTTTATAATAATGAATAGCAATAGCAAGAAAAAAATGTTTTTATGTTACTTACTCCACGTAAATCTGCAACAATAAAATGAAATTGTTTCAATAATTTGATAGCTTCTAATTCAATAGTTGTTGGTTCATCTATGTACGAACGAAGATTAATTAATCGACTTGAATCATCGGTTCTTCCACAGCCCATGAATTTTTCTGGTTCAATAGGCGCATTTGCAGATCGAACACGAATTTTCACCGTTAATTGTTTTCCTTTTTGTTTAGCTTGTTTTAAACGTTTATGCAATTCCATTGATAATTGTTTAACGAATAGAGTTAGTTCATCAAATGTTTGAAATCTTATGCCATAATTTACATCAATTGATATTGATTTCGGCAAGTAATCTTTTGAAAGTATTCTTGTGTCGATTGCTCGCGACATATCATATATAGTTTGTCCTTGTTTTTTACCCAAAATAGTTTTTAATTGTTCAAGAGAAAATAAATTTTGTACATTTTTGCAGGTTTCAATTGTTTGATGTGAACAATTTTGTTGTAATTTATCTAGTAATGACAAACCAATACCAGGTAAATCAAGAATTTTTTGTTTAGCTATAAATTCTTGTTCATAACCTTTTTCAACATAATATTGTCCATTGGGTTTAGCTTGTCGAGTTGCTAAACGAGCTAAAAGCAGACTTGATCCAACACCAGCTGAACATGGACACTTTGTGTTCGATTGAATTTCTTCTCGTAATAATGAAACAAACGTTAATGGATGAAGTGGTTTGAAATATTGTACTAATTCAGTTAAATCAACATACATTTCATCGCAAGATACAGCTTCAACATCAAGTGTATAATTAAGTATTGTATTATAAAAAAGATCAGATACAATATGAAAACCTTCATAATCATATGATAGACAGAGAAGTTTAGCTTGATGATTGCCACATAATTCTTGTGCTTTACCTAAAATAAAAATTCAATCGATACCAATCCTCTCTAAATATGTAAATTTTTATCAACAATATCGAGCCTATTAGCCACATGGATATAGAATCCATATTCGAAAATTTAGAACTGGATTGTTTCTTTCCTTAGAAAAGACTCGAAACAAGAATGTTGTAATCAATTGATTCTCAATTTTTTTTCGCTTCCGTTTGTATTTTTTTGCGTTCGATGTTTTCTCTTCACACTAATTTTTAAAGATATTCGTATAATAATACAATGAGTATTAATAAAATGGCAAGTTTTATCTCATCTAGCTTAGATTTACTTTTATGAGCTATAACAACGACTTAATAATTATACTTTCAAATTGATTGATGTCAAACATGAAACTATTTAAGACGGCATATTACATCATACTCTCATACCTAAATACATTCCATTGCGAACACCATATTGTCTTGCAGCATAATTACAAGATGCAATTTCTGAACGAGAATAGAATTGATGTTGATTCTATTGAAAATAATTAAATAAATAAAACACTGGCTTGTTTTTGTTTTCTTCGATACTTACATTGGTAGTAGATTTTTTCCCTTTCGAATGAGTAACAGCAATAGGATGATCTCTTAATTCAGGTTCATTTCGTGTTGCAACAGATACAAAAAAGCAATCCATATCGATATGCATATAAATTTTTTCTGTTTTTTCATCAACTAATTTAAATAAATAATCACGTTCAGTTCTTTGAATTTTATTTTTTAATTCTTCCCGTTGTTTTTCAATGAGTAGACGATGTTCAACTTTTTGCCGTAAATCTTGTACATAGACTTTTTTTGCAACAGCTGTTGATGATAAATAATGTAAACGTGATCGTTTAAGGAATGTTTCTAAATATTTAGGATGTTTTGCATCAAGTACAGATAGATGTTCGTCAACTTCAGGTTCAATTTCTTCATTGTCTGATGATGATGGTGTTTTTTCTAGAGAATTATTTTCTTCATCGTCACTGTTTGGAACATTGAAGTCTGATGTAATTGGTTTCATTGGTTGTTCAATACGTTTAAAATTTAGTTCAGTTTGACCACGAGCTTTCGTTATGTCTTTATACATTTCATAATCATGTGTTGGCAAAAGTTTATTTTGTTTTATACTATAAATTAAAAGAAATAAAAGCGACTGATTTTATATTAATTGAATTGAAGAAGATTTTTTATTTCAAATTACCAATCAGTAATCCATTGTGAGCGAATAACTTTATCATTTGGTTTAAGTTTATGTAGTTTTGCATATGGTAAATTATTCGATATAAAATAAGTGCCTTTCTCTTTTGAATAATATGCATGATAAATACCACCATGTTCTATCATTAATTTTTTTAATTCATCAGCCGGGGGTTCTAAATACAAAATTATTGGAATTGTTTTTTTTTTACGTATGAAAAATAAAAATAAAATATGTAATTCTACCAGTATGTCCGTCGACAAATATTGAAATTCCATTGAATATATTACTTTTACGTTCATGCTGTTGAACATTATTTATACAATCTTTATCAAATTGTTCTTCTAGTTTGCGTTTTTTTGCCTGAAATTATTTATTAGAAAAAGACATTTATTTGACAATGAATTATTGGATAAAAACGTACAGCCATATAACCACCCCATTCACCCCAGCCGTTATCTCCATGTTGTTGACCACAAGCTCTTCCGACCATTTTTGAACTGATTCTTTTTCGTTTTCTAACAATATTAACAATTGTGAAATTATATTTTTTGACAGTCGCATATTGATTCGATCATTATAATTGATCCATAAATGTCTGTCAATGATAGATATCGCTAGACATTAGAGATACATATATTGATAACTACATAATTAGAAACTGACAAATAAAACATTCATCATTCATCATTCATTCGATCTAGATTTTCCAAATTAATCTTATTATTTGATACGAAGAAATTCATAAAGATCAATTCGAATTTATTTATTATTTTATTTTATTTGGCCTTAAATTCTCTAAAGAATACTATGTATGAGTTAAGAGGTTAATTAAAAACGAGCTATGCCAAGCGTCGCTCGATTAACAGGAAAAAAGGAAAAAACTAATAGTTACCATTATTGACAATATTTTCCATCGATTTTTTCCAAGATCGTATCGTATTACTCTAACACCCACGATCACCTGGTTACTGTACTAATGGTATGCCATATGCATTTGGCTCTATATTACAATAGCTGCTCAAATCAACCGTCGCGGATGGAAATTTTTAGCAATTAGAATAAAAGTTTTCTTTAGTTCGCTTATGATCAAAATAATTGTTCTATTTTAGGGAAAATCTTTAGAACTCAGAAATAATTATATTTTATATAATAAGAGAAGATATGTACATTATTTGTGTGTCCAATCAAGACAATCAATAGTATTTATCTTGCATTGATTTTTTTATCCTTGTGCTTTTTCTATTATGCTATAAGAACTTTAGCAGATAATGAGACATAACAGATGGAAATACTTTCAACTTAGACAATACTTATCAATCCATTATTTATTCCTATGGATCATTTGATGATATAATTTCATTCGAAAATATCATGATAAAATAAAAGTTTCATTTCTCATAAGCTAGATATTTATCGAAAATAATAATTGAATCTCTGATCAATATATTCAGTGACAGTACCTATTATATCGTTCTTACTTTCTATTGAACAAAACACATACGATTAAAAAATATAGAAAGATAAATAAAATACAAATGTCTGGAAACTTGGATAAACAAACAGTTCAGTGTATCTATATTAAAATTTCTATGAAATATTCCATTTCAATTGAACCATATGAACAGAGAAGAAACAAGCAATAATATTCATTAGTATTATTATCGGTGTACGTGAAAAATTATTAAAGAGCCTTTTCTTTTGTCATCGAAATGTAACGTTGAAATGCTAAACTTTATAGTTGATGTAAATTCAAGTATTTAACGCTTTTCCATAACAATAAAGAGTTCTGTTCGTATGCAACAATTTACTATTTAAGTGTAAACTAGATTAGTGCTTTGAACTCATTAGATCACAATTTTAACAATACTCAATCTAACACAAGCGTATACACACGCATACACTCTGGTTTTGTGTCTCTCTCTCTCCATCTCTCTGTCTCATTCTCTCCATCTCTCTCTCTAATTTTCTCGCATATCTCTTTCACTCTTTTCGTGTTATTCTTCCTTTCTCAGTTTCCCAGAACTGCAACTATCATGGAATATGTAGAAGCGCTTTTACATCTCATCAATCTAAGAAAGGTAATTCGCCGATAGAGAGAAAACCATGCATAAAGTATTCTATTTGTCGTCGCGACGGCAAATAGACAATGGATTCGGAGATGACGATTAAAAGAGAAGGAAGATCGCAAAGAAATATCCGTATACCATAATAAATATTTGTATTTCCAATTCTTCTATTATTATTTTTTCTCGCCATCTTTCTTTCTTGTGTTACAGTATTCGACAACATCGACCTTTTCTTAGCTCCGTCGCATGGCACAGATATTGTATGTTTCCCTCCTTAATATATTTTCATTCTAGAACTATCTATCCATTGTCTTCGATCACAACAATAAAAACAGCGATTGACTCTTTATTCATCGCAAACAATAGACACTCACTCATTCACTGCCACCTGTTCTTACGTCGCAGCAACATGGTACGTAATAAGCTAGTTCTTTGAATGAGACTTATGTCTAATAAAGCAAAACAAAAAAAAATGAATTCTAATCTTTAGTTTAGAACAGACATATTTGATATTAGTTTCTTAATTACTATTTACTATCTATATTGAGAATATACAATATATAATATTCTGATGATTTGTTGAATCAACACTTTCATAATAAACTAATCTATACCAAGAATCGAAGAAAGAATCTCGTAAATTTTCGTCATCACAGATGAATTCAATCAACTGTTAGAATTTAATCATTTTGTCATTTACCGGAAATTAGGTTCCACTAGTGAACGATTCAAGTCACAATTTTTCTCTCATTGACTATGTCTATCATACCATTTCGTACAAAATGAAACATAAAAGAAAGACTGACATTTTCTAATTCCCTCGCTGATGATGATAACGAGGAAACATGTACACAGGGGTATGTATAATTAGTTGTCCAAATCTAGTGAGTAAAATCTTCACTAATCACAACTGTTGTTATCATGCTTAGATGACCTTGTTTGTTCTCTTACTTTATGTCATATATATAAATATATATATATATATATATATAACCTTCGAAATGAATTGAATCGATTAAGGGAATGCCTAGTCTGTCAAATTCAGTATTGATCTGATCGATAAACCGTATTCACAATGAACATTACTTAGAAGTTCATAATTATTTTCGAAGTTGAGATTGACTATCTATTATTTAATTACGAAGTTAGTTTTCCTGTTTCTTTTTCTTTTTTTTTGTTCTGATGTTGTCCAGATTCTTAAAGACAGCAAACATTTAGATGATACAGAAATAAGCGAGAAAGCAAGAAGAAAAAACGTTCCTCGAGGGTGAACAGCTAGAGTTAAGAAAAGATAAATAGGAATGAATGTTTGTAAAATCAATGTACTAAAATGAAATAAAAAAAGGAAAGTTTTAAGTAAGTTATTTCAGATCGATATGTTAGAGAAAAAAAGTTGATAAAAACTCAAGAGTAAAGCAAATTATTTCTACGCATTGTTATTAGTTCATCTAGATTATTAAATAACTAATTTATATTGTAACACGTCATCATAATTTAGTCATTATTCCATTCTACATGAATATTTTGCCTGATCACATGAATTCTCTTCAATTCGATATACTTTCATGAAATCAAATGTTTAGATAGTTTGATTGTAATAATTTTATTATTATGAAACAAAATAACAGGAAGAAATAAAAATTATATTTTGTCACGCATAGTAGAAGCCAGATACAATTGTCTCATAATTGACTATTCATATTATTGTCGATTTCTATGAATGAATTTTAAAATCAAACATTAGTGTGTATTTGATTAGTTGAAGTGAGAAAGCTAAGCGGTACTTTTTGTCAATGATATTTTATTATCGTTCAAGCATCAGTTTGTTTTCTTTTCATAAATAGTTGAGTGAATGCAATTCAGCTAATATAAAAATAAAAAAAATAAAAATAAGAATCCTATATGCTTGACAAAATACACAGATTTCTATTGATGAAGACAAAGCATATCTAGTGAGTGCATCAAGTCTCGGCAGAAACGAAAAAAAAAGAAAATCCAAAGAACTATCAATTTGTTACTGTTATCAGAATGGTGAACTACTTTATTCTCAATTATTTATTCTTTTATTTAGGTATTAAAAAGATTTATTTAATATAAATGATGAAAATATAAATATGGATGCGGATAAAATAGGTAACGGAGGAGTTTATGAAACAGCGATTCTTTCAGATACAATACCATCATCATCATCACCAACAACAATTGGACACGTAGTTAGTAATCCCGTTGATGAATGTCAAGCTTCTCCGTTACTATCATCCTCAGCTTGTGACAGTGGTTGCTACTCGTCTACAATTGAAGAATGGTATTTAATGCAGCCACACCTGTCAATGGCAGACAATAACGTTAAGCAACAGAATCAAGAAGAATATCAAAATCGAATAAAATCACCAATAAATCCAGACTATATTAATCCTAATAGTCGATCATCAGACGATGAACCATATGATAAAGTAGTAATAAATGTTAGTGGTTTACGTTTTGAAACTCGTGCATCAACTTTACAACGTCACCCTGAAACATTACTCGGTGATAAACAACGGCGTGCAGAATATTTTGATTATATGAATAACGAATATTTTTTTGAACGGCATCGTTCATCATTTGAAGCTATTCTTTATTTTTATCAAAGTAGTGGACGTTTAACAAGACCAGAGCATATTCCTGCAGAAATTTTTTTGGAAGAAATTAAATTTTTTGATCTCGGTATGTTAGAGGATTCTATCTGTTTAAGTAATATGAGAAACATTTATACCCATTATTTTTAATCGAATATCCATAAGAGAAGCAGAGAAAAAAAACATTCTTTTATGTTGTAAACATGTACAGTACTATATGAAAGTAACTCGATTCTACATTTCTTGTAGTACTCCTATATCCGATTTTCTTATTAGACTGTCAACAGAACGTTGACATTATACGAAATGACATTTTGAGATCAAAATGTTTGAAAAGAAGAATATATAAATTCAGTTAAACAGATCTATCAACAAAAAATTTGATCAAGCTTCTTTCATGTCATGAAATTCTATTTGAGCTTATCTATTGAAGAAAAAACTAACATTTCTATTTTTTCTAAACGAAATCGTTATGTGTTTTTGAAGAAGAAAAAATGTAAAATATCCATTCGTCTTGAGAAAATTTAAAGTATTTCTGAATTTTATTTTCTTCTCCAACATATATTCTGTATCGTGCAATCTATTAAAATAAATTTTCCTTGACAATTTATCTTTAGAAAAAATATTAGAATAGAAGAAATTATGTCATAGAAATAAAAACATAATCTCATATACTATATGTATGTAGTTCTTTTTTCACACTCAATAATTTTGATCTGTAATTCGAATAGTTCTATTAGAAAATCTAATTGTGCGAAATCCCAATCTCTGTTCCAATAAAAATTGGTAGTTCTTTTTTTGTCTCGTCACCAATTAGTGAATTTAATCCAAAACAAAACCGGAAATCAAATAATCTAATAAGCTTCGTAAATATGAACAACGGATATTGAAGAATCTTAATAGTTTATTTAAATGATTCATTAAAAAATAAACTCAACTGCTTCTGGTTTTTCTAGGTGGCGAAGTTCTCAAACGTTATCGTAAACAAGAAGGTTATGTTGAAGAAATTCCGATTGAAAAGCCAGCTAATCACTTGCAGCGTGTTGTGTGGGAAGCATTTGAATGTCCTGAATCGTCAAATGTAGCAAGAGTTGTTGCAGTGGTATCAATCGTTATGATTACTATATCAATAGCATCATTTATTATAGAAACACTTCCAAGTATACGTAGTGAAATGGTTGCACAGCCAATAACAGTATTCATTAATGGAACATATCAAGTTATTCATCCTGGTGGTGAAACAAGATACTTTTGGATATTTTTTATTATTGAAACAATATGTGTAACATGGTTTTGTTTCGAACTGATCAGTCGTTTTGTGGTTGCACCGTCCAAATGTGCATTTATCAAAAATGGACCTAACATAATTGATGTTGTTTCAATAGTACCATATTTTTTACAATTAATTGGTTTATTTTTTCAAAAGAAAGATGGTATATCTGGATTTTCATCAACATTAACTGTACTGAGAATTGTACGTCTTGTACGTGTTTTTCGAATATTTAAATTATCAAGACATTTTAAGGTAAGTAAATATCAATTATACAACATAATGTGAAAATCCATCAACACATTTGTATCCGACGAAAATAGATGCCATTTTTATAATGCAGCTGTTTACTCTTTCCTATTGATTTAATTGCTAATAAAATACATAATAATTACTTGTTTCTTTTTCTTTCTCTGTTGCGTTAGGGTTTACAAGTGCTCGCCTTGACCTTTTTGGCATCATGGAAAGAATTACTTCTATTAATGTTTTTTCTTTTTATTATTGTTATCGTTTTTTCATCGTTCATGTATTTTGTTGAAGGTGATTATTCTCATGCGACACCTACAAAACCATTACCCATTTACACACCGACATCAGCAGCAGATATAACATCATCATCAACATTATCCTACGTATCATCATCATTTGATAGTCTTGCAACTACTGAATCGGGTGATGTATCTGCAGCAGCAAATGCAAATCAATTTGTATCGATTCCTCATTCATTTTGGTACGCAATCATAACAATGACAACTGTAGGCTATGGTGATTATGTACCACGAACAAATTTAGGAAAAGTTATTGGTGCAATATGTGCATTGACTGGCGTATTAACAATAGCATTGCCTGTACCAATAATAGTATCTAATTTTACATATTTTTATCAACGACAATTAGAAGATACTGAACGACAATATCAATCACGACAAAGAGCACAAGCAAATCAATCTGGTCATAACAAACATAATTTGGGCGTAAATAATGATACAGATGATGGGCCTGAACACGACGAATGGGAAACAACATTTAATGAACCAGATTATTCGGATTATCGTGAAATAACACATGCTGTTACAAAAAAATTAGTACGTAATGCGTATTTTAAGGCGTTTCGAGGTGCAAAAAGAATTTCTCCGGCGATGCGTTTTCAAAGTATGCCAACACCAGCATCCTACATATTAACCAATAGAATTTATCAAGCAAATGACGATAAAAATGATCACAGAAGATATGAAACTGATGTAGAAAAAGCTTCTCTGTTAGATTAAGAGGTTTTTCTCGTTTATTGGAATACGACTAAAAATAAGAATTTCAATGTAGAAGAATATTTTTTTGTATTATTCGGTATTTGTCCGCACATACATAAACAAAGAAAGAAATCACTTTGTCTATAGTTTTGACGCGTGATTTTTACATTTTTTTTTCGTGATTAATTCTTTGGTTTTTAGAAATAATTTTCATGTATTATAATGTGACTCAATTGTTTAATCTCAATGATTTATCTCCCGATGATTAATGAATTAAACTCTTTTTCTGTGTTTTGTTTGCACATATGGTGAATGTGATTTGTACCAAGTGTAGTTTACAAAATTCATGTCAATGAAATTTGTTTTCTTTCTACTTTACCTAAATAAAGTGATTCATAAAGAAATACGTTAAGTCAAAATTTGAACTAACGTGTTCAGCTCAAATTTTAATTTGTTGAAAATTTTAAAAAGAATTTCAAAATATCACGATACAGATCAAAATCATTCAGTATGATCTATACGAGCAGCTATTTGACTTTTCAATTATATACTGTCGAGTCTGAATTTAACAAAAACAAAAACATTTATTGGGTACTGTTACAAACCGATGCATTAGAAACGCGCGACTGCTTCATGGGACATAGATCTCGACCAGTATTGCAGAATTCTTCATAGACTCCAAGCGTACAAATGTTTCTTTCTTTCTTTCTTTCTAGTAAATATTTATGTTGTAAAGGTTAGAATTGGCTCCATTCCTACTTAGCCTGATATCTTCGTTACACTACATCTGATAACGTTGACATTTTATTTTGATATATCAGCGCCACTCGTGGAAGTGTCTAATGTTTTTGGTATTTTGTTGTTTTCTTGCATTCGGATAGAACGATCGAAATGTTGCAACTATTGCCTCAACACACGCATATTTTTTGATTTTCATCTTCTTTAACTATAACTAAAAAAAAAAAAGATTTAAAAAACGTCAGTCAACAAAAACATTTTGTCTGATCTTGATAAATATACTAATGTGAGTACTCTACTCATTGATATTATCAGTAGCAAGTACAGAGTATTATTGATACTCAATATTTAATTACTACTCAAATGATTCAAAGGGTACCCTTATGATTGATATGCACGGATGTACTCTGTGTCGCTGATAGTGCTTGTGATACTTATTGACCACCAGAGTAGTTGCACAAAATACGTTTACTTGAGTCACATGCCATTCAAAATTACTTTCCATAGTTGATAAAATAACATGATGGAACCAAGAGTACAACCTGTATTCGTAACATTTAATTAAATAAAAAGCAAAAGAAAATCCCATGATTTGACTAGCCTAAGAAGAACAATGTCGATTATTCAATTTTCTAATCATTTTCTTTCGAATGAATTTAGCTAAAGGGCAGAGAAATAAAACTTCATTTTTATTTGTTATGCAATTTCTCATACATGTGCATATATATATATATATATATTTCTTTGCAAAGTGACGAAGACGATGAATAAATATTGATTAGCCTCATAAAAAGAAACCCTTGATAATATAATACATATTCTTTTGACTTCTATCAAATTACAAATTGTTTTATGATACACAATCTTGAATGTTATGCATACGTAGGCAGGCATACCTGTTACACATAAAGATTAGTCGTTTTAATCTAGATGGCGTTAGTTGTTTTTCGAAAAGAATTTTCATATAAATTTTATTTATTTTTCCTCAATTCAATGAAATAAAATATAAATGATGGCAAAAAAGATTTTTTCTTTGTGCACACAATTGAAATGCTTCTATTGTTGTATCACTTAGCTACACCTGCTCAATTGACATTATTAATGGTACTAAACCTCTTAAATTAGTGAATCGATTTGAGAAAAAAAGTCAAAAACGATACACTTATACATTCGTTTTTATTTCTTCATTAATTATCAATTGTATTACGTTCTAATCAAATATTTTTTTATTTTATTTTAATGAATCAATAAAAAAAATCTACTTCATTTACATCTATTTTATCAATTTAACTCTTTCAATAATGACAAAATGTCTTCTCAAGGCTCTTAAAGCCGTTGATCTTCAAAATTATGTTGAATTATTTCGTTCACTTGGTTATGATTCAGCTGGTGCATTAGCACATTTTCATAATGAACATTTTAAACGATTAAATTTAACGAAACAAGAACTACTACGCTTCCATGCTTTACTTGATGTACTTAAAGAAGCAACACGTGAAGGTAAAATATGTCCACATTATTCAAAATCCCATAAGCAATCGACAACAAAATCTATTTCGGCTCGATCAAAAAGTACGGAATCGATTCAACATCGAATTTCTCAATCCAATAAAATCAATCATTGCTATTCAGCAAAAGAATCAAATGAAAATTTGCAACCAAAAAGATCTTCGAGTTCGATGAAAATAAAACAACGTTCGTCGTTAGCATCGTTAACAAATGGAAGTCATCCTGGTGGATTTCATATACAAAAACCATCATCGATTCTTATTGAGCAACCAAAAAATGATGATCAACATTTTTCGGGACCAAAATCATTTCTTCATCGAGCACCGGTGCAACATGTTAAAGTAAGAAATAAAACTTTCATTGAGTTTTAAGTAAAATCTTTACGCGAAAAATACTTTTTGTGATGTATTCTCGACGTTTTTGTTTTGCATTCTAAATCTAGAATAGTTCGTGCAATGAAGCTAATTAAATAATAGTAGTCTTTAAAAGAGATGATGTTAGCCAAAGACCTTGAAAAACGTAATTTAAGTCTATAAGAATAACATATGAGTAGAGTGTTTATAAAAAATCCAGAAAATAGTTGATGTATTTCAGTTGAAAATAGCAGCTCAATCGGAGGTTTACGTGACAATTATAACTTATAGTATGGGAATTTTCTTTTTATAGAATGTATGTCAGCAACTTAATTCCTTTGCATCGTAACAGGGTTCGCTCACGACTATTTTCACGTCACTGAATTCATCTTTTGGTCAAAAGTAGACTGCTTCAAGGCTAAGGGAAGTATAAAAGCATTCGTAAACATAGTTCATTTCTTTCGAAAAATGATCAGATCGATGTTAAAAAAATCTAAAAGAAACAGATTTCATACGATTAGTTTAAAAATATAATTACTTCATTACTTTGCTGACTCTAACGATCATAGTCGGATTATGCTTCATGAGTTGAATATGTAACTATCCAAGAAAGACATTACCATAATTAAACTATTGATGATTCCTCTATTTTCGAATGATTGCATCTCTCGTTCATAAACTTATTTAACTTAGTTGTTCAGCCAATTGATCTATAAATATTTTTTATACAAAATTTTCACTAGGGCTATAACAGCTTGTTCCTCGTTTGAATTATTACCATGTAGAAAGATATATATCAAATTCTACGTTTTATTTACCGCTCACACTTTGAAAATGAATTACTCTTGCACGAACTGTATTACCAAAGTTTTTGAACTACAAAAAAATAATATTCAAAATTAAATTCTAATAAAAAGGCTTTTGTTGTAATATTCTGCAATAGCCATTTGAGTCTCGTCACAGATCTATTGATATCTTTTCTAGTTTTATTGCTAAAAATGTTTCATCTAATAATCTACTGTAAATAACGAGAGAGCTCGAAATGTATTGTATCTTTTTTTGCACTAATGTTGGATATCAAATAGAGTGGTTCGGGTAGAGATCGTATTAGAAAAAAAGCGAAAATGTGTTTTTGCCACAATGCACAATTCAATTTAAATGATATTAGATTTGGTGGCTTCCAGCTTATGTATATACACAGTGGTATTTTTTTATATAAAAATATTCAAACTAACATGTTGACTAAGATTTCCTTTCTTATAATTTAAATATCGAAGAGTAGTGTTGATAAAAAAATAACAACATGCCGATTTTCTTTCTAATTTATGAATTAAACTTAAAATTGCACTTGACATTTAACGTTAGTATGCCAAAAGATGCAAGACGCTACGGGCTCTCGCGCCATATTTAGAAGATTATTAGAAAAAAAATATTATAAGAATAAAAACAATGGGTAGAAATTCAATTGACCCCTGCAGTATGTTTGACTGTAAATCATGAGAGAGAGAGAGAGAGAGAGAGCCAGATTCAAGAATTGCACTGAAAATGGCTTGCGGCAAAAATTAATTCTTAAAACGTGAAAAAAGTTTGAAGATTAAACGAAGTTCCCAAGCATCGATATTCATTCCCTGATACTATTATTTTTCTCAGCTGATACTATACAATATAAATCCTTTAAAGAAAAGATCACTAACTGCAAAAAATAGGTAAATATCACAAACTGTTTGTAAATATCTATTATTCAATAGTTTCCGCATGAAATATTTGATTTTTTATGATATTAAATGAATAACGAACTCCAATCGTTATTTCAAATCGTGATGATATAAGATATTTTTTTTGTAAATTTCACAAAATGATTCAAAGTATAAATGATTAGACTCTTTCGTAAATTTCTTTACGCATCAATTATAAATTTAGTGTAGGTCAGCAGTTTTCGAGTTTTATACGCCGTTCAATAACTCAGGAGTTACCTTTTGAATACAATATCATACAATACTGTTTAAAAGTTTTAACGAAATAGAATTTATCAAGTTGTAGCTATAGATATTAACTATAGTTTGACTCGAATCCTAAACTTTTAGTATTAGATTTAAAGGAAAAACTCTTGAAAAAAAACAAAGCATGCTTCTTAATCCTCAACACTGTAGTATCTGTGAAATAAATTGATAACTTTCTCTAGAATTTTTTACTATAAACAGCAGATATCTGACAGATGATCTCTACAAGATTTAGCTAAACGGTGTTCTCTGTAACAAAAATTCATGTCTTAGTTAGAGAGGTAAATTTAACTTTTATTTTCCAACTATTGATTAAGAAATAATTAGAATATTAAATATATATTTCTCAAATGTATTACCTTGACTTCTTTTTTCGAAGTCATTTGCTTCTATTAATATGAAACCTTAGATCATTCACTGTTGGTATACTTATTCAGTTACAACATACATGTGTTATTTTCATTCATCTTTGTTTAAAAAAAAATAGACATCATATATATATTCATAGTTAATATATTTTCATGTTTCCGGCAATTGAATTCGAAAGAGTTATAAATTAATAATTAATAAATATTTCACGATGATTGTTCGTTTTTTACGTCGATAAATGTAAACATCGGTTACTTTAAAGTCTGTTATTTCTGTGTTTAAATAGGTAAAGTCTTATAATTATGGTGTACCAACCAATAAACGTCAACGAAATACATCTCATCGTGTTCATTATCAAAATGAGAGAAACTCGAATCATGCTACAATATTTGCTTCATCGTCACAAAGTACAAAAGATTTCGTTTCATATGCTAAACCAGCTGAAATATATGTTTATGCGCGTAAACGACCATTATTAACAAATGAAATTAATTTTCAAGATACAATATCAGTACCAGATAATAGACGTATAATTATTACAGAAAATAAAGCAAATCTTGATTGTACTCCATTACTTAAAAAAGTATTTTCTTAACGAAAAAAAAAGAATATCACACGAATGAAATTGATTTTATATTTTCAATAGAGTGAATTTCAATTCGATCAAGTTTTCGGGTCCGATGCATCAAACAAACAAGTATTTGAAAGCACAGTTTTACCATTTCTATCAACCAATCATCGTCATAATTTAACATATATTTGTTTTGGTCAAACAGGATCTGGTTAGTTTATTTGTTTAATTTATTTAAAATAATTATGATTACATCAATTTTTAGGGAAAACTCATACAATATTTGGCAGCAGAAACATTGATGGTCTACTTGTTTATTGTACACAATTACTTTTACAAGAAATTAATTTAAAAAATAAACTTGTTTGTTCTTTTTTTGAAATTTATAATAATCAACTTTATGATTTAAGCAATACTGGGAAAAGGTTTGTTGTTGCTAGATTTCTATTTTTGAGGGAAAAAACGAAATTAAAATTATTCTTTAGATTATTTGTACGTGAAGATGGTGAACATTCAGTTAATATTGTTGGTATAACAGAAGTTGTTTTGAGAAATTTAGATACTTTACGTTCTGTTATTAATGATGGTCTTACACGACGGCATCATGGGAAGAGTGCATTTAACTCGAATTCATCTCGATCACATGCAATTTTTCAAATAATATTAAAAAATAATTACAATCAAGAAGACGATTTTAAACTTATATTTATTGATCTAGCTGGTAGTGAGCGTGCAACCGATGCTCAAAATAATCAACGACAAACACGACGTGAAGGTGCACAAATAAATTCTTCATTATTAGCATTAAAAGAATGCATTCGTTCAATGGATATGACGCGTACTCATGCACCATTTCGACAAAGTAAATTAACACATATATTACGTGATTCACTTGTTGGCTCAAAAACTCGTACATGCTTATTGGCTAATGTATCACCACCTGAGGATTGTTGTCAATGCTCATTAAATACTCTTCAATATGCATTACGAATTCGTGATATTAGTATTAGACATCGACATCGATCAATACCAATAACTAATTTACCAATAAATCACTTTCATCGTGAACAACAAAAACAACAGCAACAATATTCAGAAAAGCCACTAATTAGAGAAGAATCACAAAGGAATTTTGAACCTGCAACAGCATCAACCCCTCTTCATCGACATATTTCATCTGTTGATCATCAAACTTACATGGCCATTAATCAAATAGGTTTGACTGAATATCTAAAAAAAAATTTTTTTTCTACGATACGTCTGAATCGATCAGCAGCAGAGAGCTTTTTTGTCGATCGATTTCCAAATCAATGGTTCCAATGTTTTGATCTACTTCCTTTAGGCCGGAAAGTTGATGAAATTTTGAAGCAGGAATTCCGTAGTCAGTTCTATTCGCTTACGGTCGGTTCTGATCGGAACTAGAAAATTCGATTATCGGACTCGGTGAATAGAATTTTGCTTGCAAGGTTTTACTATTTTCCAGTCGGAAATACGTAAATTTGGCCATTGTAATTGTTTACCTGGCTGATTAGATCTCTCATACTAAGATGTTAATTATTTTGTGTCACCATACGCACGATATTTATTGTTAATTATTTTAACAACGAAGAAAAATCGTATTGCCGAAAATTTTACTTGTTAGTGTACGATGAAGTGTCTCATCAATATTGAATATTTGTTGGATAAGATAGGTTCTCCATGTTTTTTTTTTCATATAAAAAATTCAAAAACCTGACGTTCTGAAAAATCTACGATACACAATATGAAATCTATAACAAGAGAGAAAAATAAACTAGACTTTAACATCTACAAATGCTCATATTGAAAATAAATTTATATAGATATTGACTTAAAAGAAAAATATATACTACAATTCATGAGATATTTATTATAAATTTATTTAATGAATTTTCTTTTCATTTCTTAGATTTCGATAGTCGTAAACGAACATCAACAAAATCACCAAATATGGATTGGCAACTAGTAGATGACGACATACCCATAAGTGGTAGTGGTGATAATCTAAGAATAAAATCTACTCTTTCATCAACACGTGAATTTACTTTAAATACAAATAATAACAATCAGAATCAGAATCAGAATCAAAGTAGTAGTTTCTATTTAACTCGTTATGAACAACCAAGAAAAAAAACTCAAAACCAAGATGAAAGCCCATCAAGTTATTTTCCACCACCACAAGCTGATATAAAAAAGCCTTCATCAGTTCAACCTAATGAAATTAAACCTATGCAAGAATGGACAACCGTCCCCGCACCTTCAACTATTAACACACGACATCTTTCTGATTCATTCATTGAACCGCCAAATTCAGCACGTATCATTCCAGTAGCTCCGCTTCAAATGTCAGATGATAATCAATACAGTAGTGCTACAGGTACAGAAAGTCTTGGAACAAAAATAACGAAATTAGCAACTGCTACGTATCCATATAAAAAGTCTAATAAACAAAATGGTCTTATTGAAAACTTAAATTTGAATAAACAATCGGATCCAGGTACAACAACAGTAACAACAGATACTGAACAAGGACTTTATTCTGATCGACAAGCAACACACAGAGATCAAACTGGATTCTTTAGTAATCGTGATGATCCATTATATTCAAGTAAATATCAATATTCATTCATCTCATAGAGGATAGTCGAAAAGTAAATACATAAAGAGTTTATTAAACTTGTTACGATATCTAATTGAGCAGATATATCTAAACTGGTCTTCCTGTTACTCATAAATTACGTTTGGACAAAACTGAGCAAGCAACACATTTTACCTAAGATAGAACCAAATATGATTTGAACTATACGAATTGGAAAGATAAACGTTTGTCTGTAAAAAGATTTATTAATAATTAGTTAACTCGTAGACATATGCTAACAACAGGTATGTTGGTATGGAGCACTGTGTCCATTTCGCTAATATTCTGATTTTTATGGAAAGCAGATTTGTGAAGTGTACATTTCGAAATGATTATTCTATAGTTATTGATTATTATATTACTATTTTGACAAGAATTTCAATTTTTATTTCCATTTAAAATACTCAGTAATACAATGTCAATAACGAAAGGTTCTATACGCGAGTAGATAAAGTCAATATTGTCCATGAAAAACTTGATTGTAGCATCTTCAAAATTTATCTCATAAATTTTAATCTACTGGTTAAAAAAGTTGAAAAATGAAATGAAAACTTTCTCTAACGACGTTGTAATTATCTATTAAACAGAAAGGCTATTTTTTTTCTCACGTCATATTCTCATATTTTATTTTTCAAATAGATGGTTTTAAAGCAAATCATTTATCAACAATCACTCAACGGACATCACCAATAACAACACCTAAAAATACGCATCATCATTATAAATCTGATGTATTATCAACTTCATCGAAAAAATCATTAACATCTCCAAATAAACCTCATCGTCGAAATCGTCATAGAAAACCTTCATCGACACGATCATCATCATCGCCAACAAGTAGTTTAACAAGTACGAACAATGATAAACATCGATATTCACCTCCAAAACGTCATCATCGAGTAGTTCCATATAATACTCATTATACATCTGAGGATGTCGATAATCGTAATCATCGACAAATACATTCAACACGCAATGAAGCTTGTCAAACAATAAATAATATTCTTATAATGAAAAACGAACAAGAACAAACCGATGATCAATTCTTACTTGAGCAATTTCCTGATCAAATAGCATCAAATAATTTAATGCAAGCACCAATTGATCAACCGAAACGGCTTTATGATGAAAACTTATCAACAACATCACTTAGTAAGTCATTATTACCTATGACCATTCTCTTCGACAAATATCCAAATAGAAACAACATTATTCCATTAAATAGTCATTCAATAGATTTTCGACGTAGACGAACTGATTTAATACCTGCCATTAAATCATATCGACCATATGATGATAATGATGATATTTATCGACTTTTTTAGTTTTATTTTTCACTCTTCAGTTGAAATTTTAGTTTTTATTTTTGCATTTTATTTATTCTTTTACAGTTTCATCAACACAAAATTATGGCATACGAGTATCAGATCAACTAAATACATTACGTACATTACTGGAAAGAAGACTTCTGGAACAAGATGATTTAAGTTATCAAACAAAAGATTCCTCTATATTACAATCATCACCAAAAACATTTACAAAAGAATTTCTTCAATCATACCAACTCTCAAAATATAAAAATAATTCAAATGAAATTATTAGCGATCTTGATGACGATGATGATAATCAATATCGACAAATAAAAAGCAATTTAAATTATTATGATCAAAATAAAGATAAATATTCACGTGATATTTTATCAACATCGTTAAATCAATATGAGTATGTATTGGATCGTCGCCGAGAAAATGACTCATCTCTTTCAGATGATATTAATCAAACAAAAGTTAATTCAAATACAACTATGTCATCAACTACACCCACACCTTCAAATTTTCCAACTAAAAGTAATGCATGTAAGATTTTGATATATTGAACATGATTATATCGATAGATTTCTTTAAAAAAAAAGTATTTTCTTAATACACAAGACATACGCTTAGTTATTATCCATAGAAAATTTCAAGTTTACATTGACCTCGTAATATTTTTAGTCTGCACTAATTGTCAAAGTATATTAACGGAAGCTATTAAATATAATAATGAGCATGATATCCGTTTTCTGTTCTTATGAAATGGCAATGCATGAGTCACACAACTCAATTTGTGACTAATTGCTCATGATAAATGTAACAGTATACTGTTTAATATTATTGCACTTTTCTTTTGATACAAAATAGGCGATTTGACTCTAAATATCTAGACAAATAAATTGACGAAATTAGTATATTATTTATTTCGATTCATACAGGTCTATCGATCAATGTACAATAAACAGTGCCAATTGGAAATAATCAAAATTCATTCTATCTCGAAGATTTTTTATGTAAAAATAAACTTCATCTTGTAGAGAACCAAAATAATCAGTTAGCATTATAGTTTCATGCTTTTTCCTAATTATATAATCACAACTTTTTCTGTTATCGGAAGAAGGCTTGTGCAATCTAATCCAGAGGAGTAATTAATTGACGAAATAAAGGTCTATTTCAGTTAGTCTAAACAATTATTTTAACATGGCATGCATCTAATCAATCCTAAGTTAGAACAATGTCTGTAAATAGATTTAGAAAGAGTATTATAAATATCCTGGTTTGAGATCATATGTAATTCTCTTTAACGGTATTCAAGTTTCTGGAAGACAAGGAAGAATATCTTTTAATTCAGAAATTTTTCTCATGTTATTTTAAGTTTCCGTCAAAGATTTATTGTCATAAAGTTTATTTTCAATCCAGCGAAGAAAATTCTAAGTATTTAGTTCGAAACAGCATGAATCATTGTTTCTAGTTGATTTAATATGATACTCTCCATTGTTTTATGAGCCAAATAAAGATTGCCTAATAGTGTTGTCTAAAGATATATAACATCCAGGTTAAAAAAAAGTATACCCTTAAGGATTCTTCATAGTTTATTATGCATATAATAAATTCATCAACAAATCAACCTCTATTTCGAATTTTTTATTTTGAGTCAACATATTATATGTTGAGCTGAATTGATGATATCAGTTTGTTTCGGTTCGATCTAGTGATGATCATTATCAGACTTTCTATTGGACTATTTCATGTATAAATATTTTTTGCACAACAATTTCCTAGATCACGGTAAAGATTGAACATTTTCTCCTCTTTAAAATCTGATAAACTTGTTTTTCTTTTGACAGCAGACTTGTTGAACTCACCATACAATAAACAAAAGAAGCATTCTTTATAAGAGGAAAGTACATATTTCGTCGGATTCAGATTAGCCATGTAAAATATGAATCATTATTTGTCTGCGATAAGCACATTTAGAAAAGAAAATTTGACATAAATCACCTGACTCTTTTGAGTAAAAGAAAAAGTTTTCAATGAAGCATTCCTCTATTGAAATGACGAAGGGATAAGCATGTGGCAATGTTACTTTTGGGTCATCGATGAGATTAAAAATAGAACCGAAGTTATAACATTTTTTGAATTCAAGCTTTTCTTTTGTGCTATTAATAGATGAACCAAACTTATTATCGAATCCTGGCAATGCTTTTACTTTTGATCAATCAATCGATAGAACTCATCCAATATCAGTCAGTTACAGTGATGCTATAGAGAGTACACGCCATCCAACAAATGACACGAAACGAACATCTGAAGGAGATTCAGGATTGCAAAATCGTTATACTGGCACATCACCTGAAGATTCGAGTACAGCTAATTCTCGATGTCATTCATCAATTTTTATTCCACCATTAAATACACTCGATCTGGCACATGGATTTAACAATGGTCACGATCATTTAATAGATAGTGGTAAAGGTAGTTCTCTTCTAACAGGTACATCATTTGATGCTTTATTGAACAGTCTAAAAAATATGCGTGAAAAGGATCTTGATTTTATCATTCCGAATAGTGATGACAATTTGATTCGTGTTACTGATTAGTTTATTTATATCTTGTTTCAAACAGTGTTGCTTTTTGGTTTTTTTCTCTCTTTCCGTTTTAAGATAATTTGGTAGACATGTAGTTTTTTCTCTGGTTTATTTTATTTAATAATGCGATTAGTTTTTATTGGACAATTTTATTTATTCGAATAATTTTGTATAAATTTTGTTGTTTTTTGTCCTGCTGTGCTGTGCGTAGTTTTTAAAAACGATATAAGAAATAAATAGTTTAAAAAAGAAAGTGTCTTGTTATTGTTTTGTTTTTATTTAAAAAAACATTTTTAAAAAGGTCTTGTATAATAACTATCCTTGTCATCGTCGAGATTATTATAATTATTTTCTTTATTTTTATCGTCGTCTAGTCGCTGCTGAAACTTCGCAGCGGCTAATCTTGTTCGTTCTTGTTCATTATCGATGAGAAATTTATAATATTGTTTCTGTTGTTTTTGTTTATTTTTATTATCAGCACGTTTTTCAATGGTTTCAGGTTTACGGTTAATGAAACGTTGAGCTACGTCTAAAAATGATGCATGGGCATGAGAATAAAGTCTTGGTTCATATTCATGTAATATTTTTGGACAAAGTAATTTTGATAAAACTCCATTCGATTGAATAATATCTTCACCAGAATAATTTTGAAAATGTCGAATAGTTGAACGTTTTTTATTTTGTTTCAATGGTGGTAGTTCTCTCATAAATTTCTCTTTTCTATCTGATGTTGTCATTATTGTTGATGATAAAAGTTCCATTTCACTATCATTTAATATTCGTTCGTCCTGTTGTTGTTGTTTTTGTTGTTGGCCGTAATTATCCGTCGGTGTTAATGAATCAATATGCTTAAAACGTCTTGTTATTGGCTTTAATTGTTGAAGAAACTGATCACGAAATGAAACATCATCATGATACCATGTTTCATGTTTATTAGCCCATGTACGTTCAGTATGATATTTTTGACGTTGATGTATATTAAATGTTCGTTTTAAATCATGATCATACTTAGCTATATCCATTGGTAGTTGTAAATCGTGCCGACGATTCATGGATAAGATTTCCGACCATTTTTTTTCACTACCTTTTGTAGTTTTGACAACTGATGCTGTTTTTGTTACTGTGCTTATTGCTGCTGCCATTTTACATATGTCAGTAACAATTGCTCTTGTTGAAATAAAAAAAGAAACTAAAAGATAGACCGTTTTTCTTTTGAGAAATGAATTTTAAATGGAATTATGCGTTGCTATTTGATTCCATTATGATTTTTTTTTAGATTTATATTAAACAATGTCTGTCCAAGATGGTAAAAAGACAATTTTCAGAGTTAAAGTAGAAATTCTCGTTTTAATTTTATTAGATATTCCACCATTGGAAGATATTCCAATCACTACAACAACAACAACGAAACAAGTATCAGCAACTCCAGTTGTAAAATATGTGGAAACACAAACGAAAGGTATTTTTATAATGAAAATGATTTTTCATGCTTGAAATTCGTTATATTAATAGAAACAGTTGAAATCGATAAGAGCTTTGCTGGTATGAAAAAAGGATTTTTAAATAACAGTTCCATACAAAAATCGAAAGCAAACGAAATAATTGAAGTATCATCTAAAAAAGTGGAACAAACAAAAGATTTTCGTGTATTTGATGAAATTCAACAAGCTATCAAGGAAGAACAACAGTCAAAAAGTTTGAAATTGTTTTTATTTTTTTTTTCATTTTGTAATAAAAACAAAAAATGAATAAATTAAATTGTAGATAGTTGGGTAACAAATGACCTTTTAAAACAAATTGAAGATGATGAAACATTATCACGATATTTTTCTAATCCATATTTTATGGAAGCTATTACTTTGTTTCAACAAAAACCTGAAGAGGCACTTGCAAAATATGGACATAATGCTGAAGTTATGACATTTTTTGATCGAATGGCTAAAATACTTGGTAGAAAAATATTTTTAATAACAATACAAGCTATCATACTTGCTCTTTATAATTAGGTACACATTTTACTTCAATTGTTGATAAAGAAGATCAAAAAAAGAAACCAAATGTTGATCCAGAAGTCAATAAACTTTTACAGGATGAACAAATTCGAAAGTTATTACTTGATCCAGATGTTATTAAACTAATGAAAATTTTACGTGAAGAACCTGATAAAGCACAATGGTACGAAGTATATTTGTGGTTCGAAATTTCAAATTATCGTTGTCCTTATTTTTTTATAGGTTAATGCGTACAGCTGATGCATCAATGCGCGGTAAAATTCAACGACTCATTGATTTAGGTTTGTTGAGTATGGCTTAAAAAGAAAATTTTAATGGAAATTTTGTTTTTCTTTCTTTTTCTATTATTTCGATGTTATTCAAAATATAATTCATGTTCTCTTATGATATGATGAAATAAAAACCAAACCTTCATGAAACGTGTGATGATAATTATGTTTACATGTAGCATTGAATTAGATTCAGAAACAATAATAATCTGATTAAGATGATTTTCAAAAAAGGAAAGGCATAGCGTTTTTTTCTGCAAGTAGAACTTCTCTTGTTCCATATTAGTTTTTTTAAACTTTATCTAAATTTTAAGCGATCTGAAGAAATGATATGACATATTCCAACATACGAAATTTTCATTATCAATGATAAAAGTCAATCCCATGTAAAATACTGCATAAAATAAATATTTTTGTTAGACTTTGATTATGGAGTGTAGCCACTTCATTGAAAATAACTCTGATTTCGGAACCGGTCTTCAAAACGTATGCTTAGAAGTTGCTATGTGCTTTTGAACGGTTATCTCTTATAGTAGATCATTAGGAAGAGATTGCACTACTGTTATGTCGAAACGACCTATGATGATTCCTATTCTTCTAATGCGGCTAGAATTACTATTCAGATTTCTTGTCTCGTATTTGAGACGAATAATTATTTTCAAGCATGACTTTTCTCAACATTCCATTCTCTGTAACACAAGATGTTCTTGAGTAAAATATAAAAGTATGATTGTTGATATATTTTAGTAAAGTACACTGCTTATTGTTTATGCAGTACAATCTAAGAGAATGAAGTTCAAACAATGATTTGCTCTATCAACTGAACAATTGAAAAGCATATGGGTTGTTCCATGGGAACTCAACCAAAACCAGCACGAAGTATCCACTTTTTTCCGTTTTCATTTAGTTTTGTAGAGCTCGTTTCGCTGATTATTTTAGTATAAAAAAAAATAAAAATTCATAAGTGAAAAAGTTTTTATAGCGAAAATACTACAACTGTTTTTTTGTTAGAAANTTCCGTTTTTCAAATACGGATCTGAGATCTTAAAGGCAAAATTGATCAATCATCAGCCGCATAACGGTTTTCCCCTATGGTGCATGAATCTCATAATGTTGTGACGCTATTCAAGAAAGGTTTCTGATCGTATTTGAAAAACAGAACATAAGGTTTTGTAGAGCGGAACACGCTCTGCAAAATCCTGTATTTCAGATTCCAACAGAGTGTAGTCATTTTTAGATAAAGACGCCTACTTTTTTAGCGCATTTACTTAAGTAAATCATTGAAAAATGACTTTAAGTAATTTGAAACTATCTTATCTTGTAGAGCTAATTCAACTGAACATTTCGGTATACTTTTTTCAAAACAATATCTAGAAATCACTGTGCTAGGGCTAAAATACTGAAGAACCTAAGGTATTTCTAACAAAAAAACAGTTGTAGTATTTTCGCTATAAAAACTTTTTCACTTATGAATTTTTATTTTTTTATACTAAAATAATCAGCGAAACGAGCTCTACAAAACTAAATGAAAACGGAAAAAAGTGGATACTTCGTGCTGGTTTTGGTTGAGTTCCCATGGAATAAACCATATACTACTAACTCATATTTAATATTGATGGAAAAACAACAGCATTTAAAAGAGTAAACTAATAATAATGGTATATTTTGAGATGATTTCAATAAAAGTTTTTTCAACAATGATAATCACAAGTATAATAGTTGTAACAACTGAATTATAATTTAACAAACAATCTATTAACTTGTTTAGTTTTTCTTGAGCGGTACTTCTAATTTTCTTTTGACCAACAAACAATAAGAAAATGCTTGGAAAGAATGTCGAGATCTATTTCTGACAAGCATAACATTGATTTCGATATGCTTTTACTTGTAAGAGTAAAATTTGAAGAGCGGTTAAGTAAACGAAAGATGAAACAAAAGTATGTCGTAAAGAACTCAACTTTTCATGTCGTTTCCTTATCCTGCAATCTTCAGCAAAACGTTTCTGCTTGATTTCTATGTGACACGAGATGGGGGAAAACGTCACGAAGTGCTGTTTCTGACGAATTTCGTGTGTACTGATCTGAAATCTCATGTTAACTTCCAACAAAAATCTATACTCGATAATCAATATCTAAAAACACACTGAATATTTGAAAGTTTATAATAAAATCTGAAATATGGTAACTTCACTCGCCATGTGCAAAAGAAATATGAATTAAAACAAAACTGATTGTACGTACATGTATGATATCACTGAATCAAGATTTAAAAGCTTTTTGAATGCTATGTAGACCTCTTTGTTTCCAGAAATTCAAATCATATTTTAAAGCATCATCTCCTTTCTTTATTCCTTTCATAGATTTTATGAAACTCTATTCGAAATCAAAACTTCAGTTTTCAACAGCAAAGTTATTTTGGCATTATAGATGAAGCAGTCTTTCCGATGTAGGAGAAAATAATCATGAAGCTCAATATGTATTCATAAGAGGCAGTACTCCTTAAATAAATTGATTTGTTAAGATGGCCTTATCTATATTTTCAAGAGAAATTTCCGTTTTGAACGCAGTAAAGATTTAGTATTTATTTATGTAGTTATACACGAGATACAAGTCACAATGCAATAGATGAATTAATATTCATTCCAAGGGATTCATCTCTGAAAGACTCACTTCATAGTTAGGTACAACAAAAAATACCCTATATATTGAGGGTATGGTAATCTCGTCTATTTAGAATATTCATAATAAAAATATAATTTTTTTCCAAAGTAAACAACAATTAGCGAGCGACGAGCCGCAATGATCTCAATCATTTTTGTCTGATTTTTCACTAAAATTTTGCGATTTTGCAAACAAAAATCTGTTTTTTCAATCGTTAAATGATTCTATTCATCGAAAGTTTAGCGCTGAAATTTACCCATAGATACTCACATAGTTAATAAATAGTTCATTCAAAAATATTTTCAAGTTGGATTGGTGTTTAGTGTGATTCATGACTTTTAGCTTCAGTTTCATTAGCTAGCTAAAATCTTTTCGCAATAAAATAAAATATCTTATTAGATTTTGTTTATATTATTTCGAATTGCTTTATGAAAGTCGTATGTATTTTTCAAGAATATAGGGAGTAGAAGTTTTCAATAGAAGTTTCATAATTCCTCTTCCTCTCCACATCCTTCCGCCTCTAATTAGATACCTTGCTAATTCATGCTGACGATAATGAAATATCTTTCCATAGCAATCAAAGGTGTAAATCAACTATGTTAATACTGCTGATTCTAGTAATGAATTAGGCTGAAATCTCACATTTACATTGTTACACACCTTATTTGAAATTTTCGGAGCAGAGAGAGAGAAGCGTGAAAAAGAAAACAATAGGATCAAGTTGTCAATTATATGTGTACCAATAATAGTGAGTAGACGTCAAACTTAAGAAAATATATGTGAATTTCGTATTACAACAGCAAAGCGGATGTTGTAGCGAATGTTTCTTTTAGAAAGACAGACAGTAGTACAGAACGGGTCGGGTGTTTCTAAATTTTCCCGTTTGTTTTTTTTCTAGTCTAGTGACTTTTTTCTCCAAAAGCTTTTCTTGCTTATTCATCATGCCGTTAATAATTATAAATCATTCTATAACAACAAAGTACAAGATTTATAATTCAAAGATTTCAGTTTCGACCAGTAAAAAGACATTTTGTTAATGCTCACAAGCAGATCTGTTCACGTCGGTTTACTTGATTGCTTCGAAATCAGCGCATACTATTTTTGTAAGCATTTAATATGATAAAGTAAAGCGATTATCAGCTGGTTTTTTCTATCGGAATGAACAAAAAAATTGAAGATTGAAATCTCTTTTTTGAATTTATACCGATAGTTTAACTCAATATTATATCATGCTCTTGATTACAAGATTCATTGTAAAAATTCAAATGAGAGTCATCTATTTTTTCTGAACTGTAAATATCTTGCTTACAAATTTCCAGATGACTCAATGCTAATTTTACCGAGAAAAGTACTTCAGCATTTCCGTTACCCTTTGAACAAGTGAAGTAATTTGTTCATTGCCACAATAGAAACTCTCCATGTTAATGTTTAAGAACGGAAAAAAATAATAAGATGTTCTTCAAGTATTTTAAAGAGTCTACATGACTATAACCTTCAGTCGTTTAGGTTACAAAGAGCACCACTTAGTCAATGATTTTATTCCATAATTTTAGGTATCTATGACTAAAATATCTGTTGATACTAATTAATACAAAATACAGATCGATGATAGAAACTGAGAGTTGAATGATGAATTTATTAATGCAACGATTGAAAATATTCTTTCTTATCAAATAATATTCTAAGGAGGAGCGTTTTGTAAGAAGCAAAAAAAACGATGTTGTTGGTCAAAGTGTGACAAAAATATTAAAGATTTTTCTTTCAGAAAACGTTAATATTGCATGATTGTTTGTATTTACACTGTTTGTTTTTCAAGGCTGTACTGGATTCCGGGGGGGGGGGGGGGGGGGGGGGGGGGGGGGGGGGGGGGGGGGGGGGGTGGGGACCAGGGGTCACCCCGCCCCCCCCCCCCCCCCGCCCATCTGTTACTCAAACTAAAGAATATATAATTATGGTAACAAATGCAATTCATTTTGATATGAATTTTAAGTAGTGACGCCAATTTCAATATATCCATTCATCTTTGTAAAATTTCTTGATCATATCATAAATGTATCTAGTCGACAATAACAATCTATAGATTTATGTATGAGGTGGCGTAATTATAATTTATTTATTTTTCTTAATTATCTTGAATTATTTGACAAAAAAAATGTGTGACAATAAATCGCAATGTGTTAATGTTGATTAAAAAATCCTGTATGAAATAATGGTACAATATACGTGTATATATATAGTACTAATAATAGACAAAAAATGAATTTTAAAAGTCAACGTTAATGTCCTAGAGAATGTCAGGTATTTTTTCTGGCCTGTTTTTTTCTTCGCTCTGCCAGGCAACTTAAAAGAAAATTAATTAATATAAAATGATGAATATATTATCGACGCGGAAGACTGTAACGTTGAAAAAAAAATAGAAGTCTTAATCAAAGTTTAGTTTTGTTTTTCCTATCAACTACTCTTACTTAATGAGTTTTTTTTATCATAGTAAATAGTATTGCATTTCAAATGTGCTGTTTCTACTTGCATTTGAATTTTTTGTTTCAAATAATCGTTGCTTGATGCTTCGTATAGGTGTATTTGAGGCTACACGTAACTTCTTTTCTCTTTACTCAATAGCCCACGTGCGTTGTTATTGCTTTTTTCCTTTTTTTTCAGCACAAAACATACTTTATCCTTTCAGCATTACTGGCGACATTTTCAGCGATTTACTTTTGTAGTTACATAGGAACATAAATAAATCTTCATTTGAACAACAAAGTGTAAACGGAATTTTCATTTGAGCATAGAACTTTATTGAAAGAAATCGTATTATTTAACTCAATATATCAGCATAAATGGGAAATAAAAGCGGTTCATATGAAGAATTATTGGATGAAACTAAAGAATTACTGATGAAACGAACTGGTAAGAAAATATTTCTTCTTATTATTATTATTGTTTAAATTTAAAACTTTCAATAATACTATTATGGTTATCTTTTGTAAGTTGAGAAAAGAATTTATGGTCACTATATTTAGTATTTTTCGTACAGAAAAATAAATGAAGAGTACGATGCATTGTGTAGAAAAGTAGTTATATCATTTTAATTTCAATAAAAAAGAAAATCGTGTCAAATATTGAAAATTTACAAAATAGAAAAAAACAATATATTCTGCATGTAGTAAAACTTGCCCACAACTCAAGTTATGATTCATAGAGCAATGAGGTGACAATTGTCTATCGAATTTCAAAAAGTATGATTTTAAATAGTTCAATATAATCTTGAAATATCAAACGAATATATTTAGGCTGATTGCGTGAATAGTTTTTCTTGTAATCGAAGACAGTCTCGTCTAATTCTATTTTCAAATTTTTATATTAAATAGCTAATCATTACATTATGTTAATTAATTTAGGTATGTCGCAATATGACTTGGAATTATGGTACAAAGCAATATTGGTATGAGATGAAAATGTTTCTTGGATAACTTTTCTTTTTTTTTCCCCTCCGATATACTCTAACAGGATCGATCAAAAAAAGGAAAATTATCTAAAGAACAAATGCTTGCAATCTATACAGAGATGAGTGATCTTGATCCAATGCGTATAAGTGAAATTGTTGACTCAATAGAAAAAATTTTTGATGAAGATCATAGTGGTTCTGTTGGTAAGTAATGAATAATTTAGATTTATCAAAAAAAAGAAAATGCTCATAAATGCTCATAAAAAATAGATATCAATGAATTTATGCGAGGTTTTATCTTAACAACAAAAGGTGATTTAGAAACAAAAGTAGAATATACATTCCGAGTTTATGATAAGAATGGTGATAATAAAATTTCTGGTGATGAAATTAAAAAAATGGCAAACGTAATATATTATCAGATAAAAACTCACCAGATGAAAGACTTTTTTTTTGTTCGTTTAATTTTAGGCAATTTTACGCATGTTAGGGAGTGATGAAAAAAAAATTGATGGTCCATCACAAGCTATTGTTCAACAATTTCTCGGTCAATTTACAGGTGGTGAAAATGGAGTTATTTATAAGCAGGATTTTATTCAAACGGTTCTACAAAATCGAGAACTTTTAGCAGTTCTTTCACCATTTTACGGTACAGCTGATTAATCAAAAGAAAATTTTCTGTTTTTAATGCTAGTCGTAAACTTTTTTTCTTGCACTGCATTAAATAAATCCTACCACTGCGTTTGAATTTCAGTGTTGTTTCGATGTTGGGATGCGTCTTATTTTCTTATAAAACTAATCTTTAACTATTATTTTTAGCTTGTTCAAACTATCATCATCATCCTCATTGATCTATTCACAGCATTTATATTAGCGCATGTCTGTCATTGAAAGTCAGATAATCGAAAACGAAAAATTTCGTTATATCAAACTAACCATTTGAATGCCCTTTTATTATTGTTGTTTTATCTGCCTGTCGTACACTTATATGATTATATTATTTACTTTTTTCTCAGTCTCATCTTTTGTTTTGTTTTTGTGTATTTTGGGATCAATTAGATATTAATGATGAATAAAACATTTTCAACAAAATGCATTTTCTATAGTCAATACATCTGATCAAAACATACGCATGTGAACAAGAGCACACGCTTTTTTTCTCAATTAAAATAAGATGAGGTGTTAAGGTTATTTGAACAAATGAATTAATGCGCATTACTATGAAGATCGTGTCAAATCCGTATCCGTTCTAGACAAGAACAGCTACTATGTTCAAACGGAAATCGATTGTATTGGAATTGAGAACAAGAACAGTACCTCATATTTGAAAATAACAGCATACATAACTACATACGTATATATTATATCTTCATTAGATTGTATAGGTAGATGAATAAGAAGAAAAATGACGACGTCAACAAGCGGAAATCAAAGTGTATCCTGTCGGATATGCCTTATGATTACGAATGATTATATAAAATATTGAACGAAGAATTTATTTCTTTTTTAAGAATGTAAAGTAAATTTTACAGATGAGTTATTTCAATACGTAATCTTTCTAAGTAAAACAATAAGGAAGAAAAAGAAACACGAAAAGACTACTTTTTCTTATCGTTGACGTCAACAAAGATTAGAAATCCAATCATAGTTTTACCAGCAGGAATATGACAAAAAATGATCTTTGAACATTAAAACCTACCAGAGACAGATCTGTAGGTGTTATTTTTCTTCTTTTCCTCGAAGTTATTTTAGAAAGTCATTAGAACAACTTCATCATTTGTTCATGATGCTTACATTTATTTGATGACCGCTGTGTGCGTCTTCTCTAAGAAATAGAAATAGACGCTAACAAGACCGGATGCTCAATGGCATGATTCAATTAAGCGTGTGCACATTATATTACATCGTAGTAGTGGACACAGTTAGTCAGTCACGGTCCCTAATGGATGTGTAACGTAATCGTTTAAAAAAAAGAGAAGAACACAATCTTCTTCTTTTTTTGATGCGTATTGATTAAACAATGATAAATGTATTTTTTTTTCTTTTTAAGAATTATTTATTTGACATTCATGTATATCAAGTTATGATTTTCCGAACAGCTATGATCACTTTTCTATGTTTCTTTTCTTTTGAATGAAGGTCAATCATCAACATTTGAGCTTGTCAAAAACCTTTTGAGAAGCGACTTTGCGCGTTTAAGCATGAATTATACGAGAGAACCGTTTAGAGCATTTTCTTCCATCTCTCTCTCTCTCTCTCTCTCTCTCTCTCTCTTTCTTTCTTGTCGTGCATGAAACAATAAACACAACGATGATTGTGTTTAGAGCAGCAGCTTTCACCCGCCCGCCGGAACAAGAAGTTGTTCAGGTGCCCGAAGAAAAAAGAAGTTAGTAACAAGAACATCAACAGTAATAATTGTTACGAGACGACTACCACCCGTGTAGTTGCATCATTATTCTTAGAATCGTTCTCAGATGTGTGTATATATGATTGTTGTATATTTATGTATCACATTCTTTTTTGTAGTGTGTGTCCATGTCAACAAAGCAAGTATCATGACTAACTATTTCTATGAATTGGTGTACGGATATATATATATATATACGTATATGTTTAAGTGTGCAGAGATTCCCTGAACCTTGAGGAAAGGTGAGACGTGGACAGTGATCATGATCATTTTTCATGATTATGTGACTTGTGTAATGCGATCATTGTTGAAAGAGAGAGAAAGAAAAAGAAAAGTAGGGAAAGGCTGATGATAATGGTGACTTCCGTCCGTCATTTTCCTATAGAATGTTCAATCAAATGCAACGTCTGAAGTATGATCGGAAATCACACACACACACACATGCACTTCGACAGTATCGTAATCTCAATGTGTAGATGAGTATATATATATATATGCAAGCACATAATAAAAAGCCTCTTCTCGATTCTTTTTGACGACATTTTTATGATGTGATCTTCTTTCGTGATATGAAATAAAGAAAAAGGACAATCAACGTGTAGAATTGCACACATGTACTTCCCCATGAGATTTGTAACTTTGATTGTACTAGTTCTAATCGTCATGGGATATCCCATTAAAATCACTTTACAATCTCTTCCTTGTCTCAATCACATACAATATTATCTCATATGCATCATTAGCAATGGAAGAATGATTGTTGATGATGAAAATGATGATTATATAAAAATTTTCTTTCATCATGTTGTTCCTCAACACCTCTCTAAGAATAATTTTTTGAATAATTATACTCTTTTTTTTTCCATTCGATTAAACTGGTCTGAAGTGTCATTCTCATGATTGAGTTATTCTTTTCTGAATTTCTATACCAACTAACTAAGTAGTAGAAAAATAAAATACAGATTGTCTTATCTACTGTAGAGTAAGGTTTTCTCTTCTTCCGTGCTCTCTCACTCCATCTCCCTCCCTTTTTTTCTTGCATGCAGACGAATATAGGGCGTGGTGTCCAGCTACGGATGAGCAGGTGTGTATGTGCATTAGTCATAAAGCTCAACCTGAGGCCGTTTTTTCTTCTTCTCATAAAATCAAAGTCTGATATTATTACTTCGTATATTGGTAACTAGTAAATGACGAACAAGAAGAAGACAATAGTTCTCTCTTGTGACTTGCTTTATAAGCGAGAAAAATGTCTCTTATTCTCTTTTCTTTCTTTCTTTCTTTCTTTCTGTCTTATATTGTAGACTAAACGCTCAAAGACGACTTGCTTGCATGTTCATACACAGAAGAATTTGATTCATGGCATGTTCATTAAAAATAAATTAGAAAATCACTAAATCATTTCTTTTGCTGTTGCTCATACAACCAGTTGGTATCCCTCAAAAAGAAATATCAAAAGAAGAAGAAAAAGAAAATCAGTAATAACAAAGTCAAACACATTCTTCCGGTAGGTATTATCAGTTGTGCTTTTGTGCTTTTTAAAATTTTGTTATACATCTGTATAGATCTTTTATTTTTCCAAGTCTTTTCGTAAATCAGAATATAGAGTAGAACTAGTAAAACAAGAAATTAATCATTCATTCAATCGTGCTTCCTGAGAAGAGAAAAGAAAAAGAAAACTTATTTACTTTTGATTCATAAATTTGAATTGAATGCATCATATAGATGCATACATAAGTTCATCGATCTTGTTGTCACCATCCTCAGGGCTTTATTGACAGTCTAAACTATGGACAGTACTGATTGAAACAAAATAAAGAGAGAATAAATGACAAGAAAGCAAAACGACGCTCGCAATCGGCGATCCAGAAAAATCTCTTGACACTGCTAGTGCTGTCCCTAATTCAAGGGCAAACCATTTCTTTCGACAAGCACGCGTATAAGTGAGGTGTTCAAGCCAGTATATGTAGTGTGAAATTGCATTAGATAAGCGTGCATGCTTTTACACGAGAGAATTTGTTTCATCCTGCTATCCATCTTACTGATTGTATCTTCCTTTCTCTTCTTTTTATGGCAATCTAAGTGAGCAGCTAAGTGAGTGACTGACTGACTACTAGTAAGAAATAGAAAACAAAAGAGGAGTGGTGTTATGATGTTACTATTGATAAGTTGATGAGTAGACGACGATTTCATCTACATTACGAGAAGGTTAATTAGGTTAACGAAAAAAATAGAGGAAAATATTTTGTATGATCTTAATGGACCGAGATTATGTGTTGACAACACATTCTTTTTCTATGAGTAAGTGTGAAAATACATTAGAAGTTGTTTTTATTATTTAAATTAATAAACTGTATATTATTAATCTTTGCGTTTTTTCTTCTTTCTTTTCGCTTTGGGTGGTTGTCAAATCGATACATCACTATATGAGCATCTGTTTAGACAAACTCAATATGCTATATCTGCACTGTTTGATGTTATGTTACGATCATTTTCTTTCTTTCTCTATGTATATGTTGTTACATATTCCAATTAGTATACTAGAGAAAGTATATCATATCACTTTTCTCTACTGTTCTTTTATATTCAACTAAGTTGATTAGCACAAATATATTTATATATATATATATATAGTTATACACATGCATACATAATTTATGTTAAACAGTAGTCGCATTTTTTTCATCTTAGGTTTACAATTAAATTGAACAATAACATTGAATTAATATTTTTTTTTCTTCATCTTATAGTTTTAGGTTATTTTGACTGAAGCTTGAGGCAATAATCATGATAAATTCTTATTACTTAATTATTTTATTCTATTTTCCAAATGTTTTAACTTATGATTGTCGTGAAATATGTAATTTAACTGTATATGTTTATGAAAATCTATCAAATGATCAATTACAATGGAATATAATTGATTTACTTTACAACCGTACATTAACATCATTTCCATTTGAACATTATCAATATTCATTATCAAATCCATCGGATTACTTTGAAATTGAATCACCAATATTAAAATTTCGTTTATCAGAATTAGATCGTGAAAAAATTTGTAGTAAAATTGTATATCATGATCATGAATGTTCATTACAACTACAAATATTTACACAAACATCTTTTTTTATTATATTTAAATTAATTATATTAGATATAAATGATTGGAAACCATACTTTAAAGATGATCATATACATATAAATATTCGTGAAAATTTACCAATTAATTATCGTGTACAGTTACCTATTGCATATGATCATGATTCAACAGAATATAATGTTGATTATTATAAATTTATAAATGATGATCCTGTCATACAACAATTATTTCAACTTGAAAAATTTCATGATGAACTTCGATTAAAATTGTTAAAACAACTTGATTGTGAAAAAACAAATCATTATCAATTAGAAATCATTGCTATTGACAAAGGTGGATTGGAATCGAATGTTTTGTAAGTCAAATTTTCTTGTTAAAAAATCAAATAAATCTCTATAGAGTTATTTTTATGTTATTAATAATAATAATAATAATAATAATAGGACTATAAGGTTTAAAGAAATAATCTGGATCTCACGCTTGCTACTAGTCAGGAGAGGATATCATCATTCCAATTAGCAAACGAAGACATATTTATAGATCTATATAGTTTTAAATTCACAAGGTGATGGAATAAGTGTAGGATGCGTTTTCATTTTATTTTTGTTGTAGTCGAAAAAAATCTAATACAATCAATTTTGATTCAGTAGAGTTGAGTTTTAAAAACAAAGCAATATAATTGCTAGTATACACGAAGGAAGTAATCTTTTTATTGAATTAACTTTCGTAATGTAAAGCAATCAATGCACGACACAAGGGAACTTGAAGTTCTGAAATGACTTGATTCTTATGTCGTGACTCGTTTAAGAAGGATCGTTTTGTTTAATACCAGATAATTGAAATATTTTTTGTTGAACTGAAGATGAATATTAAAAATAAGAAATAAACAAAAAAATGTCGTTTTCTTTCTCTCCAGACATGTAAATGTAACAATAGATGATTTAAATGAATTTCAACCGCGCTTCAAACAACGTCTTTATCATACTCATATACCTGAACATACTCCTATATCAAATACATCAATATTAAATGTGATTGCAACGGATGATGATTGCTATGATAAAATAATTCATTATTCTCTTCTTCGTGATATAGCGAATGATGTATTTCCATTTGAAATTGATAAATATACTGGCTCAATATATGTTATGCATGAACTTGATTATGAAAAAATGTCTTCATATCGTTTTCGTGTTAAAGCATCAAATCTTGATCAAATAACATCAAGTATCGTACCTGTTGTTATTGATATAATTGATATAAATGATAATCAGCCGTTAATACAGATTAATATTCTTAATGATTATAAATCAATAAATTCAAATGAAGATAATGAAGAATTTATGATAAATATTAAAGAAAATATACAATTTGGACAAGTGATTGGAACACTTATAATTCGTGATAATGATTCAATCATGATCAATAGGAAAATATCATTGAAAATTCTTTCGTGTTGGCCAACAAAAAACTCTTGTCCAATTGAATTAGATTCAGGAATAAGAAATAGTGATGAAAATGAAAAAACTAGTATTGGTTCAACTAATTATTTAATACGAACATCAAGACAATTAGATACTGAAATGGGTGATGATCAATATACTATTATTCTTGAAGCAAGTAAGTCAATCAAAACTCACAGAAACAAAATTCGTTTTTCATTATAATTTTCTTGTTAAGGAGACTATGGTGATCCACCATTGAGTAGTCAACGACGTTTACTAGTTTTGATTCATGATCAAAATGATTGTACTCCAAAATTTACACAATCAAATTATCAATTTCATTTTTCGGAATCAACTCCAGTTGGATTTTCTATTGGTCATGTAAATGCTGTTGATCGCGATTTATCACCAAGTTTTCATCGTATTCAATATAAACTGGCTGATAATGAAAATAATCATATTATTGAAATCAATTCTAATAATGGAAGTATATATTTAACTAAAACATTATCAGCAGGAATGAGATTTAATGTAACAGTTATGGCTATCGATCAACAGAATCATTCATTGTATGATCAAACAACAGTACAAATTTTATCGTATGATGAAGAAACATGTCTGCCTACTTTTAAACAAAAAATTTATATATTTAATACAACTGAACATCGATTGACACCATATGAAATAGGTAAATATTCTCATTTATTGATTTGTTCAAAGTAAGAGTTAGTTATTTAGAGTTGAACCAATATTTTGCTGTCGCAGATTTTTACTTGTCGAACGTTCTCGTATTAAGATTGAAAATTAAAAACCAAAAATATCCTATTACACAAGAGTTAGTAAAATCATAAGTAAATTTTATGTAACAGTTTCGATCTAATTCTGAGAAATCTAAATAAATACTTCTAATGTAACTGACGCTTAGTTTTTTTCTTTTTGGAGCGATGTCAACTCGATAATAGTTGAGATCATTGAACTCTTTTGCAAATTGATAGATAATAATAATTGAGATCTCGTCTAGCTAATTCTTTAGAAGAGTCAATTACTGTGAAAACCGGTTCTGTTACAAATACATAAAATTGCTTTAGAAGTTTTAACATCTTTAGTCAAAAATTATAAATCCAACATATTTCGATGGAAATCTAATATTTTTGCCTCAGCACGTTCAACTCATAACCTATTTCCCAATATTAATTCCATATGTAAACCAAAGTCTTTTGCTTGTTGTTAGATACCAATTGAAAGGTTCTAATCAACAGTCTCATAATACCTCCTATCAACTACTGTATCCTCCTGATTATGACATAGATTGTCCCCCGTATGTTTCTTCCTATGTTGATCTTTTGACGTTTGTTACATTGTGGTGACATTATTAGTCTTATGGTCAGTTCTATTGTTAGATGAAACTACCCTTGACAATAACATATGTATGTAGTGTATATGAAGAGTATTTTATGAATTTAATATTGTATTTATGACTTTTTTTTGTTCTAATCAAAGGTCAAGTTTCTGCCGATAGTTGTCTATCATCATCAATTCCAATATCTTATCATCTGGTTAAAGATAAAGCATCAGCAACATTACCATTCTCTATTGATAGTCGTAATGGTATAATAATAGTTGTACGTGAATTAGATCGAGAGAGAAAAGCATTTTTTCAATTTTTTGTTGATTCATTCAATCATAAAACTCATCAAGCAAGTCAAACAGAGATTCAAATAAATATTCTTGATGAAAATGATCACTATCCAATGTTTGATAATTCAATAGATAATGCTCGTGAACAATATATTTATATCAATAAATCTTTATCTTCAAAATATTCACATGAAAAAAACTCAATAATAAACAATATCTTAATTGCACATATTTCTGCAACAGATCCAGATGAAGGTTCAAATGGTCTCATTAATTATTATTTTACAAACAATGAAAATTATGCATTTTTTCATTTATATTCAAATGGTTCAATTGTACTTTATAATCAAAATAATCTTCAATTACCTTACCGTCTGGAAGTCTACGCACGTGATCAAGGTAGTCCAGTGCCATTAAACTCGAAAGAAAGTGTTGTTATTTATGTTTGTGATGCATTAAAACGAAATGAATGTCCATCGGATGAATCTAGTGAACATCAACAATGGTTACTTGGTTTTAATGGTAAAAATCAAATAAAAACAGATCGTGTAACAGCAAATTTTTATCTTGGCTCCATATTTATAATGATTTCAATTCTTCTATTTATTGTGATTATTATTGTTTGTATTGTTTGGAATTTAATTATAAAGGGACAAATAAAAGGTAAACATGATCATTTACACGGTAATTTATCAAAATTATCGACTGAATCCTATAATTGTCGTACGGAAGCAAGAAAAAACTTGAGTAAAGTGAACTTGTCATTGAAATTTTATTGAAATTTTTGAAAATTTCTTTTAGTTGTTTCCGATAGCCTTGGTGATTCATCACCAACAATGACATCAATTGATGGAAATCATCGTTTGAAATCTGTGGCTGTATGAATGCAGCTAATCGGAATTATTTGGATCATACCCGGTGGTATTCAAAAAGGAAAGACAACTTTTGTTTGCCTCAAATTAATTAGGTGCTGAATTAATGCATGATCATGAATGACAAGATTCAATAGATATTTATCTTTTTCTCTTATGTTTGGTGTACAGTTTTGTCAAACAGTGTGTGCTGTGTTTGTTTGCGTTTTTTTTTCGAATAAAGTGTTTTTGTTATTTCGTAGTGAAGTGTTTTGAAAGAAGTGTTTTTAATAATGATTGTATATCAATATATGCAAATAAATACTCATTTATCAACGATTTTCATTTACGTTTATTAGCACATCTTGTTTTCAGGAATGTTGTTCTTTTTATATCATAGTTTTGTAAATAGTAGAAGATATTATATCGAGGTTAAGTAAAACAAAAGATAACTACAATCTCTACTGGTGATATCAGGCGATGAGAAGTTTCTTTATGAATGTTCTTAAATATAGATATATTCTTGTTTTTTCAAAAATACACATGAATATGATTACTACAAGTCTCATGATACTTTTTATTGTATATTTTTATATGTTGGAAATAATTATATCAGTGATGTATTGAATTTATCTAGAATTTTTGCAATTGATTGTATCTAATATTGTCAAAATTTCATCTGTAGCTAATACAATTAAACTGTTGACTTGCAATTTTTCATTTAGAAAAAAATAAATTCTAATTACTATATTAAAATTTTATTTATAGAAATATTTTCGACGAAACACAGTAAATTGACTTTTCACCTTGTTTCAATAAAATATGCCACTACATCATCAAATATCTCACAGTATTGAAAATCGTTCGACATCTTAATATCAATCGAAAGCAATTTACATTTATAGAATGTACTTTTTCTTAAGGACATACGACCTGCTTTTATCCTTGTTATCATTTTATCAATGTAGATACGCAATCCCTTCCATTAAAGACTATAACACCATTGTAAATACGCAGTTTCCTTTCACCTGAAATCGTTGAAAATAGAAAAACAGTATGAAGAATCCATCATTACAGCCGTTTTTTCTCACCACTACCAGTATCTATCAGTCGTTGAAGACATGAATAGGCACATGACACGGACAGTATATAAGCCATGCAAATTTTTCGACACCACAGCAGTGAAGATTTCTTTTTTAACGATTCGTTTTTGCTTGATAACGACCAACAACGATGGTGTTTTACAAAATGGTCCAATTATTAGATGCCCATGAAAAATATGGCGATGGAAACCAAATGTTAGTAGCAGCGGAGCCAATTGCTACCGGCGAAAAAATATGGTGGTGTACTTGTGGGGATGATGACTATATGATGTCTAGAGATGAAATACTACATTTAATCGAAACGCAGCCTCATTTAAAAAATTTTCTTTGCTTTTATTCGTATATGGTAATTGATTATAAATTAAGGAGCAATCTAGTTTTTCTTAATTGTTTGTTTTATTGCTAGGCTGAAGATGATATGTATATGATTCCTCGTAGTTTTACTGCTCAACAAAACAATGATGAATGTGTTTTGTTTAATCATTCGTGTGAACCTAATTGTGGTTTCGATTCTGGCGATGGAAATACAATTGTTGCTTTACGACCAATCGCTATTGGTGAGGAATTAGCATACGATTATCATTTTCTTGAAACTGAGGCATCATTAATTCGTGGCTTGGAATGTAAATGTGAAACACCATCGTGTGTTGGTCGAATTATGTTTGATCGTTACCGTGATGAAGATTTTCAAAAGCAATACTATCAATATATGTCACCATATTTACAGTCGCGTGTACGTGAATTAAAAACAAAATGGTATTCAAGCAAATGTTTCACGCGTTCGGCGACACCAAATAAAACGAAATCATTACATGCACTTGAATGGATTCGCACTGGTGAAGTTGTAGCACGTTTCTCAGGTTTAATTAGTGCTGAAAATCATTTTATTCGCGCAGCAGAGGAAGGTGAAGCGACATGTGCAGTCAATGAACATAAACAAGTAATTGCTTTATGTGATTTACCACCAGAAGCTGAATTAACGTTGAATTATCATGGAAAACTGTAAGTTATTTTATTCTATTATAAATTTAACAGAATGGAAAGATAATAATATTTGATCTTCTTTAAGGTTGTAACAACTCATACATGTGTGTACATCACTTATTATTTCGACTCTATTCAATTTACATAATTTACTTTCGGTGACATGATTCATGTCGAATGAGTTCCATTCGGTGGCGGTGATTTTCGTTTGTACAAGTATGCATTCAAAACTTCAATTTAATTATCTGGCCTCTACAATAGAGAGAACTAAACCAGATTTTAAATATTTTACTTTTTTTTGGTGATTGCTTTAATAAAAAACATATATGAAATGAATCATCGAATGTAGGTTGTAAAAACGAGATAATAGACAGGCTTTAAGATAGAGATAGATCGTTTCGAATCCTTTAAATATATGCATGAGAAATCGAACATATGGCCTTAACTTAATCTATCTTTGAAGAGCGTACCAATGATGTGTTTAAAGGCTCGTATTTGAAATAAAATTTCATTCATTGTATTCTATACCAAAAAAATCAATATCTATAAATCAAAAGCTTTTTTCAATGAAAAAACGTTTTGCTAGTATATTTGTAAATGAATAATTATCATATGAATAACATCAACGAAAACAGAGAAGATGAATATCATTCATTTAATTACGACTTTTAATAAAGGTTACTTCTTTTTCATTTCAACAAATATTACTACCATGAAATAATTGTACGACTTTTGAATATTGCAAGTTATGCTTCAATAAATTTGATACGCAAAGAACTATCGGATACAATGAACAAAAATTCTAAAAAATGAATGATAAACTCGACACCACTAACTATATCTATCATGAAGTTTTCAGCAAGATTATATTCATAAAAACTAACTGTTATAAATACATTTATCCGAACTTAGCGTATAGCTCAGAATTCAAACTTTTACCTTTCTATTATTTCAAATTTCCTTCTGGTATTGACATCATGTACGATTGACATATAAACTTCTGAACTAGTGACGAAAAAGGTTTTTGCTACGATATTGATACTCGCGCTAACAATCAGAGACGGCGCGAAGTAATAAAAGTATAGGGGGGTTACTTGAAAACGGGAGGTTTTTTTCAAAAACGGGAGGTTTTTTTTCAAAAACGAGAGGTTTTTTCAAAAATTGAAACAAAAATTTCCAAAGTTGGGCGGGGCCACCCCCCCCAACCCCCCCCCCCCCCCCGTTCGCGCCGTCCCTGCTAACAATACTAAAATAGAAAATATTCTAGATTTCTAAATTCTAAGCATGCTGACGAAAACATTAACTGAAAGATTCTATATCCTTTGCAATTGTTTATCAAACTGATTCACTTAGAAAGTGCTGGACTCGTAATTGAAAATGTGCACAGTGAAAAACATTATCCTTAAATTGTATTACGTTTGGAACGATACTTTTTAAATTATAATTTATTTGAAGAAAACTCTCTAAACAGGCAAGTTTTACAAAGTGTCTAAACTAACTTAGCGTATATATCTATTAGATAAAGATAGCCTAAAATAAATTTCATTTCAGAGACAAATTTATTATTATTTCAAGTAGTCATGCCCGTAAAGTATGATATAGTCCATATAAAAGTGTCAATCGATTTTACAAAAATACGATTGTTATTAAGTACAAGGAAAAAAATCTAGCTATTTTGTAATTACTTCGTTTTAACGATGATTTGAATAAGAAGTATATTATGTAGTTATTTACTATATTAAGATTGTTCTGTTAAACGGTATAATCGATTTCTCTAATATTCATTTATCTTTAAAATATTTATTTTAATGGATGTCTCACAAATTTATTTTCCGCTCCTCTTGAAGAAATGATTGAGATACAGAGCAGCATTTTAAAATACGAATACGAAAATATTATAATGCATCGAAACGTAAACGGCAAGATCCGGCATTATAGTGCGCATATTCAATTTCATTTTGACTAGATTATTTAGTGTGCCGTACGTCGTCGGAATCTGCGTAGAGTGAATTGTCGAAAAATAACAAAAAAAATCTATGAAACGAAATAGTTTTAACAGTAAATTCGAAGAAAAATCAACAGACTTGTACTCAGATCATGCTTTGATATTTTCGGTTTTCTTTTTAAAAATTTGCCAACGACTCAAGTTCATTATATCGTAACATCTTTGTTGTCGATTCTTTTTCGGTTGAAAAATACGAACTTGCGCAAATTATTATAGTTCATTACTTTTTTATTACAATATTCATAGAAATAAATGAAGAATACTGAAAAACAGATTTATAATATATGATTATTATTATTGTCTAAAAAATGATAGCGGATGTCAATTAAATAAGTTAATGACTAGTTCCTTAGAGAATGCATTTTTGTTATCTCAGAAAATTTTTACACTCAATGACTTTAAATATCTGATGTAAAAGAAAATATCAATTTTATCAAGCAAGCATAGTTTATGGAATTTATTGAATGATATTCTTATGATAACTTTTCCCCAATGATCATAATAATAAAGTCAGCTAGTTTTAGGAATCAATTTATTAGGTCGAAATAGTAAAACGTTTGAATTATTTTTCAAATAATAAATATATAGATTTTCAAGCGATATTAAAACACAAACCAGTAGATCGGATCACTCAAAAGAAAAAGACATTATTTTTATTATTATAATAACACGAATCAATCAACTGATTGAAACTTAACGAGATGATAATTTGTTCACAGCTGCTAAATAAACTTTTCAGATTCCATTCGTATCTTTTCTATTTATGTCCAATCGAAATCGGCTGGTCGAAATCTTGCATTAAACATGATATCAGTAATATCGCGTTCTAAAACTGCATCTTTTCTATCCAGACAAATTGCTGCAAGCAAAGAAGGTATTGTATTCAATATTGATTCATGAAGATTTGCTCCACAACTTTTGCCTGTTTCTAAAAGTAATAGTTGTAAGTTGAAATGAGATTCATTTAAAGTTAAAAATAAATCAATCATTGCTTGCAAATTGTCGCATATAATCGAACAAAGATTAATAGTTTTAACTTGTGTGTTTTCTTGTTGATTATTTTGAAAACAATTCAAATAGATATTATATATCATTACATGCAAATGACCACACGTAAATTTTTCGGAGATCTTTCGTTCAACCAATTGATTATTTAACGCTTTCATAACACATGAATTTATTTGATTGAAATATAGAAGTGCATTTGTTGTTAAATTGGTAGCAAATTTTTTATTTGGTAATGTGCATAGATCATGGCTGAATCTAACCAAATAGTTATTACGGCCACACGAATAACGTGCATCTAAGCACGGAAAATAATAACAATCATTTGAAATAAGAAATTGTTCACATTCATCATATTTTTTTACTGATTTCGTTTGAACTATTTGTGTCATGTAAAATAAACATAAAAATTGAAATATTCTTTTCATACTAAACACCCGTGTTGCATCGTCACACATGATTGATTACAATAAAGAATGATCAACAAAATAAACCAAATGCAAATGATCAGCTAGAATGGAGAAAGTAAAAGAAAGAAAAAAGATGCCGCACATACATTCAGGTCGTGTCACATTCAAATTTAATGCGTGAAGGGTTCTATTCTTGTGCACCGGCATTTTTAATGATTTTACATAGATAAATGTATGGATACATTGCTGTCACACACTAGGGAGAGCGAAAATTGGTCGAACGAAAATTGATCGCCGATAATTGGTCGATACGAAAATTGGTCGAAAATTTTGTAATAGAAAAACAAAAGCTTTTAAAGGAAAACTCTAAGTCCGAAGTGTATCTTGAGGGTGATGGTGTGGGTGAGGATGAGGGTGTAGGTGCGGCTGAGGTGTTCACCGTGTTCTCAAAACAGGTAACGTTACTAAAATAATTATAAGGTCTTCTTCTAAAGTTCTAAACTACTTTTCCTTTATTATGCATGCCTAATTTATTTGTCCGAATCACTATTTTCCTCTAATATTAACATGATATTGCAGTTAGTGCTAGTTTCAGCTTTACACTACAAAGTTCTGGCTGCTTTTTAAAGAAAAAGCTTTTGTTCTTCTATTACAAAATTTTCGACCAATTTTCGTAGACCCCACACACTATCATGAAAAATACCTTAGAAAATGATTAATATCGATATCTAGGACATTTTATGGTATGACAGAAAGAACCCCGCCGGATAAAAACATTTTCTATAATCGATATCATTTTTATATAGTATTGTAGAGCTCGTTGGGATACGTCAAATGGTATATAGGAAGTCAAGTTTTCATAACGGTTTCGTGTAGTTACAGTCGATATACTATCTATACTGGTATAGAGACAGGCATGGTACTAATAGAAAATGTACACTCCTATGATCATCTCTAATGAGTTTACTGTTGAAACTGTGTAAGAATTTACCAATAGATCCTCTTTATTTTAAAAAACCAATTTTTTCGGCATCCTCTACCCGTCCTGGATCGTAAAAATGAAATTTTCTTTTTCGACTTCAAAAGGATCTATTGACGTCAAATTGTTGAGAACTGTTTGCTGATTGTGGATGCATAAAAATTTTCAGAACTTATGCTGGACACTGTTGGAATATTGCCTATGTACTGGGACCTCTATATGACAAAATAGTTGATTTTTTGCCTCTATTTTCAAGATTACCAATGAGCCCCTGCTGCTCGGAAAAACTTGGTCTATCAAATATGTAGAGCTCAACGACGGACAGTTTTTAGGAAAGTTTCATGTTGTTACCGCATTGTTCTACTTCACAGGACTGAAAACAGTAAATTGCATTTTCAGTGAATTAATGTCATTCATCGATAGAAGAAAACTTTTTTCAGTAGCAAAGCAGTAGTGATGAAAACTATCAATTATAAAAAATTGAGCGCCACTCATAATTGCATCGAACTGAATTATAAAACTAAATCTATATACACTCATTAGAGACGATCATAGGAGTGTACATTTTCTATTAGTACCATGCCTGTCTCTATGCCAGTATAGATAGTATATCGACTGTAACTACACGAAACCGTTATGAAAACTTGACTTCCTATATACCATTTGATGTATCCCAACGAGTTCTACAATACTATATAAAAATGATATCGATTATAGAAAATGTTTTTATCCGGCGGGATCCTTTTAAAAGAATTAAAAGAAATATTTCTGTGTCTAATTTTGATTCTTTGATGTGTGTATCATCATCTGTTTAAAATGAAATTTCTGTATTTATTGCTTTAGAATAATGATTATTCGGGTGAAACACATTTCTACTAGAAGACAACAGTCTATGGTTTATTTTTCATGACAGTTCCAGAATAATTATTCTGCTTCTTCGCTGATAATTCATCAATGATATGTAACAGGTATCAAAACCCTATATTATTCTATTGAATTGTAGTATTATCTTGAAAGATGGTGTTATTTTACTAAAAATCGGTACACATTATTTATTACTATTTTTTTTATCGTTTTTATCATACTAAAGCATCTTGAAAAACACATTATGACATGGAAAAACAGCTTTCTAATTATATTATATTTTGCGGTTTGAAAAATAATTGTCAATCGAAAAATAGTCATCAGAAGCGATTTTCACGATATTTGTGAAAATTTTCTAGTTATCACTATCAGAGTTTTTCATCGTTCCTGTATTTATTTTTTTTTGTCTCGATTTTATGCATTGTATCATGGTTTTTGTGTTTGAGTTAGTCTCTACACAAACATGTCAAATATTACTAATTTATAAGTAGTATCATAGCATGGACGAACCGACTAAACTAAAATCTCATTAATGTCTTGCTTGATGTGCATATATCTTCTCCTGGTTAAGTAAAACGATAGTTCTTTTGATGAAGATGCAAAACATGAATTCATAACCGATTGAACAATATCTAATCTTTTCGTTCCGTTTGAAGAATAAGCTGCCAGACAGATATATTAACACGGCTGAAGGCGCTAATTCGTTTGTTTAAATCAGTTCAAGCGCTATCGAATTCGAATCCAGAATTATTTCTAAATTTTTGTGTTTTCGTAAACCATAATAGTCATTTGCATTAACAAAATTGCGAGCACAATCTTTGAGAAATAAAAGTATGAAACATGATAAAACTGCTATTAATACTCCAAGAGAGATGATTTTATTCTATCGGATTGAGGATCTGTTTTTTTTTATAGCTAGTATTTAAGTATATTCTTCAGCAATGCAATAGCAAAACGAGTTCACACATTAGAACCAGACATTATTTCTATAGGGTATGCAATCAGTGACACGAGGAGAGTATTGTTAATGTGTTTGTAATGTATTTAATGGGTTCCTTCAAACATAACTCTGGTTGATATCCTGACCGTGCTTGTGATCATGTTTTGAAGATAGTAATTTATACTACAGATGATTCAATATTCCTTTTAGATTATCAGAATAAAAAGAGCCAACACATGATTTCGAACATCTAGATTTCGTCATGAAGAAAAATAGTTTATAGTGACTACGAAATTGTGTTGTGTGACAGAGTGAAAACTTTCAGCAAACATTAGTATCTGCAACTCTGTGTGGGAGCGTATCCCACGTAGTTTTATAGAAACAATTTCCGGTGAAAGCAACTAGAACAATGTTCTGCTTGATGCTAGTACCCAGGTCGACTGATCCGACATCGGATCCGATAGGAACCTGGAAATATCCTACAATCCGATACAATTCTATTGGATTCCGGGTCGAGGAATCGATGTCGGATCCTCAGTGTCGGAATCCTATGAACTTCCGATGACATACAACGGCTTTTCCTTGGAATTCATAGGAATCCGACATCGATTCCTCGACCCGGAATCCAACGATAATTCTGTAAGATCTGACAGGATCCGATAAAATCCTATTGGATTCCAGTCGGATCGGATGGGTTCCAGTAGGTGCCTACTGTCGGATTGTTCGACCTGGGTGAGAGAAAAAAAAGGAAAAACAAATGTGATTCACTCGACTGCTATTTTAATTTTTATACAGACCCTTTAGAAAAATTGACTGTCAAAAAAACATTTTTACTGATCTTTAAATTTATTTATAAACTTCATTAATTTGTAACTGACCATTTAAGTAATTTACTGACCAATCAATAATTTTACTGATTTTATAATTATTTAACTTACTGACCGTTTCATTTATTTCGCTGGCCAGAAATTATATCCCCTAATTAAAAACCCTCAATTATGATCACTATGGCAAATATTTTCATCGTATATTTAAGAAATAATAGTGATACAACTAAAACCTAAAAATCCTAAAATGGTGAAACTACCATTGAATGATCATAAAACTGTTTATCTTCGTCACATATAAAAGTATCGTTTAATGCAGACTATGAAAAGAGCAATTTCAGTTTATTCTCACGTGAGAGTTAGTTCGCTAGACATAGGAGCGCCAACAACTCAATCTCAAGAGAAACACATTCCATGAATAGACAACGTTAGCAATTAGTTCTTAAATATCAATTCAAATAATACATGGCCGATCAATAACGAAATAAATAGACTGAGAAAATTCCTCTAAATACGCCAAACGATAATTCAGGAAACTTGCTAACATGAGCTATCACAATCATTCTATTATGTACATATTGTCCTGTTTAAGAAACAAAATTAATATTCTTGAACTATAATTCTAATCATAAAGTGATAATCTTATCCATGAAAAAACTGACGTAACTATTTGATTATATATTAGCCAAGTAGATGTCGCAATAATAAATCCATAATTTACCAATTATAGAAACTTTCACGACATTCTAGAATAAATCTATTTCTTTCGCGGAAGCAATTACTACGTGTTTGCTTATTTTGAAAATTTTCCACAACTCATCGTCATCATCATGTTCAAACGTAAATTATCTTCGCTTGACTATGAAAAAGATTACAATCCACAAGGTAACAAAGATAATAGATTATTTGATTTAACCTACTAGTATTTCGGCGTTTTGTTTATATAGATGAAACTCAGTTTCGGCAAATGGTTATATGGCTTGAAGATATGAAAATACGTTTATATCCTATTGATGGACGACAAAGTCTACGTGATATTCAAAATCCTCGATGGGAAGAAATTCTGTACAAAGTAAATTATTCATTTCATCAGAGAGAGCTATATTTTGCATGTCTCATTTTCTAGTATTTACAAGATTTAAAGTTTTCCTATGATAATGATGTAATTAAAGATCGAGTAGCTTTGAGTGATTGGCTCATTGGAATAGCTGTACGATTTGAATATGGTGATGATGGTGAGTACAAATTCTTTTTAATTTTTGCATTTGGATAAATTTTATTTTTCAGTTGATAAATACAAACAGATTCCGTCGAATAAAATAAATAATCAACCGAAGCCAGATTCCGTAAATCAAAGTGAAAATCCATTAGAAAAAATCGATTGTAAATAACTTCTATTTATTTTCTACTCGCCTATTATTTTATTTTATTTTATTATTTCTCTGTAGATACAAGCGAAGAATTCAAATCTGGCATGTTAAAATTATGTGAACTTTTACAAATTCCAACAAAATTTAATGATACAACAGCAATTCTTCGTGTAAACGATCATCTTATTTTTATTACTTCCTCTTTATTAATTATTTTATGTCTATTTTTAAGGCTGTAAGCAAAATAATCACAACAAAATTATCAAAAGAGGCGATTGATAAAAGTCAAATAAAGGAACAAGTATAAATAGTTATTTCTAAAATTTTCCTTTCAACAGTTTTTATATTCTTTTTAAAAGGCTTCAGGTGTCAATTTTTCTATTGAACAAATGCCACTTGGATTTGATACTGGTGATAAAATAATTAATGAGGCTGCGAAAATTCTTCGATTATTATATATTCAAGATTTAAGAACCTTACAAACAAAAATAAATGAAACTATTGTAAATGTTCAATCACTTGTTGCTGACCCACGTACTGACAGTAAATTAGGAAAGATTGGCTGGTAAAACTACAGAATGATAATTACCATTTTCTTTTTTTAATCGGTTTGTCTTTTTAAAGAACATTTTATTGTTATTAATTCTATCTTTTTATGTTTAACAAGGTTTGATGACTGTTGTTTTTTTCCATTTTCAGATTGATAACTAGATTTATGATGCGACTAGATTGGGCCTAGCCTTCTTCTATAAATGTTTTCTAGCCCATCTGGTACAAAATACAGTTTCATTTACAAAAGACAGCTAATCCAATCAGTTAGGATAAGACTGCAGTGAGTTTATTTATCACAATCAAAAGAATTAATCAATCTTTTCTTACAGACTTATTAAATGTAAGTTTGTATTTGATTTTTTCAGAGCTCATGACGAAATGATTCAATTCAAAATGCCTGTCGTTGTTTTGAAAAACATTCTATTAGAAAAATGATAGTGTTCATTTTAATAGTTGAATACATTTGAAGATCTGTTATTTTGCTTTCAACAATCGAATGACTACGATCAGGGAGGCGACTTTTTCATCAGGATATAATTATCAAAATTTGATGAGTCTATGTTATTTTCTATATCGTCCACAATAATTTATGAAGATCAATAGTATACAAAATTTTAAGATATTGTCAATAAACAAGCAGGAATTTCACCATTGTTCCTACATTATCATTAGATAAATCATCTATGTGAGATTGTCAATAGTATAGTACACGCCTTGGCTCAGTCGTTTCAATAGACAAGTTCAACTATATCGATGAGCAACCACAATTTTACGTCATTCATTTTTCACTGTTGACGATCGATTAATTCTAGTAAAATGATAATATATCTCTATTTCAAATAGATAGATATATAATTAGAGGAAGATATTGTTGATAGTAGATAATTTTCTCTTTGTTGACATCAATCATATTTTGATTATATTCTCATATAGCCAATATTTTTACAACAATATATTTTTCAGATTTCGTAAGGTAGCTGTGACATTGATTATGTAGATTCAAATTTATTTTTATTTTCTCTCTGATAGTACTCAGTATAAAGAATTTCGATATCATCTTAGTTAGGGAAAATTGTTTTCAGCAAGTATTTAAGAACGTTAAAGTCTTGGTAATATTTAAAAAGTGCAAAGATCTCTAAACAGTCTCATTCCTAGCTGTTGAACATCTAAAATTACGAAATAAAAGTTTATTTGATTTCCTTCAGAAATATTTGGAAAAGTATTTTTTGACAATATTATTATTGTATCTATCAAAAAATCTTCTGAAGATCTCACTCTCTACAAATCTTTGTCGGAGAGAGTCATACCTCGTATTTGGATTCGTTTTGCTAACTACTAGGACAGCAAAAAAAACAGCGAAATTGAACCTGAATGATTAATATTTTTGGAAGCGCAAAAATAATGATACGTAGAAATTATTGTCGTTCATTTTCCGATTTCAGATATTTGTAAAGATGTCGAAACCGATGAATTATGATAAATGGAAAAAAATTGAAGTATCTGATGACGAAGATGATACACATCCAAATATCGATACGCCAAGTTTATTTCGTTGGCGCCATCAAGCACGTGTAGAACGTCGTGAACATCGAATTGAAGAACAACAGGAACATGAAAAACAGAGAAAAGAGTAAAATAAAATCTCGACAATTCTTTTTCCTTTCAACTCATCATTTATTTTGAAAACCTCGTTTAGACTTAATGAACGTCGGAAAAAATTGAATGAAAAACTTAAAACATTAGAAGAAGTAAATGCAAAAATAGTTTAGAGAAAATTTTCTTATTCTATGAGTATCTTATAATTTAGAAAGGTGGTGATGTTTCAACATTGAAAGCAGAAAAGGAATCATTAGACAAAGAAGAACGTCAATGGAAAGAAAAAGATGAAGATATTAAAAAACAAGAACGCTTACGTCCATTAGATGTTGATGATTTAACTCATGAAGGTAAATCAAAAACTTCAATCAACAAAAAAGTAACCGAAGAGCGACCAAAAAATATGACCGAAGAAGAACAAGCCGAGTATTATGTATGTATTTTTCTTCAATGTTTTGATTAAACTTGTTTTCTTTTTTTTTTTATCTGTTCTTGTTTTTCTTAGAAACAATTCATTGAAAAACATAAAGATAACATTAAAAAATATGGAATGTTTCGTCATTACGAGGATACACAAAAATTTCTTGAAGAACATTACGAGTTAGTTTGTGAAGAAACAGCTAATTATTTAGTTATATGGTGTATTGATTTAGAAATGGAAGAAGTAAAAGAATTCTTTTTGGCAATGCATGAAAATATTAACATGCTTTATTTTATTTTAGAAACATAGTTTAATGGAGCATGTTAGTCATCAAACTATGACAATGCAATTTATTCTTGAACTGAGTAAAAGTTTAAAGATCGATCCACGTCAATGTGTTCGACCATTTTTTACAAGGTTGAATAAGTTCATTGTATTTTCTGCAATGATTTTATAAAAATTTCATTCATTTAATTTAGAATGAAAACAGCCGATCAACAATATAAGCAAGGATTTTTTGAGGAACTTCAAGCATTCCGAGAACGAGTTCAAACGCGTGCACAACAAAAAATTGCAGATGCTGTTAAACAATATGAAGAGGTAGATTTCTTAGTAACATAGGTTATTGAAATAAAATTAACCCGTATAATATTTTATAGGAAGAAAGACAAAAACGTCTAGGTCCAGGTGGTTTAGACCCCGTTGAAGTCATGGAATCATTGCCAAAAGTAAAATTTATAATAATAGTTTTGTTTACTTTTGATTTTGTTTAATTTTAGGAATTGCAAGATTGCTTTGAATCACGTGATATTGCACTATTACAAGAGACTTTATCGAAAATGCCTCGAGATGAAGCTGCTAATCATCTCGATCGTTGTATTAAGTCAGGATTATGGGTACCTAATGCAAAAGACGCTGAAGGCGATGAAGAAGAAGAAACAAAAGGTGAAGAACAAAATGAAAAGAAAATTACACAAGATGTTCAAAATTTACAAGTTGAATAATAAAGCTTAAACAAATTAGAGCGGCTGAACTCTGTATACATGTTTCAATTATTTCTTTTTATTTTAACCGAACTATGTTTTTGTTTGCGAAAGTTTAAGTTCATCAAATAGAAGTTCATGGTTATGTTCGCAAAATATTTTCTTTTTTGCTTTTCAAAGTTTTGCAAGATGAACTATCACCATGACTGGAATAGTGTAGGAAATGTTCTAGATTTTTATTGAATATACGTTAGACAAAAAAAAGTTGAAATATTTTCATCGAATCAGATTTTGAATGTATAATTGAATATTACCAAAAATTTATCCATATATATATATACCTGCCATTGCACTGTGCTACTCTAGTACGCGCAGCAAAATGTTCATCAAAAAACAAATATTAGTACAAGTCAATAAAATGATCGTAAAAATATATCTAACTAATTATGTATTCAACAATCACCATTTCTCTTTCGATTTTAACTTGAAGTTATGTCAGATACAGAGAATTCATGGAACATACTTTTATATAAGCGATCATTCCTTACTAATTATTTATATCAAAAGCAGTATTTAATGCGCTGCGAAGCACAGCATTTATGTAGTCTATTGCGTGTTTTCTTTTTCTTTTGTTTTTGTTTTCTCGACGTACGGATCTTTTTCAACATTTTGTGACTCGATGATCTCGAGTACCGAAAATCATAGAAAACTCATTAAGACGGGCGATGAAAGTATCGAGATCGAACTTCTTACATCTCTTTTTGAATCTTCAATCTGAAATTCTGTTCACTCAGAAATATGGTTCCAAAATGAAAGAATTTATCAAGAGATAATTAAAATGACGTCATCAACATATATTAGCCACTATAGTCTATTCATTTGCAGCTCATCTAAGATAATGAATCATGGAGATAATTAATCGATCAATCGAAATCGATCTTTAAGAATGTATCGCTAAGTAAGAATGGAGTTTTCAGAGTGATGAATAGCATTATGGCTACAACTATTCACGATTTTTCGTGAAGATTCGTATTCTTAGTTCGCGTCGCATTTCGTATACGAGTGAAACTCGAATATCATCTAGTTCTTTATCTCGATAGAGATGCTTAAATTCTATATATTTATTCACTTAAATAGAGTATTGAATAAATTGATAGAACAATTCAATACTTGAAAACTATTCTTTGAACTAATAATTATACTCATAAACGTTATTAATTATTTCTTACATTGATTTTGAACTAATTACCAAGAAATACTAATAGTAAATTTAAGCAATAGATTGTATTCTAACAAAGGATTCTAATGAAAATAATGGCGCGTCAATAATATCATATATATATATATATATATATCTTTATTATTATTATTATATTTTATACGAAATTTACTCAGTTATTATTTTACTTGATTGTTTGATTAATTTCTGTGCGCTGTTTATTGAATATCTATATACGTAAAATATTTTCAATCTTGTCAAATATTGACCTAAACATATTTGTCTACTATGTTGATAATCTATTTAGTATGGTAAAAACTATATTGATACCATCTATTCGCCATCTAGAAGGCATTTTTATTTTTGATTGATGGCAACCGATGACAATGTAAATGTTGATGCTGTCATGGAACAATTATTGGAAGTTCGTAAAAATTCCAAAATAGATAAAATTGAATTAAAAGAAAATGATATACGATTAATCGTACAAAGAGTACGTGAAATATTTTTAAGTCAACCAGTTCTTCTTGAATTGGGTATGAAATAGAATTGAATCGCTTGTGTTCGTCTTTCTTGTCTATTCAAATCTGATTAATTTTTAAATAGAAGCTCCATTAAAAATCTGTGGTGATACGCACGGTCAATTTCTTGATTTACTTCGCTTATTTGATGCTAATGGATTTCCACCCGAAGCAAACTATCTTTTTCTTGGTATATTACTGGTGTAATTCATTTTATCTTCTTAAAATTGGTTTTTGAAAATTTCTAGGTGATTATGTTGATCGTGGAAAAATGTCACTGGAAACAATCGTCATGCTTTTTTGTTATAAAATAAAATATGCTGAAAATTTCTTTTTATTACGTGGAAATCATGAATGTGCATCGATTAATCGTATCTACGGTTTTTATGATGAAGTTAAACGACGTTACAATGTTAAATTATGGAAAATATTTACGGATTGTTTTAATTGTTTGCCAATAGCAGCAATTATTGATGAAAAAATTTTCTGCTGTCACGGTGGACTTAGTCCAGATTTACATTCTTTTGAACAAATACGACGTATTGCAAGACCAACTGATGTACCTGACACAGGATTACTGTGTGATCTTCTTTGGTCTGATCCAGATAAAGATGCATTAGAATGGGCAGAAAATGATCGTGGTGTATCGTTTACGTTTGGTGCTGACATTGTTACACGTTTTTTAACACGACATGATCTTGATCTTATTTGTCGAGGACATCAGGTTTCTATTTAAATGAACCAAGAAAAGGAAAGAATAGCAAATAATTTTCTTTCACTATTTTGAATAATCTTAGGTTGTCGAAGATGGCTATGAATTTTTTGCTAAACGTCAATTAGTAACAATATTTTCTGCACCAAATTATTGTGGAGAATTTGATAATGCGGGTGGTGTTATGAGTGTCGATGAAAACTTAATGTGTTCATTTCAAATACTTCGACCAACGACGCAAAAAACTATGCAAGAAACGCAAACGAAAGGAGCAACAGTACATACACCTTTTCCTAAATCGATATCATCTGTAAAAACACCTAATGTTAAAAAATAAGTGAAAACATCTTATAGATCAACAGAAATCAATATAGAACTCTATCGTTAATGATCGAATTGTAATAATATGTATCGACGCCGTTTCAATTATAACTCGAAATACGTGATAGAAATCAGTAGAAATCATGATTGTTCAAATTTATGACGTCTCAACTATGAATCTAATTTATCTATTCAGGTACTCGATAATCTATCTGTCATATTTAAAAAAAAATGACACTCATATAATTGATTGACATGTTAATTTCATGAACAATAGTTGAATATTCATCTAATCGTTTATCATATAATACACACTTCTTAAATTTAACTATGAATGAATGTCTTAGTTGCAGACTACAGAAAATATTTCTCTTTTCTTTATTGAATGGAAAGATCAGTATCATAAATTGTTTTCTAAGCAACTTTCATAGGCTATTGTCTTCGAGTAATATGAGAGAAAGTAGCTTCTATCATATGAGCTGATTGATACCTACGAAATTCATCGTATCAGTCTATATTTTTGAAATCAAGTTCTCACGTACTCGTGATCTTCATAAGCAGTCAACGAAACACTTCTTGTAATATATTTCATACTCTAAATATTGTGATATTTCATAGAATTGATGCAAGCAATCATGTTGTAACTAACTCGATTAAGATTAATTTATGCGAGACATTGATTGATCATCGGACGGAAATTTAACTGTTCCAATATACAGATGTTGCTTCAATGTCGAACTGTCGTATGATTGAGAATTTTCTTCATCTTTAAAGAGTTGAAAAAACTGAAAAGAAAGAAAGCGAACAAATATCATCTTGAAGAGTGATGACTGATTTCAAATACAATTGTATTATTTCATAAAACATTTTCTAAAAGAATTGATAATTTAACTCCAGTTGAGTATTCAATGGAAGTAGAAATTAATAGTTAGACAAGATTCAACTTCGGGTGGACCATCGAAACTGTTTCTATACCAAAAAAAGCATTTATCTTTTTCGTTATACAATATTTCTTTCTACTTCAATGTCTTCATTACTAATCTTACTAAGCGTTTTATTCATTCCACTACTTAGAGGATTAACAAATTCAAATAAACTTCAGTCTATTGTCTATTATATTGATTATTATTTGTATTCTATTTAGTAGCAATATCCTGATTGTAGTATGAGTTGTCTTCTATTAAATATCAATCCTTTTAGATTCTGTCATGATCATATAGTTATATTCAATACCAATATTTCATTGGGATTATTGTCTTAAACCAAGAGCACACTATTATTTGCTATGTCGTTATTAATGAATTTTATCAATACAATTAGAGCAAGACAGATTATATCGGTCGATTGGTAACTATTAAGAGCACTAAAAGTAATCATTAACTTATTTAAAATAATGGTTTTGAATCAAAATCAACTAAATGGATGATAAAACCAATAGTATCATCAAGTAAAGCATTGTTATCATATGATAATAATCGATTTCTATCTTTACAGTCTAGTGTACGAACAAACTTCTATAACTAATTATTTGTTATGAGTAGAAATTATGTTCATAATGTAATTTTGAATGAATTGCCAATTTTCTGCAGAGATTTTGAGCTTTTAGTGGATAAAATTAAAGATCTAGTAGCAATGAGACAATTTTAAATTCAATTCCGTGTGCCACCTCAAAAAGTCACAGGTAACACTGATTTTCTGATTTGGAATTGAAAATTTACTTAAGTTTAGAATTCAACGTGAATAATTCAGAGTGAAAGGTTCAGATCGTTTCGATATTCTTAATGTAAGATACGGCTATAATGAAAGCGTGCTTCTTTTCTTATTGTTTAGATATATTGGTATGTTTAAGAGTCGTATTTGAGGTCAGACATAAATAAAAGCAGGTCTTAAATTCTTACAAAATCTCATATCGTTAAGCTCTATTTCTGAGTAGACATTGAAATATGAAATCTTTGAGGAGTGCAAAAAATTTGTCAAGATTGACCCAATGCACATAATTTTGATCGAGAAAACAAATAATGACGCCAAGTTGTTCTTTCTTAAGCTTATCTTTACGATGCATAACATAATATAACAAGAAATAGTCATTTTCAGTAGTTTGATAAACAAAATTCTGGATATTATATTTGAGGAAGAACTTTTCCAAATGGTTATTCTATCAAGATAAAATAATTTGATTTTTCTTTTGAATTGGTTAACCATAGATTTATAATTTTTGAAAATAGTTAACGAGTAAATACTTCAGTTT